TCTTCCCTTTGTGGCCATTGTTTAAATACATTGTCTCCTTTTCCATGAGTAAAGGCTTGGCCATAATGCAGTACATTGTGATAGTATGACTGATTCTTTTGTGAATTTCTTTACATCATACCATATTTTGATCATGTTTTTAACAATAGGGTTAACCGTTTTTCCCAACAGTATTGGGACTGAATCAGGAAAAAAAGGTATAATGGCACAGATGGATTTACTGATTTAGATTCCATTTTTGTCCATTGGGGTGCGTCCCTGGCATTAAAGTAATATCTAATAGTCCTTAGTTGGGCTGCCCAGTAATACCACTTCCTTTTTGGACACTCGAGTCCTCCCTTATTGTGAGGCAAATGTAAGATGTGACATTCAAATCCTGGGCCATTTATTTTGCCATAAAATTAATTTCCTAAAATTATCAAACCAGTTTGAAGGGGGTGGCAGGGGGCACTCTGAAAAAAAATATACAAGGAACTGGAGCAGTTTTATTGCCAATAACCATTAAAACAACTATTTTCATTCATTTCAGACGAAGCTATTCACAGACTTGGATTATATTAAACTGCACTTCCAATATTTTCCACTGTTTGGCACCATTTCCCTTTTTTTTTCTCTGAGCATGGAGCTGCTGGCTTGCTTGGACTCGCAATGACTCTTGGGATACCCAAGTCTACAGAGGATACAGTGGACCCATCCTTCAAAACAGGCAAAGAGTAGTACGCATTAGCGCCAGACATCCCAGAGATATGATAAATTTCGACAGCCTCCAGTCAAACTAAACCCCCCCCTGCAGTACTTATCAACTTATGAATCCCTTTTCAGATATGAATGCCCTATTAGCGCTGTGTCTGGAGAACCATTCCTCCCCCTTCAGTTTCGGTTTTAGCATAAGTCTCTCTCTTGACCTGAGAGATGGTTTCTACATGATGACATAGACCTAACTAGGTCTATGTCATCAGTGTCACCAGCACTGGACTGATTTCAGACAGGAGAGCCACCAGCGCTGCGATCAGACCATAAATGATCTGTACAATTAAAACAGCTGCATGAGCTGGAACACTGCAGAGAGGGAAAACAAGAATTTTTATACAATAATGACCATCTGCCCTATTTACTAAGGGCAAATATAACTCAAGCAATCTCTCCTCTCTCTCTCCTTCTCTGCAGCTGTGCAGACAGCTTCATGAGATTGCAGTATATATATTTTCTCTTCTCCATCAAATCTTTTTTTCTGCTTTCAGATCTTACACTTCTCTGCTTTAAGACTTTTTTTTCGCTCCCTCTCAGACTGGAGTTGGATTGTTGCCTAGAAACCTGTTAAAGAAATCTCTGTGTTTCAACCTTCAAACTTTCTTTCCCTCAGGTTCTTTTCCTGAGCAGAGATCACTCAGAGCAAACTCTAGTACTTCATAATGTTTATGTATTAAATAACCAGAAGAGATGAAAACAGATTTTGATAGAAATTATAATCTAACTCAGATCAGAGAAGTTGCTTAGAGTTACAGTTAAAGTTTGTTTTGTTTTTGTATAATTTTTGAATCTTCACCAGTCAGGCTCTCATCTCCATTTTTGTGTTCCAGGACTACTAGATACTCCCAGTTCTGACGGAACCATTGTGGTGTTTTGGTCAAATCTTTTTACTCGATCTTGTTTTTGGATGTGTGTTGAGTTCAGGCCTCTTCTGTAATCGTGACACTCCACTTCATTAAGTAAGCCAAGCCTGAAGAGAAAGGAATTTCTCCTTACAGACTCAGAGGAATTCTTGAGGAAATGCAGCTGTTTGCTGTTTCATCACCTCCCTCTGTTTATGCCATATTGATAATAGGTGATGGTTTAACTCCAGGACCCTTATTATATATTTTTTTTTTTTATTAGCACGAATGTAGATCTACAGTATATTGAGTCAGTATGTTTCTCTGGGGCTGAAAATAACTAATTTCATCTTGGAAAAATAGAGAAACTTTCTTTGCTAATAGTCTGAGTTTTATAGTCAGGAAGAGATGCTTGGCAGCGGACTTTAAACAGCATCTTAAAATTAAAATGTTTTTTTCCTACTTTTCAACAAGTAAACTTCTACACTTTGAGATCAATATAGTCAACCAATCAATGAACAAGAAGGAATGTGAGGACTTCTGGGACAAAACGATGAAGGTGATGATGAGGGAAAACATCATGACTGAAGAAGAGCCATCAGAGGTCATCAGAAGTCATCAGAAGTCATCAGGGGTTGAGTTTGAGGGGAACCCATTGATGGAACAACAGCCTGTGCTGCTGATGGGACAGATTTTCCCCCTTAACTTAAAATATCCAAAGAGCTCATGAACCGGTCAGAAGCTTTTTTAAAAAATTTATTTTTGGTCCACAGCCTAAAACTGAAGCTGAAGCAATAAACTTGTGTTCCCAGAGGATTTTTTGTTCAGAACACTGGAAAAAATCAAAACCTAGATGAGTAATTTTTCCTTAAAAAGGAACAAGACAATTTACATTTAAAATAAGAAAAAGCAAATGCATTGTCTTATTTCAAGTGCATTTTATCTAAATATCTTATTTTAAGAGTAAAAATACTCGTTCCATTGGCAAATCATCTTATTTACCTACTCAAAAAAAGGGTAAATACACTTAATTTGAGAAATTTTTACTTATTTCTAGATCGCTTTTCCAGTGAACGAATTTGTCTGTGTCTAGTTTTATATTTTTTCTTCCCTTCCCTCCTCTGCTGCAGACACAGAAAAAATATGTAAACATGGATACATAAATACTTAACGTATGTTGCAGACCTCTGCTTCCATTAGTGAAACAGAGAAATAATATAATTGAACTTTATCAATCTCACATTGGAGAAATTTAACCCATCCCCTGGGGGAGCAGTGGGCTGCCATTGTGCGGAGCCCGGGGAGCAGCGTGGGGTTAAGGGTCTCGTTCAGGGGCTGTGTGGATCAAACCAAGTACAGCAACCTTCTCAGAACTGTTACGGCTGCAGTGGGTTTCTCCACTTTTCTTTGCAGGGTTCTGGATGCAGGCCTTCTCCAGGTGATCTGTTTTGCCCTAATTGGTGCTCGCCTGCTTTAAAAGCTGTCATGCAAGCAGCAGACAGGAGGCTTCTCTCTCTTGCCTCCTCAGAACCCTGTTTGGCTTGGTTTGGTTTGTATCCTGTCCCATGGTTGGGTTTTGTTAGGTTTGGTTGCATTTGCTTATTTCTGTTTGGTTATAGGGTTTGCATTAAGCCATTTCCTTTTCCCCATTTTATTTATTCCTTTTCAGGTATTGTTTCTTTAGCATAATTTAATAAATTCAATTTTTGCATTAAAGAAAATCCTTGTGTGGTCTCCTTTAATGTTACCCCCACCAAACAAGCCTGGTGGACGTAACTGAACACAAACGCACCGCTCTAACCACTAGGCCATCACTACCCAGGGGAACTAATACACAGTGGCCAGTTGAATGACGCTAAGCCGGAAGAACAGTTATAAAAGCAGGTTAGTCATTGAAAGCTATTTAACTCTTGCTTTGGGCTTTATTCTTTCTCTTCATGGTTATTTATTGTAGGAATATTCTTCAAGCGTTTATTTCCATCAGTTACTGTTGAGTAAAGTTGAAGATTTAAGTAAGGGTTTAGATTCAGATTCATGCTGATCTCCTCACTACTGTATAATTACAAAGCGAGGGATTCCTAAAGCAGGGATGTGTTTTATTGTCCAACTTCATGAAAACATTTAAAGCTTAATTTCTTGTTTATGCTGTACTTTATTCTGTATAACTTTACAGTTTAAAATAATTGAAATTATGAAACATCTGGATTTCTCATTGGGGTAAATATTACCTTCTCTGAATAAATCATTATTAACTCTTATAATTCCCTTTGATTAATAATGATCAGGTATTTACTGGCAGAAAAGAGAAAACTTGCCTCATTTCACTGAGTAAGTAGCTGCTGAATGGATGCAAAATGTGAGGTAAATCTCACCCAATTTGTTCCAGCAGTTAATCTAAGTTATTTTATACCCAATAAATACAACTAAATCTACCCCAATAAAGTCAGTGTAAATTATTACCTGAGGTTTATTAGGTAAATTCAATAGATTGTTTTTACAGTGTAACAAATATAAATCAATTACCTGTTTCCATCGTTTAATCCTTAACTGTGTTCATATTTAGTTGAAAAAGACGACAGCCTCCAATTAGTGGAGCACAGAGGTGGCAGCACAATGCTGTGGGACTGTTTGGCTGCAGGAGGGACTGGGTCACATCATAGAAATACAGCAGATGGTCTGACGATGAGAGAGGACTCAGCCTGGAGGAAACAGCATCTGGGCAGATGAGTTTAGAACAAAAACGGCGATCCAGAAACTTCTGAACTCTAAGAGTTCTGCTCTGCTCCTGATGGGAGAAGCGGGTTCAAATTCTGCTTTATAGAGAAGAGAGAAGCTCCTGTTGATCCTAACTGACCGGAAACAGAAAAATGGTGATTTGCAGTGTTTACAGCATGAATAATGTAAACGTGGATTTCATATTTTCAAGCCTTTTAAATTCAGACAGAACTAAATATCAGAGGTGAAGAACCACAATTTAAAACTAGATTTATATAAAGATGGTTTCTAAAAGGTCTGAGGCTTCCCTGAACCCCCCCAACCTGATTCTCCAGCTCTCTCAGATGTCTGATGGGCTCTGCAGCCTTTTCAGGTGTTTTGTGCCAATCATACGTCCTGCTGTTCCATCTTCACCCTTCAGAGATGAGTCTGTCACCTTCAAAGAGCGAGAAAGAGACGGAGTGGCGTGCACAAAAAGCATCCAGGGAGAGAAAAACATCTGAAGGGAAGTTGAAGACACACAAGAAGTCTAATCAGGCCCTGCAGGAGCTTCCATCGCACCAACGGGACGACAGAGAGGCTTCTGCTCAAAGAAGGTGATAATCAAGCATGGCGAGAACAGCCTTTTTTCTTCTCTTTTTGTGTCTGGAAAGTGATAATCAAGCTCCTCATCTCTGGTGATGAAGGCCTTACCTTAGATGGAGGAAGCAGGCAGCTCTCCTCCAAAGCAAACAGCCGACTGTGAAGGCCGTCCCACTTCTTCTGAGCTCTGTCCTCCTCCTCCTTGGAGACAGCAGGAGACAATAGAACAACCCCTCCTCAGATGACTTATTTTATCTTCCTTTCTTCTTTCTTGCATAAAACATTTTCAAGCTTTCTTTTAGGAAAAACTATTTCACATACAATGAACAAAATTGATTAAACACAAAACAATAAAATTAAACAATATCTTGGTAAAATAACAAGATGGTTGAACAGGTGACTTTGCAGCTGGGATGTAACGAGAGAAAATAAAGAGATTCTGGTGTCAGAAGGAGACGTCCAGAGGCCAGGAGCAGATGGACTGGATCCACAGTGGTTGGAGGAGGCTCCAAGAGGCCCCATGAAGCACCAAGAGGCCCCAGGAGGCACAAGGAGGCCCCCTGAGTCATAAAATAGGACAGATGGGCCCAGTATTCAAGGTGAGACATTCAATAGGAAAGTTCAAAACGTTTATTAAAATAAAAACATTAACAGAACTGAAGCGCAGCGCTGCTGAGGATCTGCGGACCTGCAGCGACTGCAGGAGGAGGCACGGTACCGCCCCATCACTGACACTCTGGTTTTGGGAGAAACACAGGTAAGTGACCACGATCATCTGTCAGGAGATGATTATCAGACCGAGTCACTGACCTGGTTTAACAGTTCAGTCCATCCTCTCAATCATAGGCAGGATCAGCCGATGCACTGCCAACGACAGACGGCCCTGAGCCATCCAGAGCGTCCCCAATGCAGCAGCCCCAGTGAGCAGGCTGGACTACGGTCTAGGACAGGGATTAAGGCCCCGTCCACACGAAGACGAACCCTGGCCTAAACGCACAAATTTTTCACCAAACCAGCCTCTCATCCATACGAAGCCGGCGTTTCGGGGGTCTGTAAACGATCTTTTTTTTATTCAGCCTTCAGAGTGGGAAGATTTCGAAACGCCGTTTTCGCTCTAACCGCATATTTTTTTTTACACGCATGCGTCATAGCGTCGCCTCTAAACACGCATGCGCGACACAGTATCACAACAACAATGGCGCCGTTGCTGCTCATGCTACTCACCCTGCTGTCGGGCTTACAACAGAATCTTCTTCTTCTGGAATATCTCCAGGAAGAACAGAGCAATATCGACGACATAGTTCAGCACCTGAATTTGACTGAACCACGAAAATGGACCCGCAGGGCAACCATGTATAAATATTAGTGCGCATGCCCAACATTTCGTCGCTTATTTTTGCTTTGGCACCACAGCGCCACTTACAGGCCTGGCATACATTTTGCAGCGTTTTCATGCATTCGTGTGGACGCTCACATTTATTTTACGTCTCCGTCTTTACGGCAAACGTTTTGGAAAATATCAGCGTTTCGTGTTTGTTTTGACGTTCGTGTGGACGGGGCCTCAGTTCAGACGGGAGTAGTTCTGGAATCCAGGAGTCTTCAGTCCGGTCAGGTGTTCTGATCCACTCAGGAACGGATGGATCTGGGTTCCAGGAATCCCTCAGAGCATGAAGGCAGGTTCAGAGTCCTGCGTGTCGAACATCCAGCTCAGACAGAAACGCACAGAAAGAGACAGAATCCGGCAGGAGTCCAACCATGGTTCAGGTGAACAAATCAGAGAGGGCCAGTGGATGAGAGGGAACGGAAACCTAAGGACACTGGCTTAACCTCCAGCCCATCGCAGGTGTAAAGTCCACTTATCTTTTATAGTTTTCTTAAAATAGAGGAGGTAAGGCAGTTGGTAGTGGAGCTAAAGCTCTAAACTGGCTTGGAATTGTTTATTTACATGATTAAAAACATGGACGTGTTTTTATGATGTCTCAGTAATGAAAATACCTTTTTCTCTCTATAAAAATATTTTTATTTTTCTGTGATGTTCAACTGAGAACAGATGAGCAGAAATGAAGGTTTGATATCATCAATCTGGGCGGATTAATATTTAAAATGTTACTTAGCAGCAAAGCTACTGAGATTAATGACCTTTTCATTCATATTCATTCATTTAATAGATGTGACAATAGATCAATAGGTTGATGGAGAGCCTGCCTGAATGTTCTGGATGAACTGAATCTCCATTTGAAGGATGATTTCATTTTATTAACACTAGCAAAGCTGTGGAAACTGATTTATAGCAAAGTTTAGGAGCTGATGGAAACCTTCAGAAGGTGGAGATGCAGCTACATCCATTAAATCACTAGTATCTGATCAGAAGAGCCCAGCTGGAGGACAGGTGTGTGGAAAAACACTGCCATCTAGCGTTAGAAAAGCATGCAGCATCCTCTCTATGATTGGCGTGGCCTCCTGCTGCTCAGATCTTGGAGGAGAGGAGAACAGGACCTTTATCATCCTAACAAGTCTCCTGCTGTTTAATGGCAGGTTATTAAAACAGACAGGAGGTCTAAGCTTTTATCCTTCCAGGAACAGCTCCCCCATTAATGCACATTACTGAGTGAAAGGAGAGGAGAATATAGTGTTAAATAAACAGCTAAGCAGATGAAAATAATACAGTAGTTTTTGTTTCCAGAAGCATTAAGGCTCTGCGTCATCTGTCTCATCCAGTGGAACTCATTTTCAGACAGCCGCCCATGAAATGGAAGCTATGGAAGAAAAAAAATACATTTAGAATAAAAAGAAAAATCTTAAAAATATGAAAAAGGCTTCAAATAAATTAGAACATTTGTGATTTATTTATTTAACTTAGCTGCAGGATTTTTCATTGGTTTTGTTTCAATTGGCCACAAGACAAGGAATTTATTTATTGTTGTTTCTCAGGAGTGTTTGGTTCAGAAATTTGTTGACGGTCCCTAACTCAGCAAAGCTTGAAAATCCAATATCCAGCTTCAAACTGGCTTCTTATGGCAGCGTTTTTCTGTTGCATTTGTTTGTTTGTTTTTCTGTGTTTTTGCATCACACATGTATTTGCAACTTCTTTTGTCCTTTATTGTGCATTTGACCTTGTCAACCACCGTACATTTTACCATAAGAAACATATTTCTATATGTAGCTTTACACACATTTCTTTCAATTTATTTTATAAAAGGTCAAAATTTTTGAATTTTCTGTCTGTGTCCATTTACTTCTCCTCTTCTCTCTCTGTGGACATCAATTGTCATGATCATGGCACTGATGACTGGCAGGATTACTTATTTAAAGATCTTGCACAGCTCCTCACATTTTCTCTTTACCATTCATCAGATCCACCTTCTATTTAACCAGCCCTCTATCCAGTCATCAGGGCCAGATTATTCTGGAGCCAGTAGTGAGTGTTTCAGCTTAACCTTAGTGTTTCTGTTTACCTTTGAAATCCTGCTGGATTCACTGCAGTGAGGTTAGGTTTAAGTTGGATATTCTTCTTCGCTCTGGGTACTCTGTAATTGAAGAAAGCCCCCCAATATTTGAATTGCATAGATTTTACAGTAAAAACACTGCGAGAGAAAACGGCTACATTGTGTAATGACTTCCTGTTTTCAAAATAAAAGTGGAGGCCTAGATTTTGAAACCAAGAAGCTATCAAGCTAGAATTTTAAGTACCCTCTCTGGTATTCAGGATTTTCAGTTCAGGCAGTTCAACATGATAAATCTGAGTTCAGGGCGAACTCAAGTGTCTAAGAAGGCCTGATCAATGAGCAAACGAAAACATGATCCACCAAAGAGAGGAAATACAGAAATCAGCTGAGAACCAGTTATTAGCTGCTATGTTTAAACTTTACCAACTGAATTTCACAGCACACCCCCCCCCCCCGCCACAAACACACACATACGTAAAAAAGGAAATGACAACACTGAGCAGTAGCTCACTGAAGCAGGTTTATTGAGCTTCTTGTTTGGGTTTGCACAGTGAAGCGGAGCGAACCAAAGCAGGACCAACAGCTGCATGAAACACAGACATTACTGATGCATCAAAGCAAAAACCAGCTGAAGATGGAAGTCGGCGCCATCTGTGTTAACTTCACTCACCAACAGCAGCTTATTAATCTTATTAATCTGGTAAAATGGCAGCATTTCATGGCCAACAATCACATCAGTCACTGTATATGAATCAAAGGAGGGAAATCTGATTGGTCAAACAGAAGCGGAGCTGATAGCATTGAGAAAAACACATTTAATGAATGAATGGCCTCTGAAGGAACCAAATCCACTTATTAATTATTCACAAACAGCAGACCGATATAAAGAAAGGTTTATTGTTACAAATTCTCTCTGTACCCACAGATCAATAAGAACAGAAAATTAAAGGTCAATGGGTTAAACATCACAGCAATCTGTCTAATATACATTATGAAACATTTCCCCAGGAAACTTCCTCCCCATCATCACACAGACCCCGCCCTGCATGGCGAACACCATCGAAGCTTCATCTGTTTGGTACTACAGGATCCTTCACTCTATTTAAGGTTAAATACTGAGTTACTAAGTTAGCAGTAGATCAGCCCCTACATGGACTCACACAGGAAAGAAGTACTTCATTGGTTTCCATCTCCTCCCACCTCAGTCCAGTCCTAAAACACTCCTCCTAATAACAGAGCATATTCAGCTATCTGCTGTCAGGTTAAAGCGCTGACTGGGTTAATAGAGATTTTAGACCGACAGACCAGAAGGAAGAGATTACCTAAAGACCACAGCTCTCCCTCTGGTGAAGTCTATCTTATAAAGATCTAACCTGTTTGGTTTAACTAATGTCACCCTAATGGATCAGCAGACCAGATTCCAGGTTCCTTAAAACACTGATTGGTTTCTCACAGGTATTTCCCAGGAAAAAATAAATATAACACCTATCCATCCCCCCATAATCACCTTCAACAAATAGATTATAATTTTTAATATAGCGTTTTGTACTGGACAAGACCGGACTGGACTGGATCAGACCGGACTGGATCAGACTGGGCCAGTTCAGATCGGACTAGATCAGGCTGCATGAATACATCCCTGCTTTGCTCATAAAATTAGGATTTCAGAAACAAAAGTAGATTCCAAAACATGTCAAAAAATATCAGGGCATTTTTAAAACAAAGAAGCAGTTCTAATGCAGGGTGAAAGATAAAGGCTTGGATTTAAAGGACTTTCAATGTAGAAAACCTCCTCATGGCTGCGAGCCTTTGGGTTCAAACATAATGGGATGTAGAAAGAAATCCTTGCCCGGCTCTAGTTAGATCTAAGCTAGTGTAAAAGACAGGTGGAAGCTCCAGTGGTTTCTATGGCAGATTCTAAATAGAAATGAAACAAACAGACCAGATGTTGGCAGGTCAACCTTTAACTAGGTCTCTAACAGTGTTGGAAGCGTTGGAGCTGGTTTTAAGAAGAAAATGATAGTTCTAAGGTCAATGTGTAATCTACAATGGCATTTTACAATGCATTTTAAGACACCAGGAGGAGAATCATAGTGGGAGGTTATGAGGTCTAGATCTAGGAAACCACACATCTCTGCTGGGCCCTGGAGTCTGTCCTGGAGATGTTGACGGTGGAGGATGTGTCGACCACGCTCTCAGACACTGACTGGGTCCGGACTGTACCCAGAGGTTTGGACAAAGCTGCAGATGAACTTGCTTCTGTGGAGCCAGTGGAGATTTCAACATCCTGAATAAACAGGAGCAGCATTAGAAGATCATTTAGGTCAGTTACTTTAAATACCAGTCTGCAATACATCCTGTGTTACAGCCAGTACTACATCCTGTACTACATCCTGTACTCCAGGCTGTACTACATGCTGTACTACAGCCTGTGCTACATCCTGTACCACAGCCTGTACTACAGCTTGTACCGCAGCCTGTACTACAGCCTGTACTGCAGCCTGAACTGCAGCCTGTACTGCAGCATGTACTACATCCTGTACTCCAGGTTGTACTACATCCTGTACTCCAGGCTGTACTACATCCTGTACTACAGCCTGTACTGCAGCCTGTACTACAGCCTGTACTGCAGCCTGAACTGCAGCCTGTACTACAGCCTGTACTGCAGCCTGTACTACAGCCTGTACTACAGCCTGTACTACAGCCTGTACTGCAGCCTGAACTGTGGCCTGTACTGCAGCCTGTACCGCATTCTTTACTGTGACTTGAACTGCAGCCTGTACTACAGCATGTACTACATCCTATACTACAGCCTTTGCTACAGAATGTACTACAGCCTGTACTGCAGCCTGAACTGCAGCCTGTACTGCAGCATGTACTACATCCTGTACTCCAGGTTGTACTACATCCTGTACTCCAGGCTGTACTACATCCTGTACTACAGCCTGTACTGCAGCCTGTACTACAGCCTGTACTGCAGCCTGAACTGCAGCCTGAACTGTGGCCTGTACTGCAGTCTGTACCGCATTGTGTACTGTGACTTGAACTGCAGCCTGTACTATAGCCTTTACCGCATCTTGTACCGCAGCCTGTACAACGATCTGTACTACATCCTGAACGGCAGCCTGTACAATAGCCTGTACTTCATCCTGTACTGCAGCCTGTACAATGGCCTGTTCCACAGCATGTACTACAGCCTGTACAATAGCCTGTTCCGCAGCCTGTATTACAACCTGTACTGCAGCCTGTACCTAATTCTTTACATCACTTAAATGTAATCAGATATATCCTACTAAAACCAACCAACGCCAACAATCTCAGTGAGAAGCAGAGTGTTACCTTTCCAGGCTCTGCAGTTAGATCAGCGTCTCGTTCAGTCATGGCTCCGCTCCCCTCAGAGGCAGCAACCTAACACCAGAGAGTGAGAGTGAGAGAATGAGACTTTAACCAGGACCTCAGCATTAACACCGTCCCTATCACACACCGCCCTCTAATGGAGGAAGTCATCCAATGCAAGTTCAACATGCTACATACAAGGCAGCTGGAAAAAGCATCAGATCAAAACATGCATTAGCAACAATGGAAGGAATTAATGTTAGTGGAAATGTTGACAGTGCTTAGGAGGAGTTAGACATTACATCAATAAAGAAGAGCCACCCGACTCTGGGGTATCATGCAGCCATTAGAGGTAGGGACAGCTTATCATGCTTGCTCTCCTCTGCTTGTCAAGGTTTAAATGTTTCACAGCGTTTCTTCCCTAAACGTGTGAGCTCCTCTCTGGGACACATGCCCCACACACTGTGAGCAGCCTGACCTTTAGTTGATCACAAACACCAACATGAGGAGGCTAACCAGAGGGTTCAGTAGTACAGTAAACCAGTGTGAATGTAAGACGGCCCTCAGTCTGCTTTACCTCAGGTGAGAACCCCAGGAAAGATTCCCAGAGCCACCAAAAAACACCTCCTCCATCATCTGCCGCGCTCTGCTCCTCACGGCCAGCTTCTTCAGCCGGGAGCTCACCATGATGATGCTGCTGACATGGAGATAGGCTCTTATGAGGAGGTAAACGTTTACCAGGGAGATCAAGCTGTTGACGTATCCTAAACAGAAAGCTGGAATCATTTCTTATTTTCTGACTCTTTCTAATTACACCAGACCAACATGAAGTGGTGAGAGATTCTGAAATGGATGAAATGTCAAACCGTAAAAATCAGTCTTTCACCTAAATTCAGCCTCTACTCTAAAACACCTGAATAAAACCCTCCATCAGCCTAACATCCAGCAGAGTCCAGCTGATGAAGGTAATCTGGGTATACGCACAGCAGGTCTGATTCCTGCCCCAGTGGTTTTGTAAAGAAAATCATGAAGACCAAGGAACCCAGCAGAACTCAGCGAGGAAGTTCTGGTTCTGTTTAAAGCAGATTCCAGAACACCAAGTTCGGAAGATTTCCCACAGCTGTGATCATTCCACTATCTGAACATGGAGATAGGATAGATCCTCCAGGTCATGGTCGTCCACCTAGACCAGGGGTCTCCAACTGCATTCCAGGAGATCTGGTACCCTGCATATTATAGGTCTATCCAGCTAAACCAAATTATGCAAAAATGCATTCCAGCTTGGAGATCTGGTAAGGGGCAATAAATTCTGCTGGAGTAGGAATGCATCTATAAACTGCAGTACATGAGATCTCCAGGACTGGGGTTTAACACCCCAATGCTAGACTTCCAGGCTGGACCAGGAGAGCATTAACCAGAGAAGAAGAGGAGCATGAAGGCTCTAATAGATGTGCAGAGAACCACAGCTAAGGAAGGAAGCTGCAGCCACATCGGTGGAATAAGGTTTTCTCACAGGAAATGCTCAAATGTAAAGATGAAACAAGCTGAGGAACTTCAATGACTGAATGCGATCAGCTAGTTTTCCTTAGAGGGACACTTTAAACTTTAAATCTGACTTGATGATCTAGGTGAACTGGATCTGTAATGTGGCCTGCCATTCTGTATAGAAATAAGCTGAAATGATAGGACCCCTGAACCAAAAGGCCCTTCATAAACACTTAAACCCAACCTAATCTGGATGAGGTCTTAGTTAACAAGACATTTCAAAAAGATTCAAAAACAATCCACTGGACTTTGTTTCCAAATTGGAAGACGTTTTTCTTCCCATCCAGGATGCACATATTTCGTCTATACCAAATCTGAGCAGAGTGGTGTCTGCAGTTCTATGCAGTGAGGAATGCTCAACCAAACAACCTCTCTACAGACGCATGGCCCAACACAGAACAGCGCCCTCCTCTGGACAAGACTCTGAGGTACATTCTTTAGAGGACCAGAATGTTCACATTTTGGACAAAGAAGACAGGTGGTTTGAGAGGGGCGTGAAGGAAGCCATCTATGTTAAGAAAGAAAAAACAACTTTAAACAGAGGGGGTGGACTCAGATTTCAGCTTTCAGAAACCTACAATGCAGCAATAGAGTTGATTCCTTCCTGCTATCGTCGCAACCCCAACCCCTTTACAGGGGAACAGAAGACCTCACCTATTCAGCCAGGCCAACAATTCCCTCTAACGACCCCCCGTTCAGAGACATAGACAGGTATGGGGGTTTGCAGGCTAACAAAGAAGCCAAATAACCCCCATTCCAAAGGGGTGGACCTGTTCGTCCGTTTCTGTTTGCATGTTTTCTAAATAAAAACAAGGCTTTGTTGGGCTGCTGTATAAAACCTGGAACTCAACGCTATTTCTGACATTTTGAATTGAAAAAGCTTCCTGGATGGAAGAGAAACATCTTAAAACTTGGAAACAAAGTCCAGTAGATTGTTTTTAACTTTTTTGGAATGACTCTAACCTGGATTACTGAGAAACTTCACCAGCATAGTCCAGAAGACATTGAATAGTCTGTATAAGCGTGGAGAGGACATCCTGTTATTGAGAAGCTGGGACTACCTGTCTGAGTCTTAGCCATTCTAAGAAGGGGGACTGGCCTAAATATCAGGCTTGAAATCCAAACACTCAGACCTACTGTAGAAGTCTTGGGGCTGCTGGAAAGACTTGATCAACAGAGCGTCCAGCCAGTAGGGCTGAATAAAAGTGGAAAACTACAGCGTCTTCTAATCAGGTTTAAAAACCAACTTCCCTTTAATTCCACTTCCATTTACCCACCATTATATACCGGTCCATCAACCGAACATCATCAGTTTCAGTTTAAACAGTTTGACCTTAAGCCCTCTCCCACAAATAATCTCAAACATTTATTAAAAAAGCTACGAAAAAAGCACATAAGTCACTGTTTCATTTCTATCTTCTGGGAGTGACCTATAATACAGAACCAGTATGGATTAAAACCTGACAATATCTAAGTAATAGTCAAACCTTTAAACAACTGCTTAGTGACTGTTATGGGTTTTCTCAAATGCATTTTTTTATTCTTCACTTTTGCTCCATGAAGCTTAAAGGTATTCAAGTTTGTCCTACTCCAGTGTCCTTGGAGTAGGACACTGGAGATATTGTCTTCACTGTGTGCCACTATTGAACTCAGGCTTTAGTGTGCAGACGTCACAGATCTTTGGCACAGATCAAGGCTCTCAACCAAAACAATTATTACATAGATATTTACCACTCTGTCTTTAGAGCCATGATGCAAAGGTTAGTAGGCTTACCAACTGAAGCTATTCACACCACAGCAATGCAACCATTCCTAATAATGACTATTAGTTTTTATGTTGGGGTCGATTTATATCCATCAGGGTCACATTCAGCACTGCATTTCTTTTTATTTGAGGTCAAGTTTAGATCAGAATAAAGTGGAGAATGTTATTATTTTCAAATGATGTTAAAAGATAAACTGTTATTTACCTCCTCTCCTGTGGAACCAACTACCAGTTTTAGTCCGTGAGGCAGACACCCTGTCTACTTTTAAGGCTAGGCTTAAAACTTTTCTTTTTGATAAAGCTTATAGTTAGGGTGGCTCAGGTTATCCTGAGCTATCTCTATAGTTATGCTGCTATAGGCTTAGACTGCTTAGGAACATAGGTACCTCTTTTTCATAATTCTGCTTCATTCTATCTCTATTCTCCCACTCTGCAGAATCTGTTAGTTCAATCTCTAACGTTCTGCTCTCTCTGCTTTTTCTCATAGTAGCTTCATCTGGTCTGTTCCTGAAATATCAGCTTGAGGTCTGTTTCACCAAACAGCTTTTAACAAACTCAGGCCCAAATCCTTGACTCTGATTTGATTTATCTTGACATTTTCACCAACACCCAGCATGCAGGCCTTAAAGTCCCGTACAAAGATCAAGCTGTTGTTGCCAGTAAGCCACAGGGCTTCCAGCAGCACGGAACCGAGGAAAGAATGGTCCAAAAAACCTAATGACATATAAGGCGAACCACGCTCTCAATGAGGCCAGCATCTATAGCTTCTGATTGGTCATCCAGGGTGTCACAGGTGTCACTCTGTTGGTATAATTACTGCGCATGTGATAAGGGAACGTTCAGTGCTTTCAGCTCCACCCTCTGGCAGTCAGTTGAACTAAACTCTGGGTTTGATTATTATGTCTGGGTTTCTACTCTATCAATACAAAATACATTTCCTTTAATGTTTTCACTCATCTTCACCAGAGGAGGAGGAGCTTGTATCCAGGGGGATAGTATCTAAAATAATCTGTGGAATAATACAGAAGTTAGTCCTCCATTCATCAGGGAAAAGGATCAAATATTTTCCCTGTTTGATAAAAGAACAAAATAGATTCCAACTTCAAACTATCAGCAGGCCAGTTAGTAGGACAACATGCAGGAGAGCAGATCTCTGTTCATCACACAGATCTGGGATAGTCAAACTATTCTGCACATGCAGACAGCCTTACAGACCAGCCACATTCCCTCCATGGTCGTCTCTCTCACAGCAAATTAAACTTGTCTGTTTAATTCTGGCGTGGAAACAATGAGGATATATCTTCCTTTGCTCTGAAGGCTGGGATCTTACCGGAATGCTGTCGGGGCTCCTGGACCGTCTCTCTTCAGGAGAAGCCTGCTTCACAGTCTGCAGAGTTCCTCCAGATCTGCTCAGGATGTCCTCCTCAAAATGAACCACTGTAATCTGGCCCTGCTCCTCCTTCTAGGACAGAGAACACATCGACGCAGGGCTGAGCCTTTTTTCTCTGCATTACACGCTGCTACATGTTCGCTACAGATTCCATTCATGTTCGTCTTTCTGTGGAAACTGTTTCAGATAATCAAAAACTATCTTCAGGCACGTTAACTAGAGGAACGACTTCATCCACTGTAAAAAATAACCTTTATTATCAGGAAATCAAGGAATCATAGCAGCCTGGAAGCTGCGCCAGCATGATGAAATCAGACAGAGTTATGTCAATGATGGTGTCTAAAGTATAAAATAAAATAAAACATTAATAACATGATTAAATATAACTAATTGCAGCAGAAGAAAAACCTTTTAAAATATTTTTTTCAGCTCAAACATATAAAACTAATCAGTAGGTAATATTTGTTATGTCAGTAAAGGATTAAGAAATTCCAGCAACCATATCTACTGTTTCCTAGATTTTCAGCTGATGTGTAAATAACTCAGGTTACTCTTGGTGGGAGGAGTAAAAAGATACTTAGATAGGAGTAGTGACACCCTCAGATGATTATCATTAACATACCTCAGATGTGGGTGGGTGGAGTTTTTGTGTCTCTTTGGCCTGACTGGGAGGCTGCTGGAGGAACAGGGCCGGCACCTTCTGTAAAATAAGAACACGTCCTTTAGGATAGGCCGGTTCAGCCCAGCCTGCCTGACATCCTGAACAAACCTTCTCCAGGTCCAGGAGCAGCGTCTGGAGCTGCTCCACCACACTGAAGACAGTCAGCGTCTCCTCCGCCTTCTCAGGGAGACAAAGGCCTGGTTTGCACTTCTGGATCTCAGCTACTGTTCTTCTCATTGACTGGATCCTCTGCTCGATCATCTGAGCAAAGCAGGAGAGCAACCGGGTGAATAAAATATAACCGACCAATCTGTTGAGGGTCGATTTCTGGGCTCACTTTCAGGTTATCCTCCCTGGGGCTGGGAAACGTCTCTGGAGATGAGAGCAGCACCTTGATCTCAGCAACATCGCCATCCATCCGCCGTACTTCATCTTCTATGGCCTCCACCTCCTTTGATCACACAACACATCAATGTGACTGGAAACGCAACACCGGCTAAAAAACTTTCAACCTTTAGATGTAAATTTAAATATTAAACTGAGATAAACGGGGTCAGAAGCTGTTGGTGTCAGTAAATCTATGAAAAGGTTTCCCTAAAAGAGAATCTCACAGCGGCGGCGTGCTCCAGCTGAGACAGAGGAGCTGTGAAGCTGTCCTGAACTTCAGCCACTCGGTGGTCTGCTTCCAGCAGCTGGTCCTGGAGAGCGGTGACATCACAGACCTGGGACATCTCCTTCAGGACGGAGCTGAAGCCCTGCAGCGTGGATCGGATCTGGGACGAATCACCCAGCACAATCTACAGCAACGCCACAAGAAGAAGCATAAAAACACACCTTCAGCATTCTGGGACTGATCCAGGTTGGAAAATAGAGAAGCGATCAGAGCAGCAGTGACCTGCAGAGCGTGAACATGGCTGCTGAGACATTTAGCCGTGGTGTAGGTGCAGGGAGCGGCAAGCCACGACTGAGCCTCAATTATCCAGGTCTTTGAGCTGTTGATCATTTCTTGGTGCTCCCGAAGCCACGTCTGTATCTGAGGAGGAACACAATCACCTCAGCAGGAAGTATGATCAGCATGTTTGGTCCCGGCTACAGGCTTAGCCTTCATCTCTTCTAGTCCATGACATTATCAACCTACAGCTTCAAACAGCTAGGGAGGCATTTAGACTTAAATAACTTTGATCGTCATTTTATATAAACAGTGTATACAAAATGACTTTTCGTTTAGTACAGCTGTCAGAGAGTAAATTAACATTTACATTTCATTAAGTGAAGCAGTGATCAAATGTAAACAGTGTGGGAGAAAAAAAAGAAAAAACATAGTGGAAAATGCATTGATGTGGAAGGTATATGGCATATAGACAGAGTATCAGTCTGGTAAAGAACTGATATGGCTTGATTTCAAAGGTGGGACTAATAGGTAAGCCTAATCCGGTTAGAACCAATCAGATCACTACAGATGTAGCCTCAGTTTCTACCTAACGACTGTTTCTGTCATTTTGTCAAACTGTCAGAGAACTCTCCAGTGAACCATTTCCGCAGGTTTTGCCTAAAACATCTGAGGATGTAGGGTGAGCTCTCTGATACGTTCTTCAGTCCCGCCTTCCTCGCTGCAATTATTGCGGTTGGAGTCAGCAGCAGTAAACCAGAGTGGCCAGGCTGTGCACAGCCAGCCAATGAACATGTCAGACTGGTTTTGAGCGTTTCTCACCTTGCTGAGTAGAGTTGTCCTCTGCTCCGCCTGTTTGGCTACCTGGGAGTGAAGCTGCTGGACCTCCACCAGTTTCTCTGTGAGGACCAGCATCTCCTGTGGCGTCTCCAAATCCTGCATCTCCACTTCTAGTGCTGCCAGTCTGGAGTGCCAAACATCCAGCTCATCCCAAACACGCTGATCACAGACAGATTGCAGGTTATCAACTTTTTCATTAAGGTATCAACTTGATTAAGAGGTAAATAGTGATAGAGGATGTCAATGATCCTCATAGCAATAAGTTGCTAATTGGACAGACAGATAGTCTTTGAGGTCCATTAAGGGACTTTATTACCCCATTTACACTACCCTTGAAAAACCGATCCATGCCGAGACCGGTACGAGCTCGGATCAGTTACCAGGCCAAGCTCGGTTCTGACGACCGTTTACACATCATGCTATCTCGGTTCCTCGACTCCTCGCCTCCTAGTGACAATCTGCGGTATTACTGCGAGTATTGAAGGAGGAAATCAAGCAGTTGGTGGCGGTAATGCACCAAAGGTTGTTTGCAACCGCCATAAAACACATGAAGAAGAAGACGAAGAAGGAGGGAATCAAACAAATTAAAATGGCGGCGCCAGATTCAGAAAGTTATGCTTGATTATTATTGCTGTACTTCTGTGTTTGCGGAGGGTCAGGCGAAGATGGCAACCTTTCGTGGATATGTTGCTTATAGTTGTTGTTCTTCTGTTTTGTGTTGGTTGGCAAGCAACTTTCGGAGGGGCATTACCCCCAGCTCATGCGCTCTTGTTATCAGAGAACCGAGCCAAGGAAAAACCCAGCCGAGCCCACCTCTGGAACTTGTCTAGAGTTAGCTCGGTTCGGTTGTGTCTAGCTCGGTTCAGTTCAGTTTGCTTTCCACTTACAAATGATAAGTTATCTCAGTTACTGAGCTCGGACTGGTCTCGGCACGGTTTTTCAAGGGTATTGTAAATGGGGTATATCTCTAACCCACCCTCCACAAACAGGCACCCACCTTCTGTTTCACCTTTGCTTCAACCACAGTGGGGCTCCTGTCCTTCATTCTGTCCTGAACGGATGTCAGGCCAGCCAGGACATCAGACAGCTTGGTCCCCAGTCTTTGAACAGGACCACTCCTCTCCACAGCCTCTGCTACCTGATGGACGAATTAGGGACAAAGATCATGCATCTAAGAAGAGAAGGAGCACTGCATGATACCTATAATCAACCTTTAATAAGAAATCCTCTCTTAATCCAAACATTTCGGCCAATCCTACGCTTTTATCTAATCTTCAAGCTGCAGGGTTACCAGTGCTGGATCTCGTAGAGTTTACAGAACAAAAAGGCATTGATCTCTACGTATGAGCTTCCAACCTTTTTTTTTTTATCTAAGACAATTAGACACATCAACTTACCAATATGATCATTGAAGCTTACCCAATAATCCAGAAATGGCGACACATTTGGACCTTAAAATGGATTCCGGTGATTACCTTTGTGTCCACTTGATGCAGCGACTTCGTGATTTCCTGCAGTTGACCGTCAATCTCAGTGGGAACCAGAGCATACTTTGTCCTAATACTGTCCGTAATGTGCTGTAGGATGGCCTTGTGGGCAGACATTTCTCTATACAACTCCTACAATCAGAAAACAATGCCATGGAAACTAAGATCAAAAGGAATAATCAGTCAGTGTCTCACAGAGAAAGACTCTTCTAGTTATTCTGACAATTTCAGGAGAGGATTAGAAAATCTAGAGCAAGTTAACCCTGAATGAGTGGGACTGTTGGCAACAGTAAGTCAAGGGGGTTTATTGACAACAAGAATGAATGTCGATAAAATGAAATAAAAAGCAGGATAAATCTGTTCAATGTGTTGACAGTTAGAGGAGAGAATGAGAAGGATACACTCGGTAAGAACCTCAGTGCATCACAGAATAAATAGACTCTTCATGGTTTCTACCGATCAAGAGTTCTGGTGGATTCAATGGATCAATCTGTGTCGATGACAAATCGAAGAACATTACAGGAATTCATCAAAGTCCTTCTGATCCAATCACATGGTGTCAGTGTTAGAAGGATGGTAGGAGGCTGATTTAGTAACGGTCCACGTCTGTTTTGGGCTCATCTTTAGGATCCACTTAACAGCTTTGGTCCAAAAAACATTCACTTCAATGTTTTTGGTATTTGGCAGATGAAGCTGTGGACTAATGAGTCAGAACCGGATAGATGCCCAAATTCCAGAGCTAGAATTCTCAGAATTGGCTTAAAAATCTGGTAAAAACCCTTTAACAGGCATAATGGGTAAATGCACTCAATTGAATATGATGGAAGAGTTTGGTTGTATGGATGATTCGAGTGAAAATGCTGTCTGAGGTAAACCCCCCTGAGAGGGGCTAGCAGAGCTCCTGGTGAATTAGTCACTACTGTCACCCTCAACGACTCTTCAACAGGCACTCCTCTATCTACGATTGGTTTATCTCTGGAGGGTGGGGCAGCATCTGAGGTAGCCTTAGAATCTGAACCGGGTTTAGACTGCTTTGATCCAGTTGAACTTTCAGAGTTAGCAAAACTATTGTCTTCATCTAAGCCTTCAGCTTGGATGTTAGATCCAGTACCAACCAGGTTATTTAAGGAGGTATTCCCTTTGATCCCCTCCTCCATTTTAGATGTGATAAATCTATCTCTGTTACAGGGATATGTACCAAAGGCTTTTAAGGTTGCTGTAATTAAACCTTTGCTTAAGAAACTGTCTCTTGACCCAGAGGACTTGGTCAATTATAGACCTATATCCAATCTTTCTTTCTGAAGAGGCTTTATGAAAAAAAAACAGATATATTTTGGGGGACTTAGAGAGCAGCATTTTGTCAGGAAGTCCTGCCTTCAAAAAGGGGCTGATAGCTTATAGGCAAGCTCAGATAGATGGATCTACTACACAGCTCAGTAGATCAGATAAGTAGGTAGATTTTCTGCTACTGTTTCATTTGGGAAAGCTTCTTCTGCCTCCATGAACCAGAGCTGGTAAAAAGCTGGTTTAAAGCAGTGACAGAGAGAAGACACGGCTGTAGATCCTCACCTGAAGCTGCTGTGAGCCGCTGCCCTCTTCCATCTCTGACAGCCGAGTCTCTGCAGTGTCCAGCCAAACACGGAGAAGCTGCAGATCTTCTCTGAGCTTTTCCCTCTCCTCCAGCTCCCGTCTGGTACCCAGTAAACCCTCTTTGCTCTTCTGCCCCGCCCTGAAAACACAACACCATGCTAGAGGATTCACACGCCTGGGGACAGTTTTTACAGAGCTTCTGTCAGAATATGGTGAGTCATGACAACAATAAACCACCTGATTGGTTATTTATTCACACTTTGTCATGATCGCAGTCCCAGTAGCTAATCTAATTACTCACTTCATTCACTTGCTGTTCCCTTCCCGCCTCTAAGTATCATTGATCTTATTCACCTGCTCCCCCTGCTATTGATACAGTTCAGCCCAGCTATCAGGGCTAGATCATTATTCGTTTGTATTTGTACTGTATTTGTCTATTCTTTGTTTATTCATGTTATGTTGTTGTGTCAGTTATTTATGTTTGTTTCATGAGAGTTAAGTCCCTGGTTCTTGTCCTGAGTCTTGGAGCCCAGAGGATTTAGAGGTTTTATTGTTTGTCTCCTGTCTCCTGATCGTGTCCCGACTCTTCTTCGTGGAGCCCTCAGGGTTTTGGTTCGGAACGTGGGGGAGGTCAGTTTTAGTCCCGTAATCCTGGCTCCAAGATTACTGAGCCTGCCTGTCTCCACCTGTTTGTGTTCTGTCTGATCTCACTGCTGGATTCATAGAACTCTGGACCTGAATGAATGCTCTGAGGATTCCCGGAACCCTGGATCTGCCTCTTCCTGTTTGGATCGAAATCCCCTGGTTGAGCTACGGACTAGTGGATCTGCAAACTGTCCCTTTCTGAACTGTTTCTCTGATCTGGATTGGTCTCCTGCCTGCTGAATGGGGTTGCTGCATCATGTACATTTTGGACGGCTCAGCATCGCATCTTGTTTGGCGTTCCATCGGCTGGATCCTGACTTCCTCTGAGAGAAAAGACTGAACTGTTAAACCGGGTAAATGACTTTGATTGTGGTCACTTACTTGTGTTTCTTTCACAAGTAAGTGCCAGTGATTGGTTGCGCCCTGCCACCTTGCAGCTGCTGCTGCCCGCGTTTCTGATCTATTCTGTTTAATTATTTCTGTCATTAAACGTTTTTAAACTTCCCATTGTCTTACTCGCATGAATTCTGGGTCCATATGTCCTGTTTACAGCAGTTTCATTTGCCTCTTTTTATGTTTGTCTGGACAGCCCTTAATAAATGTAAGCTGGTAGAGATGTCCTCAGAAACCCTGGAGGTGTTCTCCCACTGAAAGCTACTGGGATGAAATTCCTGCCTGACAAGATTATTATGTGACAAACAGCATTTATCTCCTTACATTTCTAAATGTGTTTTCCAGTAAAAAGTGTTTGCTGTATCAGGATGAAATGTTAAAATGTTTAAAGGCTGTAGAAGATTCAGACATGTTTCGATGGAAACTCTGTATCTGCTTCTCTACAGCACCAAACTAATCTATTCCCAGCATTTAGAGGTAGGCACAGCAGGAATCTCTGCGATATACATACCTGCTGTATCGCCTCTGCATCAGCTGAAGGTGCTGACAGAGGGGAATGGGAGGAGCCTGCTCCAAGTGGGCGGGGACTCCCAGCAGCCTGGCTGCACGCAGCTCCAGAGCAGACAGGGCTCTGTGTTCATAGTCCAGCCTTTCCTGGAACTGTTCCCAGGACTGCAGCAGCTCCTGGAGCTCCTCGGTGGAGGCCTCCATCTCAGAGGCACAAGGAAGCTCTGCCTCCACCTTCTCCAACACAGCTGAGGCTTTTTCCACCTAAACAGCACAACCAATAATCAGCGTTCCATTCATCCACCTTTATGACATCTAATGGGTTAGGGGTTGCACATAAATAAACATCACTATCTCCAGCCCATCAGAGAAACATGGAGGATTCAGCCTTAGGGGCTCATTTCCATCAGCAGGTAGAAGGTCAGGTGAAGGTTGAGTCTCCTCCTTTGTTCCTCCGTAAGTAGAGCAGCTTGTTATGAAGCCGCCAGCCTAAAATCTTTAATGCCTAATGAATGTTTTTCATGTACAACGGTGTGATCTGCATTTATCCATAGAACTAAATTAGCTGAGGAAATCTGTAAAGTCTAGAAAAGCAGAGGACCAACAGTAGAACCCTGAGGAACACCTCCATCCCTGTCAGAAACACACTTCCTTTCATTAAAACAACAATTATATGCTGAAAAGTCCACATTAAGTTGGTTAGCATGATCAGAGCTCCTCCAAGCTTTACGCTGAGCTCATGGATCTTAGCATGCCTCTTAACGATGATAATGAACTTCCTTGGTCTCCTTACGTTGTTAGTGACGTCCATCCACTCTGTGACTCGTCCTTTACTGCGAGCTGTCAGCTTCTGCATGCCGCTATGTAATCTGGACATCCATCTCCAGACAGCGGCCATCTTAGCTTCCCGGCCTCCTCGACAGCTCGTTTCTGAGCACCACTCTGTCATGTTCTCCAGACGCCTCAGGATGGACTCCATCTCGTCACACAGCGCCTGAGCAAGAGACAGACTTAGGCTACATTCACTCAGCAGCCTGCAGTGACCCGAATCCCATTTCTTTGCCCATATGCTACCTGGATCTGATCTTTTCATGGCTGTCTGAACAACGCAGATCTTATGTTTTCCAATGCGACCCAGGCCACTTGGCTCTGTGGTCCTGAATCCGATCTGATCTTTTTAAATGCGAACTGTGTCTGAACGGCCAAGTCGCATCCATCCAACCTGAATGCCATTAATACGGACAAAGATCACCATTCTGCCTCTAGCTAAGCAGAAGTGGCAAGAAAAACAAGCATAGCGAACAATGATGTGGATATCAGTCTTTATTCTTAACCATCTTGAAATAATTTAGTTTTCAAGGTTAGGAAATATCGCTAGATGTGCTCCAGCACTACATCCATGTACTTAGATGTTTACTCTGTGTTTACAGTAAGTAGGTAAACATAGAGCAGCTGGCTTGTGACGTCCCTTATGAATGCATTTTACACAAGAGATCACATACTGTAAAAATGTCCATAGCTGTATATTGGTTATTTATTTATTAATTTATTTATTTATTAATTTATTTATTTATTTATTTATATTGTTAAAACAATTTACAGTATTTTATTGTCTATCTATTAACTCTTCACTATTATGTTATTCTTATACATTTTGCTAAGGTCCACATTTTTGTGACCATTTTTTCTATGATCATTTTGCTGCTGCAAACACCAGAATTTCCCCATTGAGGGACTTTTAAAGAGATATTCCATTATTTTCTATTCTATTCTATTCTATTCTATTCTATTCTATTCTATTCTATTCTATTCTATTCTATTCTATTCTATACAAGTCGCATATTTGTCCGACTTGTATAGAAATGTAAATGTGAACGGCAACGCAAGAAAACAAATCTGCATTGAGCATTAAGGCCTGAAGTGTGAACGCAGCCTTTTTGTGGTGGTTTAGTGAAACTGGTTTCGGTAAAGATTAAGAATATCTGAACTCCAGGATGAATTCGGTGCTCAATACTCACTGTGAGTGTTTCCACCTGGTCAGTGCAGTCAGACAGACAGGTGACCTTCTGGTACATCTGCTGGAGGAGTCTCTCTGTTACCTGGGAAACAAGCTCCATGGTTTCATCTTCTGACCTTCTGTAGCTGCTGTACTGCTCTGCACACCTGAAAGGCCAGATATCATTAGCAGCGGGATGCTAGCCTGGGATTTAGCCCCTCACAGGTACAGTGCAGCTCTTTGTGATCTAACAATGACAATTATTGTAATAGAAACGGGAGATGGGAAGAAAAGGATCTTGGGTTTCTAAATACAAAGCTCAGCATCTGGGAAGTCTGGGCCAGACCCTGATGTTGGACCTAAGGCCTGATGTCAGTCTTAGCCTTATTCAACCCAAAGCTCTTCCTTCAGCTTGACTCTCCAGCCAAAGTTCTCACAGACCAGACCTGCTCTACCAGGTCTTCATTGAGCTCCATGGTCCTCAGTCAGGGTCCACTTTAATCCTCCTTTACTGTGAAATTATCCCACACCATGAGCCTTTCCCACCAAACTAAAACACCTCTGACTCCCAAACCAGATTCAAAGAGTGTCTGACTGAGAGGACGAGTCTTTACTTTTCATGTCCTCCTGCGTTACACCACTGAGCAGATGTTCATGGTCTTCTCCGTGGTCTCCTGCAGCCTGTCCTGATTTAGCTCCATATCTTCCCTCAGCTCTGAGCAGATAATGATGCTACATGTTGCCGTGCGTCACTCCGCTGATGGTTTGTTGGAGATGAAGAGGCAGTGCTGGTTTTTCAAATAAAGCTTTCCATTTTAAATTTGGTGCAAATAACAAGAGAACCTTTACATTTACACGAGAGCACAGTTATCTACAACCAGAGCCACAATGGCCAGTCTGGTTGGACCTTAATGTACTGGTAGGTCTGCAGGTAGGCCATTCCCTGTGAGATTATTCTAGAAGCTAAAGCTTCTTTAACCAGAACCTCCTGCCTGCTGGGTTACTCTCTCTGCATGAGGCTGGGTTAACCTCTGAGGACATAACCAGAAGAGCTGCATCTATATTTCAAAAAATAACAACCGCTGTACTGTCAGATGAGCATAACCCCTTTAGTTTATCCCTTTGAATTTGTACGAAAAATAGACTTTAAACTACTTCAACAGGTGTGTATCCCTTTAGTCGTGTATAAAAAGACAATTAAATTACTTACTTTTTGGTGTTTTTTTAAGCATATGGTGACCTGACCTTAAATTGTTTTGCTTTTTTTGTACATGACTAAAGGAATAAACTAAATTCTGACATATTGTGCATGCGTATTGACTATGGGTATGCTGGTCTGACCAGGTATGCTCACCTTACAGAAAACCGCCTATCATTTTCTTCACTCTTTTTCTTTGGTCACTGACTAAAAACCCAAATAAATCAGTAAAGTCTGGAACTTGGAAACATGAGCAGTTTTAGCAGCAAGAAATACACAAAATAGATCCGCAATCACAGTTCTTTGTGCGACTGGGTCAATGATAACATCTTTAAAACAACATAAATCATTTCTTCCATCAGAAATCAGATTTACCTGGAGAGATTTTCCAGTCTAATGTGTCCTTTTGCCAGCAGTGTGGACATCCGAACCAGAAGCTGGCTGAGGATCGTTTCCTGGAGCTGCTCCAGCTTCTGTGGAGACAGACAGGTCTGCACCACCTCCTGCTCCTGAAGCTTCTCAATGTGGCTCTGAAACTGATTCTGCAGGGAGGTCAAAGCCTCCTGGGTCTCCTCCTGGGATTCATAACACGGCCCGGTAGAACCGTGCAGAGGCAGCAGAGACACCTCCATGTCATGCAGGAACTGAGCTGCTCTATTCACTGTCAGGGTGTAGCTCCTCCAGCTCTCTCTGGTTTTCACAACTTCCTCCTGAAAATAAAACAGATTCTGGTTTAGTTCATGAAATATTTCAGACTGAAGAATTACAGCATGAAGAAATAAAAGATGGAGCTTTTAATTATTTCATGTCATGTATTAAATTAGAACATATCGGGAAAAAAACAGCCAATAACCCGATTAAAATACAACTTAATCCTCTAATGCAATAATCAGGATGTTTGATGTTCTGTTAAGTCAAAGTGCAGAGGAGTCTTCAAAATCAGCGTTTAAGAAGAAACAATAACCTCAGTATATTCTGGAAAGGAGCAGAAGCAGGGCGTGGAGATGGGAGGCAAACTAAAGAACCCAGCGGCAAAGGAAAAAGACTGGAGGGCTTCAATAAAGCAGAGGTGAAAAATCACTGTAAGCTGGGATTTACTGAACTGATGCCTCTGGTTAAGACCGAGTAACAGTTTAAAACAATGGCACAGCCTTAATGCCAACACTAAGAAAAGTACTAAAAATAGAGCTCCTAGCTAGGGTGAGCATAAACAATTAACTAGTATTGGAAATCCTAAATACCAAAAATAAGTCTGGTTATCATGTTCTTGTCAGGGTTCCTGTGTGGGTTAGTGTGAGTTGTGCATATCTACTAATAGAGGATCTTTGTGAAGAACTTGGGTAGCCTACACAGGTGAAAGAGATCTATAAAATCATAGTGCTGGGCATAAAAGAGGACCAGAGCCTTCATTCAGGGCTGGTTTCTTGCATTTTGAAGATGTTTAGTTGCTTCCTGAGTATTTTTCATGACGTTTATTGGTTTTGTTTGGTTTTCAGTATTTTTGTATTTTGTATTTTTGCCTCTGTTTCCCTCTGACTTCATTTAACCATCCAAACTCATCCATGCCTACTCCTCTCTGCATTTGGGACCTCAAACCTCCACCAAACCTGACAGTCTTTTATTTAATCTGAAAGACAGAAACAGGATAACCCATAATCTAATCCCTGCAGACATTCCCCCTACGTCCCCTGAGACCTTCACTCTGCAACACAAACTTATATAAAAACTGTTCATAGATGTCAATTCTATCAACTAATATGAGATAGTTAAACTTTTCCAGTGGAATTGGACAATTATTACTTCAAATAAAAACAAACGCAGTCTCTTATTTTAAGGCTAAAATACTCAATTGGCAGACCATGATATTTACCTGATCAAATTAAGAGTAAATCCATTTATTTTCAGACATTTTTCCTCATCTTTGGATGGTTTTGGATCATATAACCTGTAAGGGTTATTTACGGCTAACAGAAATCATGACTTACCATTTTGGAGTTCCATTCTTTTAAGACGGAATTCTTTAAGTCCATCAGTTCCTGCTTCCTCTGGTCGCCACCGTCTTTTTGCTCCAGGACCTGCAGCGCCCTCATCTGCAGCTCTGCGGCCTTTTTCAGAGACAGGAGTCTCCAGTATTCCTTGTCCACCGTCACCTGGCTGGGCTCCAACGTAGGAGGGGCCTGAAGCTCTTTGAGGATCCTCCAGAGGAAGTACTGAGTGGAGGTCCTCACTGATTCAAGGTCCAGTCCTTTGAGCGCATCTAGTTCAATGAGATCCAGATTGTTGCTGAGAGTGATCTCCAAGGCGTCCAGGACTTCCTCGGTTTGTCTAATGGTCTGTTGCTCAGCAACCAGCTGTGAGGGATACAGGTCTGCAGAGATCAAGTCAAGGTTGGAGCGGGCCTCCTCACACAGTCCTTTCATTTGAGGAAACTGGAGGAAGAGGCTGAGGCACCTTCTGTAGCGGTCCATCAACTCCCTGCTGTCATCGCTGGTCAGGAGAACCTGCTGCTGGATGTCCTCCTTCACCGTCTCCAAACGCTGCTTCATGTTCAGGTAATTCTCATGGTCCTTGGATTTAATTTCTAATGATGCTATTTTACTCTGAACTTGAGAAAATGCGTCGTTTGTTTCCTTGAGCTTCTCTGGAGGAGTCCACGGGATCAGGAGGTCCACCTGGGACTTGTGTTCTGAAAGCTTGAGTTTTAGAGGCTTTAAGAGTTTCAGGGGTTCTTTGGTGATGGGAAACTTCAGTCCGCTCATCTCGGCTAACATCTGCCTCAGACTTTTATCAATACTGTCTAAAGAGTTCCTTCTTAACTCTGCAGCCATGAGGAGATGATCCAGCTGCTCTTTCTGGTTCTTCTCATGGCTGATGATGGTTCTGACATCTTCCTGAAGCCTCCAGATCTTGTCAAAAAGCTGGAAGTTCTCCATCGCACTGAGTTCCACTGCAATGTCTTTGCTGGTCATGAGCAGAGCCTCACAGATGGCTGCCTGCCTTTCCGCCTCAGCCAGGCCTTCTTGGACCTGGAGAACTTCCTGATCCATATCACTGTGGCCAATAGCTTCTCTCTTTGTGCTCCTGGAGACCTCTGATTGCAGGTAAGACCCAACCCAGGAGTCCAACTCAGCCATCTGCTCAGAGAGCTTCTCTCTGATCTGGAGTCCAGACTCCACCTCCTTGATAGCTTTGGACAGCTTGGCGGTGGTGGACTTTGAAAGCTCTTCAAGGCCTGTAAGAGAAGTCTGTACAAATGGCACCTCCTGAGCCTGGTCAAGCTGAGGAAGCAGTTCAGTCACTTCCTCCACCAGCAGCTCCAGCTGGCCTTGTTTGGCCGTCACTTCAGACTGAAGCTTCTTTAGGTCGTTGAGCTGCCGGTGAACCTCTTCAGGAAGTAATGGCACCCACCTCCTCCGACCCTCAATGTCCCTCTCTGTCTGCTTGGCCCATGCCAGGCCATGTGTCATCACAGCAACCATTTTCTCCATAACAGGGCTGCTGCTGTTCTTTGTCTGAGAGGATAGCAGCTCCTCTGTGAGGCACAGCTTGTTTTGCACCTCCTGGAGCTTGTTGGTTACCTCCTCTGAATCCTGACCCCACTGAGAGTTGTGAACTAACTCCTCTGACATTCGCTGTAAATGAAGGTATTGCTGCTTGGCTGCTTTAATCTCAGCATTCGCCTCCATCAGGTGTTGGGCTTCCTTGCAACTCCACAGACTAACTGAAGAACTTTTGACTTGAAGGTCTTTGCAGATTGGATCGACGCGCTCCAGCAAACCATTCAGATCTGCTAGAAGAGTGTTGATGTGTTGAGAATAGACGTTTGCATGATAAAGACTGCTCTCCACCGTCCTTTCTAGAGACTTCCATGTTTCCAGCAGGTTGTTTTTCTCAATCTGAACACTTTCTTGATGCGTTGGACTGAGGTGGAGACAAATCTCTGCCAGTTTTATCAGCAACTCCCCGAGCATCACTCTGTTCTCCTCCATCCTTCTCTGGAAGCAGCATATTCGCTCTGCCTGCTTCTGACTGCTGTCTTCTGGGGACCTAAAGGGCAAACAAATCTGTTCAAACCGCTCTGTTTCTCAGCTTTAGACAAAAAATAAAAAATGGAGGGCACATTGAGATGTGACTCACATATCGCAGTTGTTTGGCGACCTGTGTTAGCATATGCATTTTATTTTTTCATTACAAACAAAGGCAGTGCCCACTTTAAATCATTGAAAATGTCAGCATTTAAGGGAAAACTCCTAACCTATCTAAATCTTTTGTATCTATGTTTCCTTTTCTATTTCTGCTTTTGTCTCCTTGAACCCCAGTCAACCTCAGCAGAGGTCTGAGCCTGGTTCTGCTAGAGGTTTCTTCATGTGTGTAGGACTGCTGAAGAGTCAATGAGTCGATGCAATCAACAGATTTGTTATTAAACTTAATTTCCTGTGTTTAAACATGTTGGTGAAATTAACCATTTTAACTGAAGTTTGAAGAAGAGCAGGTGAAACAACAGGTGTTCAAAGCAGAAAGTGACGTTTGGTCAATCTTCATTGAACTAATTTACCATCCGAATAAACTCCATCTTTGGTTTTGCTCTCTATTCAACCATTATTGGATTTATTCCTAAATCTGTCATCTACATTAGATTTTTGTGTGTGTCGTTATCATAATGTTTCTATAAACCTCGTACTTCGTCATGTTTTCTCCATGTTTGCTTTATTTCTTGAACCCAAACCAGGAACAGCTGTACATGCCTGCAAACAATACTATATATAACATATAATAAAATGCAAATGAACCAGACTGATCTACAACTGTCCCTGTTAATAATATGCATAAGGAAGCTTTTTGAATTTCTTTGTTTCCCTTTGAACATAAACATGCTCTTTTAAAATAGCTATAAAAGAATTACAGGCTGATCTATTCATTCTAATTTATAGGAGAGTCCAGGTCCATTCCTTGAGGGCCACCATCCAGCAGATGTATCCCTTCATGTGGCTTGTTTCCAGGACTGAGCTGAACATCATGCTGGCACAGAAAGCCTAGCCTGACGTAGTCCGACTCAATTCTAGTCAGAAAATGAGTCTGATACTCCTCCATAGAGCTGTGATTATGGGGCGTGTTTTGAACGAACCAGTAAAAAAAATGCCTCTGCACTCAATTGGATAGACCTACAACCAATAAGAGCAACGGAGTGTGTGACGTATGTTAAGCGACACATAGTTGTTGTCAACAAAAATCAAAGCGTGCAGTTGCACGCCTAGAATAAGAAGATGAGCCTTTATCGCCTTTCTCTGTTCCTCTTTTAAAATTAATTTGCTGTCGATATCTTCTAGAACAGACCTAATAGCAGAATCTACACATCTCAACTCTCCAGCGGCAGCCATTGTTGTTGTCACCCAAGCGCGCATTGGTGACGTGGTTGATTGCGTTAATGTTGATCATCTGTCCATCAACGTATAAAGCCCGCCCTGACAATTTGATTGGCCCGCCAGATATTGTGCGAGCATACTCGCGCTACTACTGAGCAATGCCAGACCGAAACTTCCCGACCTCAAATGTTGTGGGCGGGACTAAGTTCGGAATGGCACCCAGGCTACAGAAGGCCATCACTAGATGCAAATAAAAGCTGCAGGATTGTAGCTCTACAGGCCTCTACACCCAAATACATAAATAGAAAAAAACACTCACTCCACAGCATATATTAAAGCAAAATCGGAGAGGGAAACAGGGAGTGAAATATCAGAAGAAGAGTGGAAAAGAATATGGAAATGCTCCAGTTCAATGACCTGGAGGATATCTAACTAGAATAACTTAATTAAATATTTTACTGCCCCATCGGAGAAATCTAAATTCAGTAACACCACCCCTGTCTGCTGGAGACAATGTGATCAACAAAGTGCAAAATCACCACCATGTCTTTGGGGATTTCCCAAAAATTCAGACATACATAACTCATTACAAGACATTTTCAGAGAGGATTTTTCCACTGGACTTTAAGACTTTGTATCTGGGATGTGTTCCTCTCTAGACTGGCTGAAAGTGGACAAATACTTAATGAACATCCAGCAGAAACGCTATCACCAGGAAATGGATACAACCAGAAAGCTGAGTGTTTTCTTTCCATTGTGTTGGAAATATGTAAGATTGGACAGATAACAGCCTATGTTAACCAGAAAATGGAGCTCTTCTTAGAGCGATGGTTGGAATGGTATTTCTTTGCTCCAGCAAAGTGGCCCGACATTATTACGATTACGATGACTTTATAATGTAAAATGTATCCTGTTGTATGAACATGTATGTGACAAACTCCTTGTATGTAGATAGTTCTGTTCTTAATGTGTGTTATTTCCCTCTTCCTTTTTCCCTGGAAGAAAAACACGATTAAATATAAAAAAAAAGTTTTAGGAAAATTATCAACTAATAAGTGAATTATGGAAAAAACTCACAAGCTGGGAAATTTAGGGGATATTTATAGAGTTAATAGCAATAGATTTGTTTTTATATCTGAGAAAATCTGCAATCTGATCTGAAACTAGATCCAAACTGCTTCCATCTACCAAATCGCTCCAAGACGGATTTAGGAAAACTTCCTTTGAGAATCAATTAAAGAAAAACAGCAAAGGGATTACAGGGAAAAGGTAACAGGTATTTGTTGTAGTTCCCCTCCAGGTATTTTGCAAAGTAATGGAATATGGAAGATACTTACATTTTAATGGTAACGATTTCTGCATTAAGTCCATTCAGCATCATTTTTGCTGTTGCCCTCTGCCTGCAGTAATCAGCCACAAGCTGCAACTGAGCCTCTTTAATCTGGATAGCAGCAGCTGCTTCTTCTGCCACAGTAGCCCACTGGTACTCTAGGTCCTCCAGAACATCCCCTCTAATGGCGTCTGCTTCTCCCAGCTGTGGCAGTAGTGAACTCTGAAGCTTGGACAGCTCTAATCCTTTCTGTTCAACGAGAAATTCTTTAAGCTTTTCTTTCTGATGTAAACCAGAGGAGCAGAGCCTTGAACTCACCTGGAGCTCCTCCACCTGCTGCTGCATGGCCTCCAGGCTAAGATCAGTGGGACTGTTTTTAATGTGAAGGACATTGGAGGCGAGTCTGCTGAGCTGAAGACCCAGATCTCTGGCGGAGGTGTTCAGTTCTTCTGGGACATTCTTCTGCAATTCATCCTTGAAACAAACCATAAACATTAGAAAGGTTGAAGAAAAGGTTTGCTTTATGCATCAGTGTCATAATCCAAAGTTAGCAGGTAAGCTACGACTTTCTTTTTTAAAACAAACATCAGAACAGATCATGGTCACCGTACCTTGCTGAGTTGCGGGATGATTTCTGTCCCACTGAGTCGTTGCATTTCTGAGAAGATGTTGTCTACAATGGTCCTCTCAGGTTCCTTCAGATAAGGTTTCTCAGATGTTTGGGTTTCTTCTTCCTGAAATAAAGTTCCGTGCGGATGACTTACTTCCACTGCAGCAGCATCAGGTAATGTTTGCTCAACCATCTCCAAAGATCCTGTTAGCATCTACTTAACTCTAAAACCCACCTAAATATTTTAGAATAAATAATCTAAATCCCTTTATTGTCTCACAATGGATAAATTCCATTTCTGCATTTAACCCATCCCCTTGCTGGGCAGTGGGCTGCCATTGTGCGGCTCCCGGGGAACATTGTGGGGTTATGGGTCTTGCTCAGGGACCCAGAGTGCAGGCTGTTGGGATCAAACGGGTACTTGCAACTTTCCCAGATTACAGTGCTCGGCTCTAACCGCTAGGGCAACACTCCCCAAATAGATTCAAAATCATGTTTTCTACAAGCAATTTAAGATTAGTTTTGCATGAAAGTTTAGGAAGGAATAATCAATCAAACTTTAAAGAAAAAAGTAGTTTTGTAATATAGAGGGAAATACATGATGCTAAAGTTTAGATGAACCACTTATTATTTATCATTTAGCAGATATTTTGTCATGAGCAAACTACCTGGCAGTTTGGGTGGTCTTCTCATAAATGCTGTTGGGCCATAAATCATGATATTATTTTAACATTAGAGACCAATGTCCATCCTGATCTTAGCTGTGATCATTGGTGTAGGAGGATGCAGGTTTGCTCTGCTGTTGGACTCACTTCTCCAATTTCTGCAAACTTTCCAAGACACTCCCATGAGGACATGCAATCCTGCCCCCATGCTGCTGGGGGGAAAAAAGGAATGAATTGAGATTCTCATCGTTTTTGCGATTAGTCTCTCCTGAGGCTCCTATTGGAAGGAAGGCCACGATAAAAGGCCACAAGCCTCAGACCAGAATCTGCAGGTTGAATCAAAGGCTAACTGGAGGAGTCTCTCTGTTACCTGGGAAACAAGCTCCAGGGTTTCATCTTTGACCTGCTGTAGCTTCTGTGCTATTCTGCACACCTGAATGGCCAGATATCATTAGCAGCAAGATGGCGGCTAATGAACAGATGGCTCCAAAAACAGACAGATAAACTTTGAGATACCAGAGACTGAGAGAGTGGAGCGTCTGAGCACAAAGAACCTGCAGGACTGATATACGAAACTGCTTAATACTGGAGACCACTTAGACTTTTTCAGAAATCAGGTTACAGGTCTGGCATAGTTAAGGAAAGAGTTTGAGGTCAACAATATTTAGATGGTTTTTAATTATTTTCTTTTACTATTGTTGTGTAAGACAAGCTAAGGCTTTGGGCCACATGGAACACCATGCTGACGTGTTTTTAGCAGGAAATTATAATTTCATCAATAAAGGAACAACAAAAATAGATTTTAAAACTAACCATGGAATCAGATTTCAAGAGCTGATCTTCATCCTGACCTGTTCATAGTCAGCTGTAAACTCATGTAACGCATGCTGTGGATCTTGATTGGAGGCAGTCAGAAGAACCGAGCACTACGTTAATAATTCAGGTCCATTATAGTTATAAACGGGGCCCATAACAAATGGTAGCCCTGGAGTCCGACAAGCACCAAGGACAGCTCCAACTAGGGCAACCTCTGCCTGCAATGTGGATCAGACTCCTGCTCCACTTGTCCCAACATCAGATGGCCCCTGGAGCTTCCCCACAAAGTCCATGTGAACTAGTTGAAAAACCCTCCACCTCTCCCTGTGATCCACTCCAGAGCTGTAGAGTCAAACCTCTAAAGCTCCTGGCTTTAAGGACCCAGGCTGACATTTTCTAGCCTGTATTGATTAACCACATGGACAAGCTTGGGATCCCCAGCCTCTCTAAAGTCTATCATTTACTTCACCATATTGGTTTCTCCCAACCTTACAATGCAGAATCCAATACAAGAACTCTTGCATTCTTGGTTAGGGACAAATCAAGCTGTCCAAGAAGCTCCCTTAGGTGAGGTACTTTCCTTCTTACCACAGTAATCTTTGTCGGTTACTTGAAATAAAGATTTGTGCTATGTTTCTTCAACTATACAAAGCTGATAAAATATTAAAATATATTGAAATATTAGAATGACTTACCTTTGACTTCTCATCCAGAGGTTCTACTTCATCATCAGTAGTTTGGAGTGGAACCTCGAGACTGACATATCTTTCTTCAGGCTCTCTCTCAACTTCTTGATTCATTTCTTCTCCTTCATCTGTTGACTTTTCATCCTCTTTGACCTTAAGGACCAAACTGTGTTCAGACTCCAACGAGGTAGAGGTTTCTCTAGCAGCTTCTTTAAGCACTTTATCTCCACAGACCTTCACAGACTTTATATTTGGCTCCATCTCTGGATACTTTTGAATTTCTACAGTTTGAACTTCAAACTTACTGAAAAGGATTTCTCTGTTTTCAGCAAGCGTCCCAGAAAAAGTCTCTGTCTCCTGTATGAATGATGTAGAGGGCTGCTCTGTAATACGGTGATCCTGAACTTCTCCAGACGATGCACCTTTGAGAGACTCTGGATGAGCATCATCATGCCTTTCTTCCTTCCTATTGTTTTCAGATCTCACAGTTTCAGCTGATCTTTGCTGACCCTGCTGTGCTGCATCTGTTTCTACCACTGTCAACTCTTCATGGTCAATATCGTAAGAATGCAGATCTTCTTTTTCTATCTCTTTTGTGCTCTGAATACTTGTGTCATTTGGATTAGTGTTTGGCATGTCTGTTATTATAACGGATGAGGTATCTTTTGGCATCTGAGTGTCTGGGTTTGAAATCAGCAACTCTGTGCCTTTGGGACTTAGAGGGAGGTCTCCGGGTCTGTCTTGTATAGTTTTTGAAAGGTCTTGAGTAATCCCTTCTTGTGGTCTAAGGAAATCTTTCTCCATGACCATTTTTTCCTCCAGTGCCATGTCGGCATCACTTGACTGGAACGGTGCAGAGCTATGTTGAGAGGAGTCACTCTGAGGCACATTCTCTTTCCATGTGGAACAGGTTGGTTGTGATTTCCATCTTGTTTTATCTATTATTGGCACATCTAAAATTTTCTCATGCTCCTCTTCACTGGTTTTGGAAGTTACTTGTTCTTTAGATTCCATGCAAGTCATTTCCCCCTCCTCTGAGTTTCCATTAAAACTTTCTGGTGTTGTCTTTTCTGTAAGCCCAGGTCTTTGTTGTTCTATTGTGCAAAGTTCTATTGTTGTCTCACTTTTGCTTGAATGTATGTCCTTATCAGTCAAGCTTATTTCAATGACTCTGGTCTCATGTGGTTTTATTGACTCATAAACAGAAGAACTGCGTTTCACAAAATCACCTTGTGAAACATCACCTATATTTTCGGTAACGCTAGTCTCAGTGGCAGTTTCCTGTGGGATAACTAAAATGTCTTCATCCTGGGTAGGTGTTTCAGTAACATCTATGAGTGTCTCTATTCTTTCTTGGTTGAAGGTGGCTTCACTGTCTTCTGGACCAGTCTGTATCTCTAGCTGTAGAACACGAACTTCACTCAGCAATTGAGAATTTTCCAAGTTGCCAGATTCTGAATCAACCAGAGATGTCAGAAGAGCGGGATGTTCATCTGGAATACTTTGCGTGTTTTCCAGGTTGGCCTCAATCGGATGATTTTGGTCTTGCTCAATTAAGCTTATTTCAATAAATTCTGTGAAGTTTTCCAAAACCTCTTCACACACAAAAGGCTTGGCCTCAGCTGAAGTGTTTTTATCAATACCTCCCTGTCCATTTGATTCAGCAGACTCCTTAGTGGGCTTATCTACTGTGACACACATGTTGTCGATGACCTTAGGACTGGTGGTGATGTCCAGGTGTAGAATACAGACAGATTCGTTTTGAGCAGATCTTGCTTCACTGATCTCTTGATGTGCACCACTTTCCTGATGTTCTGTAGTTCTTCCCTGTGATATTTCCTGCTCACACTCATTTTGCTCACTTATGGTGTGGTTTAGTTTTACATTTTCCTCCTCAGTGGGGATTATTTCTTTTAGTTCTGCCTTTCCCTCTAAAGAAAAAGCAAGAGTACGCTCAGCAGAATGAACCCCATTGGAATGACTGTTGCCCTCAGCATCTTTTTCCAGCTGCTTTAGCTCTAGCTCACATGTCTGACTGACTGCCATACCAGGAAAATCAAGAATCAAATATCTCTTCTTCGTTTCTTCTGTGTTTCTCCATAAATTCTCGATGTAATCCTTTAAATTGGGAGCAGCTGTATAATCAGTGGGGGACTGAACTTTGGAAGCTGGATCTGGTGGTCTTTCTGGACACAGAGGAATTGTTTGTTGTGGAGAGTCTTTGGGTGTATTCTCAGACTCCATGTATGGAATGGTGGTAAGTCCCGGCTGCTCCTCACCATAATCTTCTGCTATCTGACTATCTGATGCTTTAAGGTCTGATGTTTTCTCCTTGTCAGAAGGTACTGGCGGAACTACTGGACTTGTTGATTCTGTTGCTGAAAAGAAGTTATAATTGTCCTGATTAGTAGTTGATTTTCCTGATTGTTGAGTTAAAGAGGCCCCTGCTGTGTCCGGCTCCTTTCCTGTTTCCTTCGTCTCCAGACCACTGGTCGAGTCAACCATGACCTCTGGGTGCAAAGGTTTGGAATCATCAATGTATTCAGAGGGAGAAGAAAGCTGCTCCTTGATAGCAGCATACACGTCTCTTCCTGAACACTGAACAACTGTTTGTTCTGGAGACTCTCTTGGTCCAACCTCAAATTCCTGATACAGCATCACAGAACTGACTGAAATATCTTCCTGAAACTCTTTAGCATCTGAGCCTAAGGTACATTTTTTGACATTATAGGAGCGAGAATCTGATTCATCTATAGATGCTTCACTTATATCAAGAATGATTGTGGCAACTTTATTGGTTTCTAGAGCCTGATCCTCAACGATTTTTTGTCCACTATTTTCACCCAGTTCACGGAATTGTTCTACAACAGAATTATTATCTGACATGTCAATATTTGTTGGTAGTTCTTCTGTTACTTTCATCTGCAGATCACTGGTCCATTCAAGCATTGTCTCTGGGTGCAAAGATTTGGAACTATCAATGGAGTCAGAGGGAGTAGAAAGCTGCTCCTTGGTAGCAGCATCCATGTCTCTTTCTGAACACTGAACAACTGTTTGTTCTGGAGACTCTCTTGTTACAAACTCAGACGCTTGACATGTCATTACAGAGCTGACTGAACTATCTGCCTCAAGCTCTTTAGCATGAAAGCTTGATAGGATCTCAGGACTTTCTGACTCTTGTTTGGTTGACATATAAGGTTCTAGTTCCACTACAGTAGTACCAGGTTCTTCTTTGTCCTCCTTTACTGAAAGAGCTGCTTCTCCACTTTGACTTGATGTTTCAATTTCATCACATTTCTCATGGTTGTTTGAGTCAGGTTGAGTTTTTACTGAAATTATAAGTCCTAGTTGCTCTCTAAATTCAATATGTTCTCCTATCTGACTTTCTGATGCTTGAAGGTCCACTATTTCTTCCTTGTCAGGAGATACTGGGGCAACTATTGAACTCGTTGTTGTTGTTGCTGTAAATTTGTTAAACTTCTCCTGATCATTAGTTGATTCACCTGATTGTTGAGTTAAAGGGGCTCCTGCTGTGTCCGTCTCCTTTCCTGTTTCCTTCATCTCCAGACCACTGGTCCAGTCAACCATGGCCTCTGGGTGCAAAGGTTTGGAACCATCAATGGAGTCAGAGGAGGTAGAAAGCTGCTCCTTGGTAGCAGCATCCACGTCTCTTCTTGGATCCTGGGTAACCATTTGTTCTGAAGACTCTCTTGGTCCATTCTCAGACTCTAGATTAGTCATTACAGAACTGACTGAAATATCTGCCTCTAGCTCTTTAGCATCAGAGCCTAAGGCAGAAGTTTCCACTTTATAGGAGAGAGAATCTGATTCATCCATAGATGCTTCACTTATACCAAGAATGATTGTGGCAACTTTATTGGTTTCTAGAGCCTGATCTTCAAGTATTTGGATTTCATTTTTCTTGCCTTGTTCACTAAATTGTTCTATAACAGATTGATTGTCTGCATCGTCATGCTCTGTCTTTGCAGTGATTACTTGGCTAGCGATGGATGCCTTATTTCCATCCAAGTCCTCAGGACTTTCTATCTCTTGTTTGGTTGACATATAAGGTTCTAGTTCCACTACAGCAGTACCAGGTTCTTCTTTGTCCTCCTTTACTGAGAGAGCTGCTTCTCCACTTTGACTTGATGTTTCAATTTCTTCACATTTCCCGTGGTTGTTTGAGTCAAATGAGTCTTGAATAGGTTCAATTTTCCCTGAAGTTGTAATTCCTGGTTGCTCTCCAAAATCTATCAACTCAACTTTATTTTCTGCTGACTGACTGTCTGATACTTTAAGGTCCAGTAATTCCTCCTTGTCAGGAGATACTGGGGCAACTATGGAACTTGTTGGTGTTGTTGCAGTAAATCTGCTATTATTCTCCTGATCAGTAGTTGAGTCACCTGATTGTTGAGTTAAAGAGTCCCCGGCTGTGTCCGTCTCCTTTCCTGTTTCCTTCATCTCCAGACCACTGGTCCGGTCAACCATGGCCTCTGGGTGCAAAGGTTTGGAATCATCAATGGAGTCAGAGGAGGTAGAAAGCTGCTCCTTGGTAGCAGCATCCACTGAAATATCTGCCTCAGGCTTTTTAGCATCAGAGCCTAAGGCAGATGTTTCCACATTATAGGAGACAGAATCTGATTCATCCATAGATGCTTCACTTATATCAAGAATGATTGTGGCAACTTTATTGGTTTCTATAGCCTGATCTTCAAATATTTGGATTTCATTTTTCTTGCCTAGTTCACTGAATTGTTCTATAACAGATTGATTGTCTGCATCGTCATGCTCTGTCTTTGCAGTGATTACTTGGCTAGTGATGGATGCCTTAATTCCATCCAAGTCCTCAGGACTTTCTATCTCTTGTTTGGTTGACATATAAGGTTCTAGTTCCACTACAGAGGTACCAGGTTCTACTTTGTCCTTTTCTGAAAGAGTTGCTTCTCCACTTTTACTTGATGTTTCAATTTCATCATATTTCCTCCGATGCTTTGAGTCAAACGTGTCTTGAAAAGGGTCATTTTTTACTGAAGTTGTAAGTCCTGGTTGCTTTTCAAATTCTATCAACTCAACTTTATTTTCTGCTAACTGACTGTCTGTTGCTTGAAGGTCCAGTATTATCACCTTGTCAGGAGATACTGGGGCAACTATGGGACTTGTTGGTGTTGTTGCAGTAAATCTGCTATTATTCTCCTGATCGGTAGTTGATTCACTTGATTGTTGAGTTAAAGAGTCCCCGGCTGTGTCTGTCTCCTTTCCTGTTTCCTTCATCTCCAGACCACTGGTCCAGTCAACCATGGCCTCTGGGTGAAAAGGTTTGTATCCATCAATGGAGTCAGACGAGGTAGAAAGCTGCTCCTTGGTAGCAGCATCCACTGAAATATCTGCCTCAGGCTTTTTAGCATCTGAGCCTAAGGCAGAAGTTTCCACATTATAGGAGAGAGAATCTGATTCATCCATAGATGCTTCACTTATATCAAGAATGATTGTGGCAACTTTATTGGTTTCTAGAGCCTGATCTTCAAATATTTGGATTTCATTTTTCTTGCCTAGTTCACTGAATTGTTCTATAACAGATTGATTGTCTGCATCGTCATGCTCTGTCTTTGCAGTGATTACTTGGCTAGCGATGGATGCCTTAATTCCATCCAAGTCCTCAGGACTTTCTATCTCTTGTTTGGTTGACATATAAGGTTCTAGTTCCACTACAGCAGTAATAGGTTCTACTTTGTCCTTTTCTGTAGCCCGTTGCACTTGGTCCTCCTGTGCTGCAAATGTTGCTTCTCCACATTGACTTGGTGGTTCAGTTTCATCACATTTCTTTAGATTTATTGATGAGTCTGGACTTTGTTCATTTATCACTGAAGCTGGAAGTTCTTGTTGTTCTCTAAAGTCAATGACCCCAGGAGCCTCTTCTGTTATCTGACTCTCTGATGCTTTCATGTCCATTAGTTCCTCTTTTTTCGGAGGGACTCGGGCAACTAGGGGACTTGCTGGTGTTATGAATAAGTCACATTTCACCTGATTGGTTGTTGGTGCATCTGGTTGTTGGGTGTAAGAGCCTCTCGCTGTATTAGGCTCCTTTTCTGTTTCATTTGCCTGCAAACCACCAGACCATTCATCCATAAGCTGTAACTGTGCGGCCGTAGAACCACCTGTAGAGTCAGAGGGAGTAGAGAACTGCTCTCTGGAAGCGCTGTCCAAGTCTCCTTCTGAACATTGGGCATCTGTTTGCCGTGAAGCATCTGTCACGGTCTTCTCTAAAATCTGTAATCGTGGTTTGCAAGTTTTGTAGGGTACTACTGAGAAGGCTGAAGATTCTTCCTCCAGGTTTTGAGGCACAACTGTAGGAATTTCTTGTTGATTCTGGTCTTGGAAAACATCTTCATTTTCTGAGTTTAGATCTTCTGTAGTAGTTTTACTGTCCACGCCATCCTTTTCTGTCTTGGTTGTAAGGAACATCATAGCTGTGGTTGGTTTAGCACCGTCATGCTCTATTTTAGCTTCATTAGTGACTATATCGGCGTTTGTTTCAGGATTATATTGTGACTCCAGAACTGCTGAGGGCTCAGCTCTTTTAGGGTCTTCCCTTGTTTGACCAGGGTCAGTTATTACCAACATAAAATCTGTTTGCTCAGTGGAAGGTTGGATTGAGCTTTTATTATTACACTCAACATTTGTTGGAATTGTATCATTATTCAGGTTTTCAACAGAAAGCTTCCCATTCTTTGACTTTTCGTTGTTTGCTAAAGATTTAATGGACACGCTTGCTAATATTTCAGCCTGTCCTTCTTCCACTAAAACTGGCTCTTCACTTTGAGTTTCCCGATTATCATATTCTGTAAGTATAGTTGATGTAATGTCAGCCTTGTTTGCATCAACAATGGCTACCTGCTCTTTGAAACTTGGAGATTTGGATTTCTCTGTGGTCTCAGGCAAAAGTGAGAAGTTTGTTTCAGTTGATGGTGTGACCAACTGTCGGCCTAGAAGAAGCAGACTGTCAGAACCTGCTAACTGGGTTTGTAAGACATCTTCACCTTTTGTTATCTGAACATTTTGCATGCCCACTGTTTCTTCCTTGTTAAGGTTTTCAGGAATATTTGACCTTGTGGTTGGGGAGAGCCCATGCTCTTCCTGATCAGAAGTTCCTACACTTTCAGGTACTTCCTTTGTTTCACAAGACTCCAGAAGGGTCACAGACTGGACGGCTGCTGAAAGGTCACTACTTGGAAATTCTCTCTTAACTGTTTCTGTTAAAATTGCAATCTCTGTTCCATCTGAAGCGCGGGGGTCTTGCAATGGTTCCAGGATTCCTGAGGTCCTTGTGGCTGGTGAAGTCTTTCCTTTTTCCATCTGGAAAGGTTCAATTAATCCTTTGTGCTCATCTGAAGTTGAAAACTCTGGAGGTTTACCACCTTCAGGCTCATCCCCGGTCTTAGGAGGAGGTACAAGAAAAGGTTCTGTTTTCTTTGACTTTCTCTTGGGTGGCAGAACATTACTTTTCTGTTGTACTGTAAAGGTTTCTGTGGCAGAGCACCTCAGGGCTTCATGTTGGGTCCCCTTAGGGTGCACGCCTGGGATTCTACTGGCAGAGTAAACCGGCTCAGGGGCTGCAGAATCTTCAATGCTCTTTGAAATTTGTCCACTTGGTATAACTGCAGCACTTCCAACAACATTAAGTTGCTGCTCTTCAGAACTAAGTAGTGGATTGGTAACACCAGCCTTAGGTTGTTTTTTATCAGTTATTTCCGATAGTTTGTTTTTTGATTTTCCATTGGTTGGAGGTTTATCTATCTCTGCATTGGTGGTTGTTCTTGTTTCTGTTTCAATGTGGATGTCTGAAGATTCCGAGCTGACAGGTGTGATCTTATTATCTTCAGGTTCAGACACTGTTCTACTGCCAACAATAGCAGTTGGTATAGAAGTTACGGGTGGCATGGCAGACTTTGACTTTCTTCTGACTGGTACTAGTTTGGAGTCTTCTCCATTACTGGTCTCAGTTTGTTGGTTCAGATTTTTGGGGGTAAATTTTGGACTCTTTGATTTCCGTCTCGGAGGCAAAACTTCTTGTTGTCCCATAAGAGACGGATCATTGTGGTCCTGAACAAACTGTGAATCATGAACAGCACCTACATCTGCCTCCACAACAGATGGAGCATTCTTCAGACATTCCTGATCTGGTTCCGATTCAGCATCATTTGTCTCTGAGGGTACTGCTCGATTTCTGGCCTCACTACTGATTTCTTCTATCTTGGCCTGTGGCTCTCTACATGTGTCATCAGTGCTGTGGATTGCTATGGCTTTCTTCACTTCAGAGTCCATCTTTTTAGGACCCGATTCTTTTCCAAAACTCTTTGATTTTCTTCTTGGTGGTAGTGGTGAAGGTTCTTCACAGGTAGGATGTTTTAAGACGTCACATGTTTGCACTTTTATCTGTGTTTCCTCAACTGACAGTTCTTCCCGAGAAGATGTGGATTTATCTGCTACACTTTGCTTCTCATGGGGACGCTTATTCTTACGCGGTGGCGCCACAACAGCAGTTTTGTTGTCCAACAGTTTAACATCTGAGGTGGAATCATCAGGCAGCTGTTTGTCTTTCTGCTCAATGTCCTCCAATGAAACAGAGAAGAGAGTTATTTAAAACATGTTCTTATGAGAACTTTATTTTCTCTATTTAGGGAAAGAAACAAAATATCAAGTAATATCATTACCTTCAATCTGTGACTTAGCAAGGCCTTGTGTACTTCTACTTTCCCGAGGGTCTCTAAGCACTCTTTCTTAAATTTCTCAAACAAATCTGCTGTCAGGCAGGATGTAAGAAACTGTTCATGAGAAAGAGCTTCTTGCAGATTGTTTTGCAGCTTCTCACTTTCTTCTAAAATAACCTTAAAGAAAGAAAAATAAACAGTTTTGTGTATTACATGCTATTGAGCAAGACAGCAGAAATGAAGGAGCGTAATGCAAGCTGTAACTGGATAGCAGACTATTGGTTATGGTTGATAGAAAAGGATTTAAACCTGCAGAGCAGAAGCTGAGCCTGAAAGGTCGCTGTGGCTCCAGCGCTGCATGGCAGAGATACAGTCCTTCAGATAATGAGCTGTGTTGGTAGAGCACGCCCCCTGGTGGTCACTGAGCCTACATTCCAGACTGTAAATGCAGGGAAATGTGAATATATTATTATTATTTCCAGATATAAATAAATATGTGTTCAAGGTTCAAATAATAAGAAACAACTAAAGCAAATGACTTCTGTGTAAGTATTAGAGATGAGGAACCTACAGTATGGCGCATATTTCTGGCTTTTAGTCAAACAGAACATTAACTGAAACAAAGGACCACAGCAGAGCAGCTAAACCATCTTTCACAAAAGAACGAGTCGTAGATCAATTCTTAGTATTATATTTTTCTGAATTTAATGTTGAATTAGAATCCATTCTTTAAACTTTAGTTTTATTGAACCAATAAAATCCTTCTTGTGTTGTTATTTAAGATTTTCTTGCCTGGGTTAATAATGCAGAACCTATATTTCAGTTTGAATAATTTTATGTCCAAATCTATATACTAATGTTATTTCTGTTATAAAGACTTTATTCATAATAATCCCTGGTTAGTTAGGGTTAGGGTTATTCATCACTAATCGTTCCTGTGTTTGACGTCGCCCTGTGATGTGATGTTTCTGGGTGAACCCTGCTTTTTCCGTCCATTTGAGATGCCCCTGAAATGTAGTTCTGGGTAGAAACCTCACCTAAAAACATCCATATTTGACCTGTTTCTACCACAACTTTATCATGATTGCTCTACTGAAATATGAGAGGAGTACCTGGCATGTTGCTGGCATAAAGAAGCAACCAAACTGATAACTTCTGAAGGAAGCTCATTGGTAAAGGTTGCTGATTTTACTTCTTGGTACAGATCATGAACTTTGACCCCCAAGTCCTGCAATGAGTCCTCACAGTTCTGTCAGGAAAACAAAAGGTGACATGAGTCACTATTAGCAAAGCTGAAGATGAATCTTTGTGTCTGAATGGATTTTATGAAATGTTTTTAATAATGACAGATTGATCTGCTACCTGCAGACTCTGCCAATGCTGCTGAAGCTGAGCCATGTTGTTCTGCGGCTCGCTGTAGCTAAACGCCTGGTCCAGAGAGCGGAGCTCCCATTGAAGCGCAGCTGCTCTCTCCTTCAGCTCCTGGGACACCCGGGCCAACTCACGGTCCATCTCCTCTAACCGGCCTTTGCAGGTCTGCAGTCGCTCACTTACTTCCTGCTCTGAGGTGGAGCACAGCTCATGGAGGTGGCTGACCTCAAGTGTGAGGGCATCTTGACCTCCAGGAGTACAGAGAATCAGCAAAGAGTCTTTGGCAGAATCCAGCTCTATCATCTCCCTCTGCTCCCTGTCCACTGTCTGCAGCAAAGCCTGGAAATAAATAAAAAAACAATAAAAGGAAGTCCAGACTCCCATGATGTTTATACGAGTGTTTATCCTTGTTTCAATGCTATTTTAACTGTAGTCCACTTTAATTTGTAAACGAAACGTAATCAATAAACTTACAATAGCAACCATTCAAAATAGCCCTTCCCAGTCAAATGCCAGCCGAATGGCAGCCCACTTCCCTGCAACTCCCAGCAAAATCCCCTCCAACCAGTGGCCTTCTCCTGGGCTTCCTTATCATTTTACTCTGACTCCACCCATTCACTGAATTACAGGGTCTGACCAGGAGATGGCACTTCTCTTTAGATCTTTATGTCCACAAATCATGACAGAAAGAATATTTTAGTACAAAGATTGATGTTTAAAGAGGAATTTTAGGGGACCAGCCAATGACCACCCAAGGCACAGCAAAGGACCAATCAAGGACCAACCAACGACCAGCCAAGTGGGGAAATGTTGACAATAGTTTTTGCTTTACTCAGGATTTAAAAGACAGCTATCTGTTCTATCTTAGCAGAAGTACAAGCTGTACATTCCTCAATTTGACGTTCCGGGGAACAGGAAACCTTAGTACTTTATTGTAGTTTAACCTGATCAGTGGATCTGTGGATTAGTGGATCTGATTGGCTATCCAGCCTGAAGACATTAGTTTCTTAAGAGAGTCCTGTAGAAACAAAGGACAAGAGGACTGGCCATCCTGGAGCTAAAGGAATCACTTTCTAGGGTTCTGAGTAAGAAACTGATTCTTTTAGGAGTCTGTCTTTTTTTAATCTTCCTGTACAGGTGCTGGTCATAAAATTAGAATATCATGAAAAAGTAGATTGATTTCAGTAATTCCATTTAAAAAGTGAAACTTGTATATTATATTCATACATTACATACAAACTCATATATTTCAGATGTTTATTTTGTTTAATTTTGATGATTACAAATGACAACAAATGAAAATCTCAAATTCATCATATCAGAAAATTAGAATATTACTGAAGACCAATAAAAACAAAGGATTTATAGAAATGTTGGCCAACTGAAAAGTATGAACATGAAAAGTATGAGCATGTACAGCACTCAGTATTTAGTTGGGCCTCCTTTGGCCTGTATTACTGCAGCAATGCGGCGTGGCATGGAGTCGATCAGTCTGTGGCACTGCTCAGGTGTTATGATAGCCCAGGTTGCTCTAATAGTGGCTTTTAGCTCTTCTGAATTGTTGGGTCTGGTGTATTGCATCTTCTTCTTCACAATACCCCATAGATTTTCTATGGGGTTAAGGTCAGGAGAGTTTGCTGGCCAATTAAGAACAGGGATACCATGGTCCTTCAACCAGGTACTGGTAGCTTTGGCACTGTGTGCAGGTGCCAAGTCCTGTTGGAAAATGAAATCTGCATCTCCAAAAAGTTGGTCAGCTGCAGGAAGCATGAAGTGCTCTAAAACTTCCTGGTATGTGGCTGCGTTGACCCTGGACCTCAGAAAACACAATGGACCAACACCAGCAGATGACATGGCACCCCAAACCATCACTGACTGTGGAAACTTTACACTGGACTTCAAGCAACGTGGATGAAGTGCCTCTCTTCTTTTCCTCCAGACTCTGGGACCTTGATTTCCAAAGGAAATGCAAAATTTACTTTCATCAGAGAACATGACTTTGGACCACTCACCAGCAGTCCAGTCCTGTTTCTCTTTAGACGCTTCTGACGCTGTCTGTGGTTCAAGAGTGGCTTGACACAAGGAATGCGACAGCAGAAACCCATGTCTTTCATACGTCTGTGTGTGGTGGTTCTTGAAGCACTCACTCCAGCTGCAGTCCACTCTTTGTGAATCTCCCCCACATTTTTGAAGGGGTTTTGTTTCACAATCCTCTCCAGGGTGCGGTTATCTCTCTTGCTTGTACACTTTTTTCGACCACATCTTTTCCTTCCCTTCGCCTCTCTATTAATGTGCTTGGACACTGAGCTCTGTGAACAGCCAGCCTCTTTAGCGATGACCTTTTGTGTCTTGCCCTCCTTGTGCAAGGTGTCGATGGTCGTCTTTTGGACAACTGTCAAGTCAGCAGTCTTCCCCATGATTGTGTAGCCTATAGAACTAGACTGAAAGACCATTTAAAGGCCTTTGCAGGTGGTTTGAGTTAATTAGCTGATTAGAGTGTGGCACCAGGGGCCATCAATTTTGAACCTTTTCACAATATTCTAATTTTCTGATATGATGAATTTGAGATTTTCATTTGTTGTCATTTGTAATCATCAAAATTAAACAAAATAAACATCTGAAATATATGAGTTTGTATGTAATGTATGAATATAATATACAAGTTTCACTTTTTAAATGGAATTACTGAAATCAATCTACTTTTTCATGATATTCTAATTTTATGACCAGCACCTGTAATACTGCTGTATCAATCCCCTGCCAGATCCAACCAATAAAGCATATTAAAGTTCATATAGTGGTGTGTCACATTTGTATGGGTAAGATTTTCAGTGGTGTAAAACACATGCATGGGCGCTGCTCTTAAGTGTACCATACCTTGAGAGCTTAGCAGGTTACCTTTCTAAACAACCTGTTTTGGACTCGTCAATAAAAATGGTTGACCTAAATGATAAAACTATCTCAATGGCAGAAATCTTTTAACTAATGAGACCGGTGAAAGCAGGAAGTCCCTAGGTAGAACATCTTTATGTCTTTAGGAATGAGTCAATTAGCTCAGGTCTACTCGGCGGGTGCAAAAGTCTGCAAACCCAGGTTAGTTTCAATAAGTGAGGAGTGGGAGGGACAGGATTCTGGTGCAATCACAGATCCCATGGAAGCAATTCTCATCAACGGAAGCAAACTTCCTCCCAACTCTGCCAAAGGTCAATAACATAAACCAGTTATGGAATCAACACTGTCACCATTAGCAACTTTTACTAACCCAGAGACAGACTTTCCACAATGATGTGGAAAAGTAGCGTGTCACAGAGTTAAAGTTAGAGCAAAGGCCAAACCGTCTATGATCTGACCATGTAGCCAGTCCCTAAAGGACACAAAGGACAAACGTAGGAGCCAAAGTGTCAGAAACAAAAGAAATGACATGTGTTTAACCTTCAGGGTGTTGACAGCGTTGTGGAGCCCATGTCTGTCTGCAGGTGGGGGTCCCAAGCCTTTGACCTGCTCCCTCAGCCAGTCCTGGGCTGCTTCATGCTGCTCAATGAGCAATGCACATTGTCGCTCCTTTTCAATTCCCTCTTCCAAGTTTGTCACCAAATCCTGGAAACAGATACTTATTGTTTAAATAAAACAGATTTCTTGCTGTTAAGCTCTACAGCCATGGCCTGCTCAGACTCACGGTCAGCTGTGTCAGTAGAGCAGGAATGGCCTCCTCCCAGACTGTCCAAGAAGGATCGGTCCAACTTTGGTCCTTTGTCATTTCAAACAGCTCCTCAGCCTTAAGCAAACAGTCAGGTAGAGTCTTTGGAGTTTGATGAATGAAAGAGTTTTCATTAGCTGAAGACTTCTCTGTGTTTACCTGTGAGCGGACAGCTGACAGCACAGGGACCAAGGTTGTGCTCTGGTCTAGGAGGTTCCTGGCCTGGTCCACGGCCTGCCTTCGCTCTCCCAGGCCTGGCCAGGGGAATACTTGAGGAAGGTTGGATGTTTGCTTCTGGATCTCTACCAGACGGGCCTCAGCATGGTCTTTCTCATACTTGCAAGATAGCAGTTTCTCCATAACAGCCTGCAACTGGCTATAAGGTGGCAGATGGTAGACAGAAATGTGAAAAACAGATTCAGACATGATGCAGCAGGAAATTAGAACCTTAAGGCTTTCACAACTTCAGGAACAGAGTTTCACCAACAAATCCACACAGCGAGACAAACCCTTTGGTCTACAGGAAGAAGGAGCTTTGACCAGGATCTCCTGATCTGATCTTGCTGGATCTGTACAATTTGACAAATTTTCTTATCCAGAGACACCTGTTTTTATAAAGTTAGTCACTCTGGTAACTATGACCACATTTTTTAAATCGATTAATGATATCTAATAAAAGAGCAGCTGGTTAATGTTTTGCTCTATCTTTGAATCTGTTCTGAAAAAGAATGTTAACCTTATAACCTTTAGTTTACAGGATTCTTTAAAGAATCTTAGGGTCAGCTTCAAGCAGCATCAACTGAAATAAACTTAGTTATAGCTGTTTATAGCTGTTCCCATAAATTTATCCTATATCTCCCGTTCCTATATTCCTGTTCGTATAGTTCCTGTCTCTATCTTTCCTGTTTCTATAGTTCCTGTTACAATCTTTCTTGTTCCTATAGTTCCTGTTACAATCTTTCCTGTTCCTATAGTTCCTGTTACAATCTTTCCTGTTCCTATAGTTCCTGTTACAATCTTTCCTGTTCCTATAGTTCCTGTTCGTATAGTTCCTGTTTCTATCTTTTCAGTTCCTATAGTTCCTGTTTCTATAGTTTCTGTCCCTATAGTTCCGTTTCCTATCTTTCCTGTTCCTATAGTTTCTGTTTCTATCTTTTCAGTTCCTATAGTTCCTGTTTCTATAGTTTCTGTCCTTATAGTTCCGTTTCCAATCTTTCCTGTTCCTATAGTTCCTGTTCGTACAGTTCCTGTTTCTATCTTTCCTGTTCCTATAGTTCCTGTTTCTATAGTTCCTGTTACAATCTTTCTTGTTCCTATAGTTCCTGTTACAATCTTTCCTGTTCCTATAGTTCCTGTTACAATCTTCCCTGTTCCTATAGTTCCTGTTCGTATAGTTCCTGTTTCTATCTTTCCTGTTCCTATAGTTCCTGTTTCTATAGTTCCTGTTCCTATCTTTCCTGTTCCTATAGTTCCTGTTACAATCTTTCCTGTTCCTATAGTTCCTGTTCGTATAGTTCCTATAGTTCCTGTTTCTATCTTTTCTGTTCCTATAGTTCCTGTTTCTATAGTTCCTGTTCCTATAGTTCCGTTTCCTATCTTTCCTGTTCCTATAGTTCCTGTTCCTATCTTTCCTGTTCCTATAGTTCCTGTTCGTATAGTTCCTGTTCGTATAGTTCCGGTTTCTATCTTTCCTGTTCCTATAGTTCCTGTTTCTATTTTTCCTGTTCCTATAGTTCCTCTTCCTATCTTTCCTGTTCCTATAGTTCCTGTTTCTATAGTTCCTTTTCTTATAGTTGCTGTTCCTATAGTTCCTGTTTCTATCTTTCCTGTTCCTATAGTTCCTGTTTCTATTTTTCATGTTCCTATAGTTCCTCTTCCTATCTTTCCTGTTCCTATAGTTCCTGTTTCTATAGTTCCTTTTCTTATAGTTGCTGTTCCTATAGTTCGTGTTTCTATAGGTCCTTTTTCTTCTGCTCTTGTCTCTTCACCTTTTAGGGGGGTCAACTGTAAAAATTCAATAGATTTTTTAGCCAATCACAGCAGCAGTAGAATCTGATACGAATCAAAGTCTTGATATGTTTCACAGAGTAAATTCTTAAAACAAAACGATTCAGATCACAAAGAAGGAGCAAACATCCTCCGTTCCAGAAAGGAACACATCGCATTTATTTGCTTAATTCAAAAACAAATAGGGGTTATTCTGTGCTACAAAAGTGCTGAACTTTTATAATCAATTTAAATGGAACAAAACTCAATGTTTCTACTGGATTTTGCATCATATTTATTTTTGCACAGCTCTGGACGTTTTCATATCTCTGCCCTTTTGCCCCATTGTTTAAACTGGTTTATTTTCTTCATTGTTTACATTCTGATCACTGCTGAGCTCTACATTGGTAATGTTGGAAGCTGTTGGAAGCATTTCTCTGATCCAGAAGGAAAGACTACAGAGAAGAAACTTCCTCTCATGGGGTTTCTGAAGCTACCAGGGTGATGAAGCGTACGCCTGATTCTGTTCATTTAATCCCATAAAACGTTTTTCTCTTCTTTTCCACTCCAACGTGCTGCTCTCACTCAATGCTCTCCTGACTTTCCTGGCTTTGGTACGCTGGCAAAGCATGCATTAACAAATGCCCCAAATATGTGCTCCAACAAACCATGCCACAAGCCTCTGGTCCTTTACTGAGTGTAGGATTCCTTCTGACAAAGTAAATCATTTGAAAGTTATTGAACTGACAGATATGAGGTTCTACTTCAGTAGAGAACTACTGACTCTGGTAACGAGTTACAATCAGTGGATCATCACAGGAAGAGACAGAACACAGAGATCTGTGAAGCCTGCTTGATCAAACCTCTGTGACTCTAAAACCTGTTTATTACCTCCGAGTCTCCTCAGCGACCTGCAGAACGGTCCCCCATCGTGTCTCCACATCCTGGACCATCAGCTGAACCTCCAGCTTCCCGTCTTCCTCCATGTCTGTGTGCTCACAGAGAGCCTGCGCTCGTCTCTTCAGCTCCATCACTTGACTTTCACCTGCTGACTTGAAGCTCAGGATGGCCTGAACAAAGGGTGGTGATGGAAACTAATCAGAATAAACCACAGACTTCTGTGTCTGCAGAGGTCCAGATATGGAAACCTGGTTTGACTAATCCCCCTCTGGCGGGTAGGTTTCCTTCCAGGAACATATTTAGTTTTCTGTATCTCTTACCTGTGCAGTGTTCAGCCTTTCCTCCAGCTGGGCCTGACTGCCCTGCATACAGTCGTTCAGAGAATCAGCTTGTTCCTGCAGCCCTTCAGTCCAGCTCTTAGTGCTGCCAGCATGGTTCTTGAAGGCCTTCATCTCTCTGGACAGCAGGTAGCGGCGCTCAGCTTTCAGCTGGGTGTCCTCAGCTGTCTGCAGGACGGCCTTCCAGAGCTCCTCTAAAGCTTCTGCTGCTTTCTGGGCCTCCAGCCGTGCGCGCTCTGAAACATCTTTCTGCTCAGACAAAGTCTGACTCTTTCTTCTCAGTTCAGTCAGTTTGGAGTCTCCTTCAGGCTTCAGACTCAGGATGTTCTGATGATTAAAAACATTTCCTAAGTTTGAATGTTCAGTTAAATGAAATGATTCTAATTGTCAAAAAGCTAAATCTGTGTAAAGAACCATAAAAGAACCAAAAAGCTGAGTGGGATTATTGTGATGATGACCAGCAGCATCCCTACAGCGGCATGCCTGATGTTCAAAGGTTTGGAGATTATTCCCTGATCTGATTCATCTACTGGCTTCATGGAGCTGCTTGTTCTTTAATGTTCTCCACCCTCTGAGCTGCAGTTATGCTGGGACCGATGCAGACAGCTGGACAGTTTGCTGCTAAGGTGGTTTTATTTGTTTCTGTCATAACCCTGCTGATGGTTTATCAGCAGCGATTGTTTCTGTTGTCGTCTTTATTGATCCTTTTCTCTACTTATTCTTCACCTCTTTCTGCACATTTAGATTCCTTCTCTGTTTTTCTCAGATTCTCTCATCTTCAGCTCCTCCCTCCCGTCTCCTCCGGTGTTTCTCCTTTTTTCTCAGCTCTTCGCGCTTCGTTATCTATTTTTTTTTTTATAAGGGAAAAAAAGTCTCTGGACATGTAAAAAATTATCCCCTTATGTCCCTTTCTGCTTGTTTTATTTTGTTTTGTATTACACTGTATACCTTTGATGTATATTTACACTTAAATCTAACGGTATTTTACTGTATTGTTTCCACGGGGATCATCCTCTAAGCTGCAAAGCAATCTGGGAGAAAAAAATATTTCAGCAACTTCAGACGGTTTAATTTTTACCGTAAACAGCAAAGCATTATGGGAAGGAGAAAGAAAACAGGAAAATTGCCTGACGTTCTTCACACTGTCCACTTAGAACCTGTTTACAATTCTTTACAATTTAGCTTGACTGTCGTGATTCTGAACTTTCTGGTTCTGTTTAAGATTTCAGTTTTTCTGTGTTTTCTACTTTTAATTCAATTCATTTCAGTTTATTTCTATAGAGCCAATTCACAACACATGTCATCTCAAGGCACTTTACAGTTCACCTGATTCAGTCTGGCTTTAGAGCTCATCATAGCACTGAAACAGCTCTGGTAAAAGTAACTGACGATATTCTTATTGCCTCAGATAATTGACTTGTATCTGTACTTGATACAGTTGATCATAATATTTGTAATATTTGTTTTATTCCCATTTTCTGGTGTTTTCTGGGTGTATTTGAGTTTCTATGGATTTCTTGTTTACCCTCTCTTGCCCTCTTGTGTCAGTATTCTTCCCCTAGCTCCCACACCTGCTCCTCGTTAGCTAATTAGTCCTCCCATTGTTTCTGTCTCCCATATATACACCTTCTGGTTCCATGTCATCTCTTGGCTCTTTATGTTCTTCTATGCCCTCACCCTAAAACCAACCATTACCAATGCATATCTCACCCTAGCCCAATTGACACCTTAGACCTGAACCTAACCATTAGCTAAATAGCTCGTCAGGACCAGCAAAATGTTCTCACTTTACAGCAACTGGTCCTCAATCTGATGGATAAATTGGAAAAATGGTCCACACTCTGGTGTCTATACAAGTGCACGCACACATTAGAGGGAAAAAATCCTATGGTTTAATATTTATTGTTGTAATTTTTGTGTTGGACTATTTTTTTTAAATAAATGTTTGTAAAAACGCTATGAGTTTTTTTTCCAGCTTTCAATTCTTTATATCCTTTTTGTTATTATTAATATTTCTAATAGTAGCTGCGGTAGTTTCAGACGTAGTTGTAGTATTACAGCTGTCGAAAAATTAACAGGAAAGTGCTGTCATTCGGAAATACAGCAGTGCAATAATACAGTATTCTACTGACGAGGTTATTGCCAAGAAATTACCATAAATTTACAGTAAATTAAGAGAATTTTTTTTATGCAAATATCTGGTGAATAAAATAAATTGTGACTCACATAAAAAATAATATTGATGGTTGTAATCTAAAAAATTTTTTAATTTCTTCCATGAATCCTTATATATGTTGTATTTTCCATAATGACTTATGACTGAGTGAGATAAAGATATGAGCCAGCGTTTGTCAAACAGTGAAATAATGTGAATCCTGTGGATTTGATTCAGTTTTACATAAAGAAATGATGAAGGATTAGAAACATGAGGCAGTTAAACTTTGCGGATTATGTTTCCTGTACTGACCTGGAAGTACTATCACTCCTAACCTTTTAAGCAGAGAAGATATATTATGTAGTTCTCCTACCCATGATATAACTCTATAAAGTAGAGAGGTTTTCCCAGCAGCTTATCTAATTTGGATCAGTTCTGCTGTCAGGATCAAAGGTGTTGGGAATGAAATGTGGGCAGATTGACTGAGATGATCATTCTTATAGAAAAGCTCTGGTAGTGTGCATGTGATTGTCCTTGATCTAAAATCATCACACATGTGTGGCATGGACTCCGGAGATCTATAAAAAGATGCTTTAACTGTTATTAGGGGTCTTTCCTGATAAGATAAAAGTCTGTTACACGTTCAATCAAGTCTTACCTTCATCTAACAAACATCCATAGGAAAGGGTTAAAGATTAAAGTGTTTGTTCATAGTGATATTTTCTCAGGAAGGCATATAACCTGAGCCACTCTAACTTATCCTGAGCTATCTCTATAGTTATGCTGCTATAGGCTTAGACTGCTGGAGGACATAGGGACCCCTATTTCATCATTCTGCTTCATTCTATCTCTATTCTCCCACTCTGCAGAATCTGTTAGTTTAATCTCTAACGTTCTGCTCTCTCTGCTTTTTCTCATAGTAGCTTCATCTGGTCTGTTCCTGTTTGGCTGTGACGCCATCCTGGAGAGAAATATCAGCTGTGCTGCTGCCATCAACACCTTTGTTTCTAGATGTTGGAGCTTGGCCTGTTTTCCAGTGTAGTCCTGTTTCTCTGACTGTGACTAACTGGATGTGCTCTCTTCATCCTCTGACATGGGAGCTGGCTCTGAGCTCGTCTTCCTGGCTGTGTGTTTCCTGGACGGGGCCGCCTGTGGAGCTGGTTGACAGTTGCCTTTTGTATCTATGCTTCTTTTTCTATGTCTGCTTCTGTCTCCTTGATCCCCAGTTGGCCTCAGCAGATGGCCGCTCACACTGAGCCTGGTTTTGCTGGAGGTCTCTTAAAAGGGAATTTTTCCTCTCCACTGTCGCTGCAAGCATGCTTAGTGTGAGGGATTGCTGAAGAGTCAATGACTCGAAGCAATCAGCTGGTTTTCCTTAGATAGAAAACTTTAAATCAGTCTGACTGGGTGATCTGGTGAACTGTGATGATATGATGTGAATTGGTGCTACAGAAATAAACTGAACAGAATTGAATGTATTGGGCTGAGGAAGTCTGAAGGTGTAGCTTAATTTATAATCTGTGTTTGGACCAGCGTTATGGTTTCCCCCACCTCTCCTGCAGCCTCAGACCTACCTGTGCTGTTTTTATGGCTTGTTCTGGATCAGTCTCATAATCCAGAGTGGTCAGGATCTGCTGCTTGTCCTCCAGCCAGCTGCTGGAGCTTTCCTTCAGGGCATCAAAGCTGCTGAGTTGGAGATCCAGAGCATGCTGCCTTTCAGCTTCCCTCACTACTTGTTGAGCAGCTTCTAGCAGCTTCGCCCAGAGATCCTCAGAGTTTCGTATTCTTTGCAGGATGTCTTTCTTTCTCTGCTCATCAAGATCCGGAGAACAAACCCTCTGACATCTGCTGAGGTTCTTCAGCCTGGAATCACCTTCAGCCTTGGAACTCATGATGGTCTAAAACAGAAGGAGAGATGTCACCATAGAGACCAACAGGGGTTCTGAGTTTGAGCCCCACTGCCACAGACTACCACTCTGGGTCCCTGAGCAAGAACCTTAACCCCACAATGCTGCCTGGGCACCGCACAATGGCAGCCCACTGCTCCCCAAGGGGATGGGTTAAATGCAGAGAGGGGATGTTGTTGCTCTTTACTGTGATAATATAATTACAATAAAATTGAATTCGATTCAATCTTTACAATAGAGAAAATGACCTACCACCTAAGGATCAAGAACAAATACCTGAAAGAACAGTGGAGGAAATGGTTTGATTACACCCTCAATAAGACTTGAACGACAGATAAACCTTTTCTAAGACTTGTGTGACCCCCACATTCACTAAACTCGGACTCTGTTATACCTTTGCTGTATTTTTATCGCCCTTCTCTGTTCATATTCTTTTTTTTTTGTTTATTTGTTTATTTGTTTTAATGTAAAATTGAAAAAAATACTAAATAAAAAGTAAAAAAAAAAACAAGAAAAACTATTGAATTCTATTCTATAAAAAAATTAATACTGAAGAATTAGCCGATGGGTTGAGAGGGGCGTGAAGGAAGCTATCTTTGTTAAGATAAAAAAAAAACGGGACTCAGGGTTCAGCTTTCAAAAACCTAAAATGCAGCAATAGAGTTAATTCGGGCATTGCAGTCTAACAAAGAATCCAAACGACCCCCATTCCAAGGGGGTGGACCTGTTCGTCCGTTTCAGTTTGCATGTTTTCTACATAAAATCAAGGCTTTGTTGGGCTATTGTATAAAACCTGGAACTCAACGCTATTTCTGACATTTGGAATTGAAAAATCTTCCTGGATGGGAAGAGAAATGTCTTCAAACCTGGAAACAAAGTCCACTGGATTGTTTTTTTTTTACTTTTTTGGATTGAAGCATTAGCTTCTGTTCTCCAGTGGTTTTCAGGTGACGGAATCAGTTTCTCTGCATTTGGCTCCAGCAGCTGCAGCGCCTCTGCTCTGGCATCCTGTCCTTAAAATGGTTCTCTTCCAAAATTCTTCTCTAACTACCAAAGGAGATAAAACGTTGCTGTAGTTTATATAATACGGTTTCTCTTGTAGAGGACAAATGCTCTGAGAAGGCTGAGACACTGCTGTGCTCCCACAGAGGGATGAAGAGGATGCTGAGGGTTGTGACCTCCATGTTACATACATTGGATCTAAATATGGACATAGCGATTATAAAGCAGATGTTGTTTTGTTGCAGCTGTTCATGTGCTTTTAAAAACAAAGATCTTTATTAACAAGCAGAATTCCAATATTTCTACTAGTGTTTGATAAAAATGCCCACAGACAATGGGAAATGGGAAAATGTTTCCAATTCAGCCACCAAGAACCTAATCCTCCTTAAAGTCCAGCTGCTTCAGCTCACCTGGGCGGCAAGAAGTCTTTCCTCAGCGTCGCTTTTCCCTCTCAGGATGCCCAGCTGCTGACGCAGACATTCCAGCCAGCAGTCAGTGTCCTGTTGCTGGGTTTCCAATTCTCTCAACTGAAAAACCAAAAAGATTTTTTCATCAAAGATGTCAAATATTGCTCAACATCATTTTATAGAAATCAAGGTGGATTTAATGTTAAACTGAAGCTTTCATGAGTAGGAAGGCATCAGAGCAAAGCAGCATTCAGACTAAATTTTTGACAGATTTTTAACTGAGCCAGAGTTTGGTTTGTGGACGGGATCCTGTCCATGTGAAGCCATCGAGAAATCAGAGGAGGACCCTAGAACCTAACCCAGACACGATGGCGCCTACTGCTACTACTTTATCTGGACATCAGAGCGGTTCGCCTGCAGTCTGAATCTTTGTTGGTCCAGGAAGAAGTAGAAGTTTTAGGCCTAAACTGCAGATAAACACCAAACAAGCTGCAAAAACTTTGTTCTTGATGTTTTTTCTATTTTCTCCATGAAACCAACATCGGGTATAACGCCTTAAAGTAACTCTTTTACATTATCAGGAGCTAGCGCTGTAACTGCTTACTTCATAAAAGTCAGTAACGACCTAATAATTGCTGCGCTTTAAACGGATTAGCTCTTAGTTACTCAATGTGTATAGATAAGGACTAAAGAGGCATGCAGGTAACAGTGCTGTGCACCTTCAGCATGAGCAGAGAGGAGGGGTCATGGAGCAGAGCTGCTGAATGTTTCTGGGACTTTCTCTTCATGTTAAGGAACAAAGACTTTATCAGCGTTGGTTAAAAGCTGCGACCTAAAGAAGCTCCGCCCATCATCTGAACCCTGACTGACAGCTGCTGCCTTTTATCAACATCTTCTTAACGTCTGAGGGATGGAATCATTTTACCTGCATATCTTTTTTCCCTCTAACATCCAGGGATCATTCATTCTTGTTTTTTTTTTTTTTTTCTGGTATAGAGGAACTCCTATTTAATTTTACTGCAGTATAGATTTTATTTCTGCTAAATGGCTTTAAGAGCTTTATTTCTCACATTTATACCCATTTTATAGCCAAATGAAGGCTGTCAATGTGCAAAAAAAAAAAAAAAAAAAAACATCTTATTTTTCTTTTATATAAACGGGAAACATCATCTTACATCTCACTTATCAAACCAGAGAAATAGGGCAGATTAGTTTTCAGATGTGTAGAGCTTTACATTAATTATTCTGTTTATCAATTAATAACAAACATTATATTTAAAAATCCAACAACAGTAAAGTTTTCCCAATTATTCAACAATTTAAAACATGAAAACTAACTGCAGAGTTACTCTGGCTACTGAGCAGTTCCTTTCACTCAGCAGTTACCTTTCTGAAAAACTAAGTTAATATAACTAGTAACTGATCCTCCACTGCCCCGCTACATTCCACTGCATCAGCTTGACCCAATCTGAGAGCTACCGGATCTGAGAATCTAAAGCAAACTGGGTCAATTAGAAAAGAGGATGTTCTGCTAAGATGGAGGTGTCTAACGTGTACGACTAAAGATACGATTAAAGATACATGTGTACGTGTAAAGGTACAAATTGGTTACCAGAGCAGAAACAACTGGATCCAGTTGTTTCCACATTGCTCTCACATCCATCTGTCTCCTTTCAGTCTGCTGAGCTATCTCAGCTGCTGCTGCTGCTTCCACCTGCTGGGCAGCTTGGAGGACCATCCTCCACTGCTTCTCCATTTCTTTGACCGTCTGGTGAACCTCTACCTTCCGTCCTTCCTCTGCATCCTGGTGATCACAAAGAGTTTGACCCCGCCTCCTCAGGTTGTTCACTTTGAAGTCACCATCAGGCCTGGAGCTCAAGATGGCCTGGAAGGAGGACAGAAAGAAAGAGGGATGGATGGATGGATGGATGGATGGATGGATGGATGGATGGATGGATGGATGGGTGGAGCAGACCTGTGCCCGCTGGTGTCTCTCCTCAGGGGGGCAGTGTTGGCCCACTGACTGCAGCCTGTTCTGGTTGTCTTTAATCCAGGACTCGGTGTTTTTGCTCTGGTGGTCGAAGTCGTCCAGCAGACTGCGGAGCTCTGTTTGTCTGCAGGTCTGCAGCAGACCGTCCCACATCTGTCTGCAAACGTTCAGCCGCTGCTCCACCTCTGCCTGCCTGCTCTCCTCAAGCTGCTGAGACAGACTGGCTGATTGCTCCTGCAGCTCAAGCAGCTTGGACTCTCCTTCAGGTCTGGACCTCATTACTGCCTGAAAAACAAGTTTCTGCTTTGCAGTTATTTGTTTAAAAAGTAATTCAAAGTACTTTGGAAGAAGTAGATAATATAAACAATAAAATAAATAGATTAAATTTATTTAATTCCAATAAAAAGCTGATAAGTGTTGAAATAAAGGGAACCATAAGTGAAAAGGTCACTGCTGAGCAGGTGATGGGGTCAGTCAGGTCCAGGTCAGAGATAACCTCCTACAGAATAAATCAAACCTCCACAATCAGGTGTCCTGCTTACCTGCACAGCCTGCCAGCGCTCCTCAAAGGGCAGGCGAGCATCCAGCCCCAGCAGCTTCTGCCTCTGCTCTCTGATCCAGGACTGGAAGCTTTCATCCAGATGTTTGAAAGCCTCCAGCTCCCTCTCAGTGGCAGCTTGGCTTGTCGCTTTCTTCTCAGTCACCTCAGCGTCCTGCAGGACACTCCTCCACTGCTCCTCCATGCATTCCACAACATCACAGATCTCTTTCCTCCAGTTGTCATCAGAGCCTAAGATCTCACAGATCTTCTGGCATTGCTGCTTCAGATCCTGCAGCCTGGACTCCCCCTGAGGCCTGGAGCTCAGGATGGCCTAAAGGAAGGGGATGAAAACCTGTGAAGCTGCTTTAACATTTTATCCTAAACAATTTCACCTTGGGGATAACACACACCTCTGCTTTCTGGAGGGTTTCTTCAGCTTCCATGTGAGAATCTAGAACATCTCTCTGGTCTTTGATCCAGGCCTCAAAGCGTTCACTGTGGGTTTGGAAAGCAGCCAGCAGCTCTTCCACCATGGCTTGTGTCTCTGCCTTCCTGAGAGCCTCCTCTGCAGTCTGGAGGGATGTTCTCCACTGATTCTGCATCTCTCTGACCAACAGACAAATATCCAGTGTCCTCCTTCCATCGGGGTCCTCCTGATTACACAGCTTCTCCATTTCTCCAAGCAGGTCTTTCATTTTAGACTCTCCTTCAGCTCTGCAGCTTAGGATAGCCTGTAAGGAACAAGATGGTGATGAGAACATAAATACATCATAACATACATAGAGTGGTAAATCATATCAGCTTAGAACTGCTCCCTTCTGTGAGAAGCTCCCCCATGGTCCAAAGCTAGCACCTCCATGGTCATAGCTCCCCGATGGTCATAGCTCCCCCGTGGTCATAGCTCCCCCATGGTTCATAGCTCCCCATGGTCATAGCTCCTCCACGGTCCATAGCTCCTCCATGGTCCATAGCTCCCCATGGTCATAGCTCCTCCATGGTCCATAGCTCCTCCACGGTCCATAGCTCCCCATGGTCATAGCTCTTCCATGATCCATAGCTCTCCCATGCTCATAGCTCCCCCATGGTTCATAGCTCCCCATGGTCATAGCTCCTCCACGGTCCATAGCTCCTCCATGGTTCATAGCTCCCCATGGTCATAGCTCTTCCATGATCCATAGCTCTCCCATGCTCATAGCTCCCCCATGGTTCATAGCTCCCCATGGTCATAGCTCCTCCACGGTCCATAGCTCTCCCATGCTCATAGCTCCCCCATGGTTCATAGCTCCCCATGGTCATAGCTCCTCCACGGTCCATAGCTCCTCCATGGTCCATAGCTCCTCAACGGTCCATAGCCCCCATGGTCTAAAGCTACCACATGGTCAATAGTTCCCCAATGGTCATAGCTCCTCCATGGTCCATAGCTCCCCAATGGTCATAGGTCCCCCATGGTCATAGCTCCCCCATGGTCCATAGCTCCTCCATGATCCATAGCTCCTCCATAGTCTAAAGCTCCCCCATGGTCCATAGCTCCTCCATGGTCCATAGCTCCTCCATGGTCTAAAGCTCCCCTATGGCCCATAGCTCCCCCATGGTCCATAGCTCCTCCACCTCCTCCACCATCCATAGCTCCCCCATGGCGATAGTTCTTCTATGGTCAAAGCTCCTCCATGGTCCATAGCTCCTCCATGGTCTAAAGCTCCCCTATGGCCCATAGCTCCCCCATGGTCCATAGCTCCTCCACCTCCTCCACCATCCATAGCTCCCCCATGGCGATAGTTCTTCTATGGTCAAAGCTCCTCCATGGTCCATAGCTCCTCCATGGTCATTGCTCCTCCATGGTCCATAGCTCCTCCATGGCCCATAGCTCCCCCATGGTCTATAGCTCCCCCATGGTCTAGCTCCTCCATGGTCATTGCTCCTCCATGGTCCATAGCTCCTCCATGGCCCATAGCTCCCCCATGGTCTATAGCTCCCCCATGGTCATTGCTCCTCCATGGTCATTGCTCCTCCATGGTCCATAGCTCCCCTATGATCTAAAGCTCCCCATGGCCCATAGCTCCCCCATGGTTCATAGCTCCTCCACCTCCTCCACCATCCATAGCTCCCCCATGGTCATAGCTCCTCCATGGTCTCCCCACGGTGGCTGGGCTCTTCCTCACAGACAGCTTAGCCATTAGGAAATAGCTTAAGGCATTCTCTACATCAAGAAAACCTCAATCCTTCCCAGAAGAGCTTTTTCCCCTTCGGCACTAAGCCCAAAGAAACATTTAGTTCTAATCGTGTTGATATTCTTTAAAAGATGTCGAGTCACTCAGCATCAGGAAGAAGATCAGTTCCAGATAACAGCTTCTTCTACCAACATTTAAGGAAAGAATAGGAGTTCTTCACGGGCTGGATCCAGTTTAGAAATGTTCTACTAACCTGAGATCTGCGCTTCATCTCTTCAGTCCTTGTGTCGGACCCTGCTGAGGTCAGAGGCTGGGAGAGGTCAGTAATCCAGGTTCTGGTGCTCTCTGCCTGAGCTTTAAAGCTGCTGTACTTCTCCTCCAGAACGTCGAGGTCTGCAGCCTGTTTCTGCAACCGAGCCTCCAGGTTCCGGTAGCGCTGTAACAAATTGTCCCCATCTTTCAGGATGTTTTCAGCTCTAACACCCTGCCTGCGTATGGATGCCAGGAGCTCACTGAGGGCTGCAGCACTCCTACTGATGGACAGAAGAAACACAAAATGATAAACGACTGGATGCTGTCATTCTAGAACATGAAGGAATCCGTCTCTGCCGCAAAACATATCTGTTTTCAGTGGATCTATTTTCCAGACCATTCAGGTCTTCTAGTTCCAGCCTACTCTGTCCACCCAGAACTAGAACCAAACAAGGAGAAGCAGCATCTATGCTCCACTGATCTGGAACAAACTCCCAGCAGACTGGAAAAGAGCTGAAAGCCTGAGTTCTTTGAAGTCAGAGTTAAAAACTCTACTTTCATTATTACTCATTATTAGTTTAAAGTACTGTAAGATGTTTTCAATCGTTGCATGCAGCTACAGCTCACATTGTACGATGAACCGCAGGTTTCGAAAGTTCAAAGCTCAGGATGTATGTTCTCACACTATGCGGCCCGACGCTCTGATGCGATCTACCTGCTCACACTGTACGTCTAAAAACAACGTGGGACTCAGCTCCAAAAGATGGCGCTGGTCGGACTCGTTAGTCTGGGAGAAGAAGAAGAACTCCCTTGTTTGCCCATGCTCAGTGCTGGAGGTTCTGGTACATTGGCTCGTAGCTCTGCTTCAACGACAGGATTTAGCCACAAACACCTCAGGAGGACCAACTGGATTTCAAACATGTTTAATTTTTCTCCCGACCTTATGATTCCCTGTAGACTACATGACGCACCATGAGGCTGAAAGTCGGCCTGATTGAAAATTTTTTTACAGTGTATGCCGGCTTTAGGTTGTGGTCCAACTGATTGATTTGTTTTACTACCTGCATTTATAAGCTTTTTATCTTCATTAGCTTTTTCCTGTTTTCACTTATTTATTCTTCTATTTAAGCACTTTGAATTGTCCTCATACTAAATTGTGCTTTAGAATGAACGTGTCTTCCTCTAGTGTGAGGTTAGCAGAGGAACCTGGGAAAATCTCCATAATGATAATCCTTTAAAGAAAGGAAGTAGAGCACTGGACTGCTGAACTGGACCTGATGAGGGTTTGACTCGTAGCCAATCAAAATATGATGTTGAGGTCTGATATGTTTTTAAGAAATAGTAAATGTTTAACTGAGAAGCTGGACCCTTCTGTGTTTGAAATACTTCTGGGACATAAAGATGGATGGATGGATGGATGGATGGATGGATGGATGGATGGATGGATGGATGGATGGATGGATGGATGGATGGATGGATGGATGCTGAATGGATGGATGATGAATGGATGGATGGATGATGAATGGATGGATGGATGGATGGATGGATGGATTGGTGATGGATGGATGAATGGATGGATGGATTGGTGATGGATGGATGAATGGATGGATGGATGGATGGATGGATGGATGGATTGGTGATGGATGATGGATGGATGGATGGATGGATGGATGGATGGATGGATGGATGGATGGTTTGGTGATGGATGATGGATGGATGGCTTGGTGTTGGATGGATGGATGGATGGATGGATGGATGATGGATGGATGGATGGATGGATGCTGAATAGATGGATGATGAATGGATGGATGCTGAATGAATGGATGAATGGATGGATGGTGGATGGATGGATGCTGAATAGATGGATGATGAATGGATGGATGATGAATGGATGGATGATGAATGGATGGATGGATGGATGGATGATGAACTGATGGATGGATGGATGGTGAATGGATGGATGAATGGATGGATGGAAGCCGCTCTGTAAAAGCTTTCATTTCATTATTATTTAGGTCTGAAAAATGCTCTGCTGCTCAGATGAAAGAACGTGGACAGAAACAGGGGTGGGCAGCTCCAGTTTCTGGGGGCCGGTTTCCTGCAACTTTTACATCCATCCTTGGTCCAACACACCTGAATCAAATGGCTGAGCTAGCACCTCAGCAAGCAGTCAGTTCCTCCAGAGTCCTCTCAATCATGTAATTAGTTGATCCAGGTGTTTTGAACCAAAGGCAGGTCTAAGAGTTGCAGGATAGCGGCCCTGGACCTGGATTTTCCCACTGCTGGTCTATAGATGTGACCAATCATGCTTTTACTGTCCCTGTTCATTGCCATCATCAGTAATCAATCTGTTGGGTTGATAAAAACCTTTGGATCATCTTGATGTTCTTGCCTCCCAGATAAATGGCTGACTCTCTAACATACATACCTGTGATCCTGAAGTTCTATGAGGAGAAGCTTCCTGTTCTCTGGTAGAGCTGATTGCTTCTCTTTGTCCTGCAGCCAGTCACTCAGATCTCCATGCTGCTTCTCTAGGCTGAGATTAGATCAAACCTGTCATTTCTCAGCTCTTTTAAACAGCATGGCTCTCCATGAGGAAGGTCTAGGAGGTTCTTACCCATTCAAGTCATCCAGCAGAGACTCCATCTGCTGTTGGCGGTTCTGGCAGTGGGTCCTGAATGTAGCCACCTCCTCTTGCTGCTCCTTCAGCCAGTCCATTAACTCTGATAGCTGCTGAGGAGGAACCTGCTGCCTTGCTCTCTCCAGCTCATCACTTAGCCGGCTCAGACGTCTTTCTGTATCTTCTGACTTGAGGAAACCCTGGTCCATGTGAGAGGAGAGGTTTGAGCTGACCAGCCTCTCAACTTTGCCGCAGTCAGTCACTAACCTGTGTAATTCTTACTGTAAGTCTTTGCACGGATGTTTCCACATCTGTTCTGCTCTCTGGGCTCTCAAAGCACTCGTTGACAGACAGCTGTAAATCCTGGAACCATTCCTCAAATAGTTCCCTTTCATCTGGGGAGGAAGGATTTCAGAAGTTATCATCCAGCCTGATGTGTCTCTTATCATGATCTTGGCTCTGATGTCTGGTCTGATTAGTGATTTCACCTGCCTAGCTCCACCCAGTTCCAATAGTGCTCATCTGATCCCCCTGCTTCAGCCTCTATTTAACCAGCCTTCTGACCAGTCATCAGTGCCAGATCACCCGAGGTAAGAGGGTTTTCAGCATTCAGATTCCTGACTTCCTGCCTGTTTGCCTGACTTGATTTTTCCCTGTTTCTAAGCCGGCCTGATCCCTGTTTGTCTGCCTGCCCAACGCCTAATGGCCTGGTTCTCCTCCTGCAGCAGTGTGTCGCAGTGAGCCTGTCGCCAATATTTTAGATTTATGCCCAATATTGAAGCGTGGTGTGCGCTATGTTATTCCGCGTCAAGGCGCCAGAGGGCCAATCAGGAATTAGCTGTGGGTCTAGATACAGCCAAGGCGTTGAGGAAGTGGGAGCAAGTTTGTGCGACAACGGAGGGACATGAGGGCCAAAAAGAGCGGGGATCCAGGTGGAAAAAGGGTCCCAGCGTTCTCGCGCACCTCGCTCTTCTAGCTAGTCCATCTTCACCAGTCGTTTTCCACAATGGCAGTCAGACAAACAAAACAAGACGGTAAGGTACCAAAGAAGAAATACACATAGTGAAGAGCAGATGTAGATTTTTTTTTTGGGGGGGGGGCACATTTGTATTCACTGCAACACACATGCAGACGACTTGGTTTTTGAGTATAAATCAGCATAACCTGGAACTGTTTCTCATCCTCGTCCTGGATGTCCCTCTGGTGCTTCTTCAGGCCTCTAACCTCCTGGCTCTTACTACTGAGCACCAGACAGTCATGTAGGTGGTTGGAAGCTGTCAATTCCCCATCAGCTTCTTATATTAGCGATAGGAACGAGTCTATGCATCAGTTCCTGTTTCTGTGCATCAGCATCACCCCTTAGACGTATGTAAAAACTGACCGTTGATGACCTTGTCGAGGCCTTTGTCCCTCTCCTCCCTCTTCATGTGGATCAACTGTTTGGTGTGGGCAATAGCCGCTGTCAGCCTGCTGCAGTCTGCAGATAGCTCCTCCAGCACCAGTGGACTGGCTACACTGGACACCAAGCCCACCTCCTTCAGCACGGCCTCAGCCTGCTCCTCCTGTGAGTTCAGGTCGGCACAGAGGTCCTGGGAAGCAGTGGAAGGTCGTGTTAATCAGTGAACTGACAGTATTTCAGAGGCTATTCTGACACCAAGCTCTGCACCTGTATCTGAGCTTCTGCTTTTGCATTAGTTCTGCTGAGACTCTTCTGAATATTATCCACAGCCGTCTGACACTCCTCTATCTTCTCAGACAGATGTTTTTTCACAGCTATGATTTCCTCAAAAACATCTGTGCAGTCGGTAAACAGTTCCTTCACCTGCTCCATTCTTTTCTTCAGCTGGGTCTCCATCACCTGGACATTTAGAGGAATACATAGCAAACAACTAAAAAACATCCCAGCTATTAAAAACCTGAACTTTGTGGTGTTTTTTTTTACCTGGAGTTCCAAAGGAGCCTCCTGACTCTGGAGCATCTGCTGAATTTCAGTTGACTTCTTGTGAAAATGTTGGATATTCTCTTCATTTGAGTGAATCTCATCCTGCAAGCCAGAAGCATTTTCCTGAATAACATCTCATGGTGTTGGACAGTCTTTCTCTAAGACTCAGAGACTCAGACTTACCCTAAAGGCAAGAACTTGTTGTTCGTTGTTGAAGGGATTTCCTTCAGCAAACAAGGCAAGTTTAGCTCCAGCCCAGCTGTCCACCTCTCCTCCTAACATCAGCTGCTTCTCCCAGAGTTCCAGCCCCACCCGGAGGTTATCCAAATAGGCATCCGTCTTTTCAGTTACCTGCGTAAACATCAGGATATTGATTTTTACTGGGGTTCAATGGGGAGTCGCTGATGTACTAATGATTTATTGAGTAAATATCTATTTATGTTACTTCTGCTGCAACACCCTGTAATTTATGTTCCATTTTAACAATCTATAGACTTATGCAAATTAAATTCTAATTCTTTATGGTCTTTCTATAAGCTGTGTTATTATTTTTGGATATTTAGGACTGTCTTCTCATGTGCTAGTCTTCTTTGTAAACTCTAAAGATAGCTTCTGTCCAAACTTTATTTATCATTTTATAGTAAAACCCATCTGTATATATACTATTGTACATAACTGTAAAAACCCTTTTTATATTAATATCCACCTGCATATTATATTCGGTACATATCCAGCTGTAAATTTGGTTCATAACACTAGTGATCTATATATTATATTCAATATTTATAACTTTATTCATCTCTATACTCATTCAGGGCAAAAGTACTCACTTTCTGTACTTGAGTAAAAGTACAGATACTTATGTTAAAAAATAATCTGGTAAAAGTGGAAGTACTGATTAAACTTCTTTACTCAAGTAAAAGTAAAAGTAACAAAGTACAGGCTTGTAAATTCACTTTAAGTATAAAAGTAAAAGTAGAAACCACTTTTTTCATGCCGTTGCCTACATTTTAAATGGATGTCTGCCATTAGGACTAGATCTCCGTTGTGTTCATTTTCAATCATCTCGTCGTCCATACTACTATGCTAACACCACCGCCACCAAGCTGCAATGATTTGCCGCGAATTAATACCGCAGAAACTGTCGATTCATCTTGTAGTGGTGCGTCAAATGCAACTTAGATTCCCATCCAATTAGATTGAATTTGGTATTGATGACGTGAAAAATAATAACGGTAACTCCATTGAAATGATTCAAAACTAAAGTAACGAGCCAATTTTTAAAATCTAAGGAGTAGAAAGTACAGATATTTGTGTAAAAATGTAAGGAGTAGAAGTAAAAAGTCGCCATAATAATAAGTAGTAAAGTAAAGTAAAAATATCAGAAAAATCTACTTGAGTACAGTAACAAAGTATTTGTACTTTTTTACTTCCCATCTCTGGTAGAAACCCATCTCCTGTATTTATGGAACCATTATTTATCCTGCACTTGCTGCTATTGCACTTCTGGTTAGACCTAAACTGCATTTTGTTGCCTTGTACCTTTACCTGTGTAATGACAATAAAGTTGAATCTAATCTAATCTAATCTAATTTAAAGGCTGCAATCCTGTGCAGACACTTCCAGAGAGACACATGACATGTTTGATACCATTGATCTTGACTTTTCTGGAATTAAGCAATATATGCAAATCAACAACAGCAATCCCCATTGTAACCTTAAATTTCTATTGAAATCATCACATCTCTGGAACTCTTTGCCTCTGGAGCTTAAGTCACAGACTGATATTCAACTTTTCTCCACAAGATTGAAAAAATGGCTCAAAGACAATCAAGAGTGTGAGCACTAAACTGGCTTGTACTGTACATTTTTTTTGTTTGTTTTAACTTCTCTTGTTTTGTTTTTTTTATGCAACTCTGTGCCGTTACTAACCTCCCTCCCCCTTAATGCTAACACCTTTTAAAAACCTAACCAGGGACGAAGGCTGCAAATTAGCCCATGGCTACAAGCCTTATGTTCTTGGACATCGGCCACCTGTTTGGTTGCAATGTTTAATTGTACTGTCCCTGTTAAATAAACAAATAAACAAATAAATAAATAAAAAATAAAATAAATAAAATCACTTTGCATATTCAATAAATGTCCTTCTTAAAGTACTTTTTGTTAGCTAATATAAATGATTGGTTTAAATGTAATGAGTTATGTTTGAATGAAGTAAGACACGACACGATTTCTGTAGAATCGGATGAAAATCGGATTAAAACTCTGTAAGTCAAGTTCAGGAATTCAAGTATCTTTGGGTCACTTTGGACTCAACAACTTCATTTCCAAAAGCTGTTAAACTAATAAAATAGAGATTAATTTACAGAACTTCATAGTGAACATTTATTTATTGATTGAAAATGTAAAATTCATACTCTGAATGTTGTAGTGATTTCAGTAAATAGTTGCATATGTTTATGTGCATCAGTTCTTACATCGAGCCAGTTGTCCATCAAAGTTTCAGCCTCAGCCTCAAAGGGAGTCTCGGTGCAATCTGGGAATTTCTTCAGATCTGATTGAAGTTGTTTGCAAGCAGCCCTCATCTCCTCCATCTTCTCAGCAAGACCAGCCAACTCCTCCTTCATTTCACAAACCTGAAAGAGGGTCCACATGAGAACACAACGTTTCTATGGAATGAGACACAATCACTTTAGAGCATAACTAAAGGCTTAAAGGGCTGACCTTTGACACACTTCTCTGCAGGTAATCCTTGCCCATGTAGGAGGCCTGATCACCGATGGTCTGCTCAGCTTTCTGAATGCTGGTGTTGAGGTGACTGCGGCAGGTCTGAAACTTCTTCAACAGCTCCAGCAGAACATTGCAGAGCTTCTTCCTGTCAACAAAACAAACACAACAAAGGACATTTCAATCAATGCTGAAACCATCTAGTTCACTTATATTTCAGGTTTGACAACAAGTGACACCACAAATCTGAAGACAGTAGGAGAGAAGAAGAAAGACTTTTGGCTGCAGATAACAAGAAGCCAGGACATCAGATCCAATGTATTTCTTAATGTACACCACTGCCTAAAATATGGGCCTGTAACCATGGATGGGGAGGGGTTGCGGGGGGCCATGTCCATTTGGTCCGAACAAAAGAACAATGTGCCGACATTCGTGGAGCACTAGGACCAAGCAGAACACCGCAGTTTAAGCTGAAACCCCTTTCCTGAGTTTAGACCTGCCCACCAAGTAGGAAACAATCCAAGAAAATATTGCAGAGTAAAAAATTATTTGATAAAAAAGGCGTGCGGAGAGAAATTCTGGTATTTGAAAGACTCCAAATAAGATAATTCATAGAAATAATCCTAGTTGTCTTCTGCTTCCTGCAGGTGATGGAAGCAGGAAGTCTCAGCAGTGAATTCATTTAAAAAAAGTTAATACCAACTAATGAGACAGAGGAGACATGTGTCCTAATCCCTTTTCTAATACATAAACCAGAACATTATAAGTAGTAATGTATGTTTGAGGTCATCCAGTCCAATTTATTTTTACATAAACTTTGTTTTATAGCATTTTGATTGCATACAGTAAAAATGGAAAATCAACTGAAGGTTCAATCAAGAAAGAGGAGTTATTCTTCATGTAGAGATTTTTAAAGTAAAAGTAAAAACTACACTGCAGAGACTAATTATAAAAGTTAAAAAGCTTTGGTTAAAAGTGACTCTAGTAAATCAAACTAGTTAACACTAACAACTGCTAGCATATGCCCAGATCTCTCTCTTCTTTCTATATACACCCTCTGACCCTTATGCATAGAGGGGTTCAGAAGTCTGCATGAAAAACGGTCAAATCAGTTATGAGACGCCGGCCATGACAGCGGAGCGAGAGGCGGAGTCAGTGAGGCCAGGCGCTCCTGCCATGGAGAAATGGAACAGGGAACATCAGGGACCGGCGTAAAGAAAATCAACAATCGTTCTGTGGGAGCCTGAAAAGGCTTTGTTGAACTGAAGGCTGATTTTAGAAAAACCGTAGCAGCTTTCAACAAATCGTTTTCAGTTTTAGAAAGGTGAAAGATGTATCTACAAACTGAGCTTTAAACTGTGTTTGTAGGTGAATGTATGACCACACAGCAAAGGCTCAAAACTGGTGGGTTTTTATGTCTTCTTTCTCCCCTCTCACCATTCATTCCTATGGGATTTCCTATGGGTCACCATGGTAACTCTTCGGTTCAGGCCACATTATTGTTGATGGAAGAAAAAAATCTTAACTTACAAAGATATAAAGAGTCGGTTTTTGGAGATAATAATAATAGTAGGTGCCTCCATGCATGGCATGGCCTTCCATGCTCCTATCATCGCTATGGCAGGCACCTATTATGATCTGGCATCTTAGAGAAGTATTGAAAACACGGGGTGGATTTTCTAACTGTCATGGTTTTGCTTCTGTTGTGCTTTTCTTTGCTTCATGTTTCCTAGTTTTTTTGGTTTAATTCCTGTTTTGTTGTAGTTTCTAGATTTATTCTCAGGTGTTTCTATTGTTGTCCTCTGTTGCCCTCTTGTGTGTGTTCCTTTCCCCTTGGCTCCCTCGTTGTCTCCTCTCACACCTGCTCCTTATCTGCTCATTAGCCCTGCCTTCATCTCAGTCAGCTATATATTCTCTCCCTCTGCAGTCACTCCTTGTTGATTCCTTGTCGTTGCTGGCTTCTCATGTTGTTGTCTTCCTACCTCGTCTCTCTCTGGCTCCTCGTGTTTGGTTTTCCCTGATGTCTCCATGGTTCTGGTTTGTTTTACATTTTTTTGTTGGATTTTTGGATTCCTGCCTTTGTTAATTGCTTTCATCATTAAACTGCAAGAAATCCCCTCAGTCTCTCTGCTTCTGCATTTTGGGTCCTCAAACCAACCAAAACGTGACACTTTCACCACTGAGATCAGGTTTATGGACTGAGACAGAACAGTGGTGCAGCAGACCCCCAAGGTTTAATGCTGGGGACTAAATGATTGTTTTAGTGTTATTTCTTTTTCTTTGGTATATATGCATGTATACAGGGATCTATCTTTATTATATTCAGTTTATTTCTATAGCGCCAATTCCCAACACATGTCGTGTCAAGGCACTTTCCAGTTCACCAGAACATCCAGTCAAATTGATTCAAAGTTTTATATCTAAGGAAAACCAGCTGATTGCATCGACTCATCGACTCTTCAGCAATCCCTCACACTAAGCATGCTTGTAGCGACAGTGGAGAGGAAAAACTCCCTTTGAACCGGAAGAAACCTCCAACAGAACCAGGCTCAGTGTGAGCGGCCATCTGCTAACTATATGTTTATGGAAAGCAATAACTAAAGAAAGGAATTAACCAGAATGTCATCTTTCTCGTCTGGTTCTGGATGTAATGAATCAAGTTACCAAGATTACCAAAGATAATTTGGACATCAGGTATGGGCTACATATGATGCGCCTTGGCAAATCCTGTAAAAGTACAGTAGAATAACTTTGGAACTGGTTTCAATGAAAGTGAGTAAAAAAAAAGAAGGCGGCTCAAATGAGATGATCACTGCTCGCCAATATTACTAAGAGAGTCTGTTTGATTAAGCAGGTTAGGATTCCTCTGTTTGCCTCACCTGTCAAAGAAAATTCTCTGAGTCTCTTCCCACTGAGCTTCCAGATCCTGGAGGAGGTTCTCTTCTCCACCCTGTTGCTCCTGCAGTCCACGGAGACTCTGGACCTCCGACTGTTGAGTGTGAAGCTGTCCTTCTAAGTCCACCAGACCACGAAGCCTGGAAGTCAAATAACCTTTAGAGCCGATTCACGATATTCTGACACATGTGAAAGCTGCAGATTTAATGCTATGAGGAATAGAAAATAAAAAAAGAAAAAACCCTGGCCTGATGCAGATAATGGTTACCAAGACCGTTTTTACATGGATTTAAGCGCTAAATGCAGTATTTTAGAGAAAAACGTCACAACCAGTGCTGTTAGCAAACACTGTTCTCACACAAACAGACATTGAGGCCAAAACTTTTAACGAAAAATTATCGAACAATATCTGTAATGGTGCATTGTCAGGATCAGCATGACCAGTGGCGGCCGGCCCATAGGGGGCGCTGGGGCACCGCCCTCCCTGATAAGAAGAGAGAAACGTAAAATATATTTTTAGAAATTAACTCATAAATGTCAGTTTTACTCTCTAGAGTGTGCACCTATAAGCAAAACAAATTATATAAACTACATTTCCCTATCTACTGTCATTCATTTGTGGATTTCCACAGACAGACTCCTACCGTCTCTGTTCTGGGGGCGCTGATCAGACAGACCCACATTTGCAGAGAATCTGTCAATCATGTACTATTGCTAGGTGAATTCAATGGCCAATCAGCGTCTCAGAACTTTATGGTCTTGGGGCGCTGAAAATACTGCACTTTAACAGGCTTCTGCACCCAAGCGCAGGTGCAGACAATTAGAGGGACGATGGCGAACGTAACGAGCGAGATGCAGCTTCCACCAAATTCGGTGAGATCCTTATTTATCTACCCGTGGCCAGAAGAACATCCCTGTTGTAGGATATGAACATTTCATGTCATGGTTATTGTGACTGTGACGAATCCACCTCGTCGCTTAAAACTTTGCGTGCCACACACACATTCCTGTTATACTGTGCTTGTGAGGACCAATTCACTCGCGCTGGGCCCAGTAGCTCCATTAACTTAAAACACACAAGCTGTTCCTGGTTACCTGCTGGCGTATTGAGGGTGCACACTTAATATTTCAGTGGGGTTAGCCGTGTGTGTGTGTGTGTGTTTATGTTACTGGGACTTGTCATCTTCAGTCTGGCGGCGTCTTTGCTGGGTTCAAACCCAGTTTGGTGTAATTGAATAAGTCAATGAATCTGTGTAAAAGAATTAAGTTGTAAAAATTATTTGTTTTTGTACATCAATTGTTTGTGGAGGTAATATATGGACAAAACTGATTATTGAGAAGAAATCAGAAATAAGAGAGCCTGAAGCGAGGGGCTTAAACTATTTAATGAGGGCTGTGGGAAGAAGAGCGGCCATTTTGTTTTTCTGTTTCTTTGTTACATTGCTGGTAACTGGAGGGAGGCTGAGGCCCAGAGTATCTTGTATATGTTTAGTTTCTTTTGCACCCTGTTTTGAGTTTTTGAGCTCAATAAATCACCAACACCGGTAACCCGACTGAGACTGGATTCTTGGATGCCAAAGAACCCCGTCACAGTGACCCAAATCATCACTGTTATTGTTATTATATAGTAAAATAAATCATTACTGTTAAATTGTATGCATTGTCCAATTGTTTATTTGAATTCTTATTCCGGATTAGTTGGAGACATACACTAGGCTATATCAGCCCCACCAAAAATATTTTTCACCAGCCGCCACTGAGCATGACTGATTATTGTTCTTAACAATTAATTAGCTGATTTCCATCACAGATACGTCACATGGGTGCTTGCCAGTCTGCTGACTGAGGACTCTTGCTTTTCACTAATTCCATGTTGGGTAAAACTAATAGGAGGAGTCCTGAAGTGGAGAGCATTACTTTAACACATTCCTCATGTCTCTAAAAGCAGGAAAGCACACTTAGGAAGGCTATGTTACATTAAGAGCTAAGAGAAAGAAACGAAGTGATGCATTTAGGTGGAAGTATTCTTTAAAAGACTAAATCAAAAACAGTCAAATATTTAAATACTCAGGTTTTCAGTTTGTTTCCTGAGGCGTTTGCCACCTGTTAGTAATGAAAACTGACCAGTACGTTTTTACCACTTTGAGTGAAACCCTCACTGGTATTCTCTCACTTGAATCCCTCAAAAGTCTAATGGATTCAATTCAATTCAATTCAGTTTATTTATATAGCGCCAAATTCACAACACATGTCATCTCAAGGCACTTTACAGTTCAACCAGATCATACAGTCAAATTGATACAAAGTTTTCTGTCTAAGGAAAACCAGTTGATTGCATTGACTCATTGACTCTTCAGCAATCCCTCACAGTAAGCATGCTTGGTGAAAATAAACATCATGTGATGTTTTTATGCCTCAGTGACAACAAAGCTAATTGAGACGTCCTCATCAGGCTGTGTTGTCCTTCCTCTCCAGCCTTTACAGTATCCTCTATTTTTCTCCTCCTGTTTCAATCCAGTGGGGTTTTTTTTCCGATTAAAACAACAACATTTAGCAGTGCTGTAAATTTAAAAAAAGTCAGATCTTTAATAGTCTCACATTCTCAGAAGCAAACACGTGTTTATGTCTGTATATGTCATTAATTTGTAAAAAATATCCTCACTTTCTAACAATGTTCTCGATTTGTAAAAATGTCCGGTTTGTCAAAATATCCTTACTTTGTAAAACTGTAATTGGTTTGTGAAAATGTCCAAATTGGTAAATATTTGCTTTGTAAAATTTTCATAATTTTGTAAAAAAAAAAAGTGCTCTTTGTAAAAAATGTGTTTGCTTTGTAAAAATGTCCTCAGTTTGTAAAAATTTCTACTTTTTAAAGATGTCCTAACTGAATAAATATATGCTCTTTGTAAAAAAGTTATTGCTCTGTAAAAAATGTCCTATTTATGTAAATTTCTAATTTTACACTGGAAAAATGATCTAGAAATAAGTAAAAATTTCTTAAATTAAGTGTATTTACCCTTAATTTGAGTAGGTAAATGAGATAGTTTGCCAATGGAATGAGTACTGTTACTCTTGAAATAAGATAATTCGATAAAATGCACTTGAAAAAAGACAATTCAATTGTGTTTTCTTATTTCAAATCTAAAAAAATCTTGTATCATTGGCAAAATGTCTCTTTTATCTCCTCAATTCAAGAACAAATGCACTTATATTAAGAAAAAATGACTTATCTAGATTTCCATTTTTTCCAGTGTATTCCTGCTGATGAGTCAAGCTTAAACCAAGCTGTAGGTCAGAGAGGCTCAGGGCGGGTGGGCACCATCAGCTGAAGGACTTTAGGGTCCTCGTTCTTCATGGACATGTTGTATTAAATAACTCCGGGTCTTATTTTAATGAGAATGTGTTTTAAAGCAGATTAGCCTTGATTAGACTAACATAAAATTCAATATGCTCACACCTGCACACACACATTGATAGTAACACATAGCTACTCTGTAAAGCATGCTGACTGTACACGGTTCCCTCAGTAGCAGCTCATACAGTCTGTTAAAATGAAGATCAGCAGTTCAGGGCTGCAGGCCAGTCTTATAAAAAAAAAAAATGCAAAACAACAACTAAAGTTTCACCCTGAGGCTTAACCAGTAGTCATGGTAACCACCATGTGCTTCCTTGTTCTTACACTGCTAAAAACTGAAATCTAAGTAAGTAATTTTTTTCTTAAAATAAGTGCATTTGTTCTTAAACTGATGAGGTGAGACCATCTGCCAATGGAACAATTTACATTTAAAATAACAAACAATAAGTGGGTTATTAAGTCCATATTATCTAATTCTCTTTTTGAAAGAGTTAAAATACTCATTCCATTGGAAGATCATTTTATTTACCTACTCAAACTAAGGGTAAATGCACTTAATTTAAGACATTTTGACTTATTTCTAGATAGTTTTTGCAGTGCACTTGAAGAGGTTCCTCTATAAACAGCATAGATGTGACAGGAACCTGCCCAGAAGCTCCTATTGACATCAGAGTGTGGGTTACTTACATGTGCTGCACAGCGGGCATGGTTGGCTCTTTCAGGCCTTGTTTTTCAACAGCATCCTGAAGCCTCCTCAGCTCCCCCAGGACCATCCTCTTCCTCAGGCCAAACGATTTGCTCTGGCTCTCTTTCTGAAGGCCCCTCTGCTGGCTGGCCAGCCCAGCGTTGGCCTCCTCCAGCCTCCTCAGCAGGACGGTCACCATGTCGAGGCAGGAGGCCGGGGACCCGTCCCTGGTGACGGTCAGCCTGGCCCCCTGCAGCAGCAGGTCCAGCTGAGGGGCCTTTTCTTTCAGACTGTCAATGCTCTGTCTGATCAGAGACAGCTTGCAGCGACAGTCTTGCAGTACCACAGGATCACTGCAGGGGGCCCCTTGGACCCCAGATATGTCATCGTCCACCTTGCTGAGTGAGATGAGAAATCGGTCGAGAGCGCGGGCCGCCGCTTCGCTCTTCTGGACCTGTTGTCGTAGCTGATCAAGGCTGGCTTTATGGGTCTCCACTTCTCGAGTCAGAGGGAAGCATTCTCTGGGGTCCAGGTCACTGGATTCTAGGTCCAGTCGGGACAACTGGTCCAACTCGCTCTGAATGTTGTCATGGAGCTCCTGTAGGGAAAGGTGACAATGATTAGATAGAACACATATTTAAAAATCCTAGGTCCAAAAAAAGGTCAGGTTAAAAAAAAACAAAAAAACAAGATCTAAACTAAGCATGGATTCTGGAATACGTTGGTTTATCTTCCAAAAACCTATCTGGAATAAATAAAAAAAAATAAACATAAAAACTCAGTCAGACTGAATCAGTTTGTGACTAACTGGATGTGCTCTCTTCATCCTCTGACATGGGAGCTGGCTCGGAGCGCTTCTGCCTGGCTGTGTGTTTCCTGGACGGAGCCGCCTGTGGAGCTGGTTGACAGTTGCCTTTTGTATCTATGCTTCTTTTTCTATGTCTGCTTCTGTCTCCTTGAACCCCAGTTGGCCTCAGCAGATGGCCGCTCACACTGAGCCTGGTTCTGCTGGAGGTTTCTTCCTGTTAAAAGGGAGTTTTTCCTCTCCGCTGTCGCTACAAGCATTCTTAGTGTGAGGGAATGCTGAAGAGTCAATGAGTCGATGCAATCAGCTGGTTTTCCTTAGATATAAAACTTTGAATCAATGTGACTGGATGATCTGGTGAACTGGAAAGTGACCTGAGATGACGTGTGTTGGCACAATAGAAATAAACTGAATAGAATTAAATAGGAATAGTTTGCTACATGTGAAAAGATTTCTGTGTTCCTTCTTGGTCTGATGATTTTATCTTAATCTTAATTTTTTTTTTATCAGTGATTTGCAGAAAATCTTCATGATGAACAGAAAGCATGAATCTACTAAATATGTCTAACTTAGTGCCCCCCCCCTGACCTTGATGTCCCTCAGGATGTTGGCGCTGGCCAGCGTGAAGCCACTGATGTCCTTGGAGTGTCTCAAGTAGCGGTCCAGGCGGTCGTTGAAGTCCACCATGTGGTTCTCTGTGGAATCGATCTGTCTGAGGGCGGCGCCCAGAGAACTGCCTCTCCTCTGGAGGGCTGTCTGTTGATGGCGCCACCGCTCCAGCAGCTCGGCCTTCTCTTGCTCCACCCATGACTCCCCACTCCACTGGGAACACTGGGAAGACTGGTTTACATATTCGGACCAGAGTACCTCGGTCTCCTGCCTCAGGAACTTTGGGGGAAACAGAGAGGATGTCAGACAGTGACTGATTGCTGGGGTGGATCTGTTTACCTCTGAACTCTGCCCCTGCTGGTTCAGACCTGTATTTCTTGGAGTCGTGTGTGAAGGCCTTTCAGGGAGATGAAGTCAGAGGGATCCTCTCTGAAGCTCTGCTCGTTTTTGGCCAGCTGAGCTTGCAGCGTCCGTTTGCAGGTTTCATATCTGGAGATTTCATCAATAGAAAAGAAGGAGACCAAAATTAAATGCAGAATAATGTGATGTAGATGTGAGAAAAGCTCCTAAAATGTAGGAACTCTGCAGTGAATGCACCTTTCTACAGCCTCCTTCTTTGTGATTTCTTCCATGGATGTCTGCATGTCAGCGTCCAGCCTGTCCTCAGACGTCCTCTGCTCGGTGACCTGGACCCCAGAGAGAGCAGACACCGTCACATCTCTGTGTCTGTTTCTGAAGAACTGATTCTGTTTCTGCAGCAGTCGTACCTCTGAAGGTGGTTCCTCTCCTGTCACCTCAGGCCCAGTCGAAGTGCTCTCCACAGACGCTTCATTAGGTCCACTAAATGAAACAATCATCATGAGGACAGGGGCTCTGCAGGCACATTCTGGATGTTTTTTATATAGTTTCCCTGGTCTACTTTCCTAAACCAATCAAATCTAGAGGAATATTTCAGAAGAGTGATTGCATAAACCACCAAAATAATTAGTTTCATCCGGACAATCAAGTTCTTTGTGGTTGGACTCGGTGCTGCCCCAACTTGTTGCTCACCACATAGCAAAATAAAAAGTTTTTCAAGATGATGCAAAGTTAAATGTGACACCGTTACCATTAGTTATAAAACTAAGAAACTGAAGTCTAAGGAAGTTATCATCCAGAATTGTAGAAAAATTTTCCTTTAATAGGCTAGGGCAGTAAAGAACAAGAAAACAGTTTTTCCAGTTTTACTTTTATACTTTAATTAGTTTTAGAAATTGTACTTTTACACTTTTACTGGAGTAAAAATCTGAATTTGATCCTCTAATTTCTATAAAAGCAGGATTTATCTTTCTGCTGGAGTACTAAACATGAATACCTTTAACGAATGTGAACAGGAGCCACTTAGCTGAGTTATTTCAGCACTCAGAGATCCACTGACCAGCTTTTATTGGACTCCTTCCATCAGCTTACCTTGAATCAGGCTGCGGTGAATCCTGCTCTCTGCTGAGCTGATGCTGAATGGCAGCCAGCCTCTTCTCACACTCCAGGAGCTGAGTCTGAGCCAGGCGGTGAGCCTCCTCAGGACTCAGGGTCCTACTCAGCCCTTGCAGAGCCTCCAAGTGCTGCTCGGCCTTCGTAAAGTCAGCTGAGAAACAGGCCTGGGGAACCATCACGCACATCCAAGGAAGGAAAAAACAGAAAATGATTAAACATTCTTACTCTAAAACCAGTGAGATTATCACTATTCTAACTTTATATTGATGCCCACTAGAAAACATAAAGAAACACAGCTTAACTGAAGAGGCTAGCCAAGCTTTGTTTATAATGGAAGAGGCTAAATAAAAGAATAGAAGTCTATTTTATCTTCTCTTTCTCTGAGACCAGAGTGAGAGAATAATGGAGGAGGAAATGAAAAGCTGGATCAATTGAACTGAGCCAAAAGAAAAAGCTCTTAGTTTACTGGTTGGTCTGCATTCCTACTCTTTCCTAGAACTGTGAAATCTTAGCCACGGCCAAAATATGGGAAACAAGAAGCCTAGCTTTCTACGCATGGTGACCGTGGCCTTCCTTAGAGATAATTTAAGGAGCTAAGGTGAGGTTTGGCAGTCCAGGAGAAGGTTAAGGTAGAGCTGACTGGGTTTCTCTGCTTCTCCTATAGGAGCTCGGGGAGCTCAAGGGAAAGCTGGGTGTTGCTCAGAGAACAAAAGCAGAATATAGAGTTTTCTTCTTCCCCAACAATGACAGTTGATCTATTCTTCATCATAAGTGGACGTCTGCTTAAAGTACTTCTACAGACACAACCTGCTGATATTGCTAAAAGACAGAACTCCCGTTAAAGCCATGATAAAACTTCCAGACACCCAAAGCCCCACTGACAGGAGGCATGCAAACACAGAAGACCAAGATATAAAAGCAAACAGACACCATAAGCGCCATCCCCATCACCTGAAGCACACTTAGACACTCCAGAAGTTTTACTACCTGTGTTTGACCTTTTCTGGAGGATCTTAAGTTCATCTCACTGTCCCTCAAACCTGTGCTAAAAGCTTTTCTTGCTACTTCAAATCTCAACTGTTGCAAAAACCCTGAGATATCAGCTCTCACATCCTGGACAGAACAAAAGAATGAGTTCAGAAAACAGCAATTAGAAGCTACACGCCATACAGACAAGGTTGACCAAATACACACATTAAGGTTAATATTAATTTACATTTATGTGATTTAAAATGGTTTAAGACATTTTAAAGGTTAGATTATTTAAAACCAGACACCAATCACGAGCAGCGCTCTTACTGTCCTACCTTCCACTGTGACTGCACAGACTGCGTGAAGAACTCCATCTCTTTGAGTTGAGATTGAGTGCAGAAGGCCTCCATGCCTTTGGCTGCTCTCAGGAACTCCTCTAGCAACTCTGGGTCAAGGGTCTTTAGAGTCCGCTGAGGAAAGAGGCAAAAAGAGGCAAAAAAGGTAAGTGCAAAGGTCTTTATTATGCTGGCCAAAGAGGTAAAAGCCTAAAAATGCCCTAAATCTCTTACTATGTGTTAAATGAATTCCACACCACAAACATTTTTTAGATTTAGTTTAGCCAACACGGAAAAGCTGCTTGTAATAAACTTAGACCACCGATGTTGCTTTGATGAGACATTTTTTTATTAATTTTATGCTACAAGATATAGGAAAGACATTCTATATTATCAGGTAAGTTTAATTTATGTCATTTTTGTTTCCAGCTGTCTCCTTTACCTCCAGTTTCCTGGAAACGGTAATCTGTGTGCTGCTGGTTTTTTATCAGTCTTAACTATACAGTATATCATGCATAAAAGGAAATTCTTTCTACCTCTTTGGCTGAGACCTGCTCAGGTGACAAGCGTCTATCTTTGAAGACAGAGATTGCTTCGATGATGTGGGCCTGCAGGCAGTGCTTGGCCTCTTCAAAGTGGTTGCGGGCCAGAGCCTGGGCCTTTGCGTAGGCTTCTGTGTAGGCCTTAGCAGGAGCTTGAGGCAGAAGAAATGTCTCAGGAGAGAGATTTGATGATTCTTCCTTATTCTGAGGAGCCATTGTAGGTACTGGTCTAGTCTTAGGACTTGTCTGAGGTGAAAATGAGGCCCTGGGTTGTGTTGAAGTTTGGGACTTGTTCAGCATTGGTGACTGAGGCTGCTGCTGGGTTGGACTTGGGAACTGGCTCTGGGGTTTGGACGGTGTTAGTGATTGTGCCTTAAGTTCAGTCGCTGGTTGAACAACAGGCTGAATTTGTGTCTGAGCTGTTGGTTCTGAGGCAGTTTCTGATGTCATGCCGGGTGGCTGTGTAGATTCAATATCAATCTTGCTCGGTCTTACAACGACAGACATTTTCTGCCCCTGAGGTTCAGGTAAAGGTTGTTTGACAGACACAGTACCAGTTACAGCTAGAGAATGTGCTTTGGACCATGTCTCTGATTGGGTCACAGTTTCTTCATTGCATTTCTGTTCCCCGTCTTTTGGTGAAGACTCAATATTTACTGTTGCTGTGGCAATTTGTTGTTTGTGATCAGTTACACCTTCTTTCTCTAAGCCAACTGATGGCTCCACCTTTGGCTGAGATGGTAAACACACAACTGATGGATCTGAGTGTGCTAAGGCCAGAGGTTTGGGTTCTGGAGGTGAAGAACTTTTGCTCTCAGGCACTGGGTTTGGCAGCACCTGGGCATGTGTGGGCTGAGGAGAGGACCACTGAATGGGGGTTATAGAAGGAAGCTGATTGGTTTTGGTATGTATTTTAGTCTGTAGCACTGGTTGCTGCTGGGTTTGTGTTTGGGACTGGCCTTGAGGAGTGTGTCCTTGGTTCTGTGTAGAGAGCTGAGGAGGAGCATGGTGTGGGGGTGGTGGTTGTAGAGGTATTTGAATTTGCATCTGAGGCTGAGTGTGATGTTGCCCGTGGATTGATTGCTGAGCTGGGAAATAAGTCTGAGACACAGGCTGGTGGTAAGGCTGAGGCTGAGGCTGGAACCAGGTCTTTTGCTGAATCTGACCTTGTTCATTCTGTACTAAATGATAAGCTCCTGTTGGAGGACCCTGTTGGATATGGCTCTGTTGGGAATGGGCTTGAGTCCAGGATGGTGTGCTTGTCTGGGGACTTATTTGAGGCTGTGTACAGGATAGACCAACCATATACCCATGGGGACTGATCTGAGATCCTTGCTGAGCCCACTGGGGTGAGGCTTGACCTGCTGGATACCCCTGAGAATGTAAAGCATGAGTCATCTGCTGAGGGTATAATTGTGAAACTGGGTGCCTGTGTTGGGAAATGGCTTGATTTTGTAGTTCTTGTTTTTCTGCCCACTGCTGGGATGGAAAACAAGGCTGGGGGTATATATTAAGGTAAGGAAAAGGTTGAACAGTAGTTTGAAGATGTTGGATAGGCATTTGTGTCCCAACTTCATGCCAAGCAGGCAGTTGGCCTTGAGAATAAAGACCTTGGTGTGGGACTGCTGGCTGAGTGAGACTTGTGGGATCAGAGGCTGAACGAGCTTGATAATGGACTACAGGTTGACATTTTGATTCATCATAAATTGGTGTTTGAGGCTGATTGGCCCCTGACTTTGATTTGACAGCTCGCTCTGTGGAAAGGGCATCAGTTTGAAGGATGGCTCTTTGTTGAGGACTGATTTGAGCCTGGGAAACTGACTGGGAAGGGCTTTGAAGATAAGCCCGAGGCTGATGTGGGGCAGGAGATTGATCATTTGCTTGGATTTGTGGAGTTGGAGGACTGAGAAGATGAGATTGCTTAAAAAACTGCAGCTGGGGGTGAGACTGAGTGGAACTTTGCTGACCAGAGGTTTCAGGCCTATCAGTTGTTGGTGGCTTAGGAGAAGGTGGTCTAACAGGAGCCCAAGACTGTGGATGACTACGAAGCTGGATATGGGAAGGCAAAGGGAGTTGGATGGGACCTGGTAGAGGGGCCTGAACTGTAGGGGTGGGTCTGACTGGAGGCCCCTCCAGCGTATTCAAGGGAAGCCGAGATCCATAAAAGACACTTGTTTGAGAGGGACTCTGGTTTAGTGGGGATGTTTGTTTCTGTGACAGAGTTTCACCTATTCTGGTTTGGGACATGGTTGTTAGTTGACTATTCGCACAAGTATAAGCCAGACTTTTTGACTGTTCTTGAGGCTGGGCCGCTGACTGAGGCTGAACCTTTGCAGTAGATTCTGGCTTTGTAAAAGACTGGACTTGGGATTGACCCTTGTTTTCTAAATCAGTTTCAGCCTGCTTTACAGGTGGTTGTACCCGTTTCTGAAAGCTTTGAACCTGCGTCTTTTGTCGCTGTTGCTGGTCTAACCTTAAAGACTGGTGTTGTTCATTTGGTGACTGCTTTGTCACCTTTTGTTGTAATTCTGGGTGTGCCCTACCTCTGGGTGTATTTTGGGAAACAACCTGAGCAGACTTTGTTTCTCTTTTTAACTGTGACTTGACTTGTCTTGAATGGACAGGATCTTGTTTTTGAGAAGATTCTGGGCTTTTATTTTCTGCTAGGGTTGTTTTCTGAAGCCATGGTCGATTTTTTGTTGCCTGAGCCTTTCTGCTCTGGAGTTCTTTTGAACTCAGATACTTTTTCTTTGCAGGTGGTTGCTGATGTGAACTCTCCTGATAAAGGTCAGCTGTCAGTTTAAAAGGGGTTTCTTCTTTTACATTTGCAATGCTCTGCTGTTCAAATTGAACCTGAAAAACTTTGCTCTCATTTTCTTGTTCCTTCTGCTTGGCCTTGCGTGGTTGCTCTAGAACCATCTCTTTCTCTTTCTTTTCTTCTGGTTTGGGTTCCAGTTTGTAATTTAATGCTTCGAGCTTTTCTTGATCAGATTTTTTGGAAAGTTCCTTTTGCAGGACTTGTTGCTCATGGGTATCTTGAACTTTCTGATTTCTTTCCACGCTGGCATTTTGGCAAACCTGAAATTGGACCTCTTCGCGTGCCCTTGTACCTGTCTGCATCACAGCCTCTGCATAGGTATATGGCATTGGTGGAGACATCTTTTCTTCTCTGCTTTCTTGCACTACTATCTTTGGCACAAAGGTTTCCTGACTCCAATGTGAGATGACGTTCATCTCTGACTGATGAGTTGGCAGTGCAGTCTCTGACTCTCTCAGGTGTTGAGGTGTAGCTTTAGCCTGGATGAAGACATTTGATGGTTGGACAGCTTCAGGAGGGCTTCTGCTTCTGTCTCTCCTTGAACCCAGGCTACTGAGCAAACCGATAGCTTCCTGAAATTGAACATATACTTTAGAAAACATCTGTCTGTAGCCTATGTATGTGTGTACATGCATGTGAGAAAACAACTAGCCTGGGACTGGGAAACGGCAGTTTGGACCCGTTTCTGCATAGCAGATGCATGAAGGTATTGGATGGGGGTGGTTTTCTGACTAGTCATAACGATAACCTGTAGGTCCTGCTCCTCTGTGACCACCTGGCCCTCTAGTTGAAGACCACGGGAAATGATGATCTGCAAATAAAAATGCTCCTAAGTAAACATTGTTTCACCAGATAAACTGTCGGCATTCCTTATGAAATAACCTAAGACAGACTGCACTCTGATCTGTGGGGCATCATACCCTGGCTCGTGGGTCCTGGCCTTGTACTGATTGTTGTCGATCTGTGGCTCTCAGCACTGAGTACAGCTCCCTGGCCTCGATTTCCCAGAGAAGGAGTTCAGCTAGTCTGGTGTCCAACCCAGTGACACTATGCTGGAGCTCAGCACAAACCTTTTCAGCTTCAAACAGGGTTTGCATTACCTGAAATGAAAATAAAGAAGAACTCTGATAAGATATTATGTATGGTATATATATATATATATATATATATATATATATATATATATATATATATATATATATATATATATATATATATATATATATATATATATATATATATATGATATCGATGTATTTTCACTCATTCTTACTTCAGGAATAGCAAGCCGGAGTTTCTGTAGCTGATCAGGTGGACACTCTGCAGATGGCTCAAGGGTACCAAGATTTACTTCCTTTATCTTTCTTATTGTGAACTAATAGAGGAAAACATCTCAAGTGACTCCATGATGATGGAAAAAGGGAAGGAATTGTCTTTGTAATAATTATCTAATGTTTCCAGTAGTTTTACCTGTAGCCGTTTCCTGTACACTCTTAAAGGACCCGCCATTGCTTCCAGAGGCTCTTTAAGAATCAGAGTGGCCTCTCTGACCAAATGCTGGAGGTCCTGGGAGGTGCTAGCTGTGACATCAGCACTCCGCTCTGTTGAGTTTTCCTGAGAACAAAAATCGCAACAAAAGATAATGTGAAAAAATGCTGGAACTTCTCCCAACCTATTGACAATGACATCATCATGATCGATGTCTACATGGAAAAGAGTCAGAGATGATGGTGAAAATGGATGAAGCTAAATCCAGGATGAAAAGCTTTTAGAGGGTGCAGAGGACTTGACACTGGAGCAGAGGTTGACCTTCCGGCAGCAGAACCACCCTGATGATCTAGAGAGAGCAGCTCTGGAATTGTTTATATCAAACCTGAACACAAGATTGAGCTAATAACGTGTAAATAATAACATCTATTTTATTATGTATGTTGTTATTGTAGTTTTCCTTTTTTTAAGCCTATTTTAAGCATTAGCAGAGTGGCCTAGTCAAAGTGCAGACTATTCAAATGACTATCCAAATGTAAATAAAAATACACTCCATGCTTCAGTGTCTTACGTGATGAAATTAATGATAGCTGATTAAGCCTTTTTCTTTGATATGGAGCTAATTTTTGTTTTTCTATGAACGCCAAAATAAAATTCATTGAAAAAGTCAGAAAGTTAAAGCGGTTTGCAAAGTTTGGACGGTGTATTCATCCATGATCTGAAATCCAGGCAGGTATGTCTGCTCTGTTAGATCATATCTAGATCCCACATCTTGTTTGGTAGAAAACTCACCAGATTGGTTCTTTCGACAAACTCTGCCCAGTGCTTGTTGAGTTTCCGCCGCTCCTCAGCCAGAGCTCTGCTGGTCTGAGGGTCTGTGCACTCCATCAGGAACTGGCTCACCTCATTTAAATGGGCATGCCTGGAGCCCCACTCACTCATGGACTCAGACGTCACCCGTTGAGAAGCCTGCAGCAGCAGAGGACAGACAGAGAGCCAATAGAAATTACATTTTATGTTAACTCCTACAGAGACCATTCATTTTTAACAGACTAGAATTAGAAACTTTTATTGTCATTTTGTATACATAGACTGTATACAAAAAAAGATTTTCTTTTGTACAGCTTTCAGCGCATTTCCATTCCATAAAGTGCGGCAGTCATCACATGTAAATAGTGCGGGAGAAAAAAACATGGTGCAAAAAAACTCATTGATCTGGTAGTTCAAAGCATTAGTATATATGGTACAAATCTGCAGTGTTTTGGTTTGGTGTCATCAGTGTGATGCAGAGTCTGGGACATGATTTGGAGTTTTCTCATCAGTTCAGCCGTCAGATGGCAGTGGGGAAGAAGCTGTTGCAGAATCTGACAGCCATGTTGGAATATTTGTTTACCAATGCAATAAAAGAGTTATGATTTAGCAGAAGAAAGGAGCACATCCTTTTGGAGCAGAAAGAAATGTAAGACGACAGTCAAAGCTACAACTGAGCTGCCCTCTGGTTCCCGGTACAATATCAGGAACACTGAGGCAGATCCACACAACCCGTCACAGTCAGGGGCCACTGGGACAGGAAAGCTGGGGCCCCAGAGGGACCAAGTCCGCCACTGCTTAAATGACTAAAACAAAGGTGTTTAGTTAGAAATGTAAGAATAAAGCTCATTTTACATTGATTGTTTAAAAAGCAATTTTTTGTCAAACTAAATCCCGGGTTTTTAAATACACACCAAACAGATCCCGACTATAGGAGGCCTCATACGTAGATAATACACCTCTATGCAGGATCTGAGTGATAGAAATAATATTCCCTCCAATAATCATTTCCACTAGATATCAGGGTTTCCTACCATCCATGAGTGTCCATGGCTGGGAGTCACAGAGCCCTGTTCAAGCCACGCCTGAATGGAGCTCTGGCAGTCATTGTAAGAGTCCCAGGCGGACAGGACCCGGCTCATCCTGATCCTGGCTGAGGAAATCTCCTCCAGAACCGCAGCAGTGTTCTCCTCAAGCTGCTTCACCTGCTGACTGACACGGTGGTAATCTGCAGCTGAGGAGCAAACGCTACAGTGAGAAATGCCAAGTTCCAAAGCTCAGAACTTAAAGTTAATTTCACCAATCTGACTGGAACTGACTCAGTAAAGGGCCTGAAGACGCCATGCGTGGGAACTGGCGGTATAGGTATATAAACTTACCAAGGGCAGATTTACTGGAATATTTCTCTGCAATGTGTTTCAGCTTCTGAAGGGCAGCTTCCAGCACAGATGGCAGTTCCTGTTTGTTTATTTCCTGATAAGAAAGATTTGACATCGATTTTAGGATAGATTCTACAGTGGACCTCCACAGCCAAGCATGAGGCGATGGATGGATGGATGGATGGATGGATGGATGGATGGATGGATGGATGGATGGATGGATGGATGGATGGATGGATGGATGGATGGATGGATGGATGGATGGATGGATGGATGATGGATGGATGCATCCTCAGTCCTTACATGCCATTCTTGTAGCAGAACTCTGACAGCCTCTGGAGAAATGTAGGGTTTCCTCCACATGCAGAGTTTGGATCTGATCTGTCCCAGCAGATCCAGAACTGTGTGTCGGTTCTCTCTGTACTCCAGCTTGATTCCATGGTACTTAGCAGACACTCGCACACTGGTGAATCTGGTACAGTTGTGGAAAGATCAAACATCATAAAACAATCGGGATAAAGCAGATCATTGTTCCCTGTCAGTGCAGTATTAACATGGCAGCTCAAACCAAAGCTCTGGTAGATAGAGAGGTGGGGGCTCAGTACAGGACATGCATAGATGTGGTGGCTAATGCTTGTTTGTGACGTCGCTGCGAGCAAATTACGTAATTTTGGGAACATCAAAACTATTTAACACTAATTTACTGAAAATCTGTTGATTTATAACTGAAGAGGACTAAAAATTGGAACTGAATCTAAATGGAAATGTGTTACATGGTAATTGGAGGAAAGTTCAGAAACTTTATGTCACAAAGCTTTTAACAGGGAGGAATGCCGGAAGAGTTTCTGTGGTGCTGAATGTTAAAGTACCTTCTCTTCAGCTCATCCATCTTTTCTGATGGAACCATTGTGTTTCCAAACTCGTTGAGGTTTGGGAAGGACTGGAAGACTTTCAGCTGCTGCGGCATCTCCTCCAAACAGATCTGCAACACCAGAAGAACACACCATGATCGACTTCTACCCCAAGAAGTGATCGACTTATCGACAATTTGTTTTTTTTTGTTTTTTTGACCTTCTTTCACACGTTTTATCATGGATTTCAAGAGAAAGATGCTTATTTATTTATATTTTTTACATCTGAATCTATTGTTTTTTTAAAGATTAGATAAACCCTAAATCAACTTCTTTGCAGATCAGCTGTAGAAACAGGAACCTAGAAATGTTATCCTAATGCTACTGCACAGGTTTTGACAGTTTCCAGGAAATTGTCTAATTCTGCAACATTTGGCCTTGAAGTTTCTTAGTGCTGCCCTCTATGGGTGGAAGCAAAGCAACAGCAACTGAGTTTATTGCTCCTACTGCTAAGAGCACCACAGGCCGGCGTTTCAGCAAAAGGCCCGGGGCTGTAATGTCTGAGCGGACGTCATTCGAGCTTCCTGTCTAGAGCTACCATCCTCTGAGACGCGCCGCCATGGGGGTCAGGAGGAGCATTCTACAGGTGAGTATTTAAGCGAGCTTAGACCATCACTGTAAACACTTAGGTGAAGAAGTTACATCAGATTTCTTGTCCATATTCATCCTCCTGACCACATTAACCCACCATTGGCCATGTATCCTTTTCCAGGGATTGTTTGGGTTAGGATTAAGCTTTATAATAGGTTACAGTTTAAACAACCATAGCTCCTGGATTATTCCTCCCATTCATTCATTTTCTCTTTATTTGCTGGTTTACATGAAGACAAAAAGGCAAAACCAGAAGAATAGGGAGGAAAGTATTGTTTCTACAGCTGAATGCTGCAGAGGCCATTTTGAACCTTTCAAAATGGCGGAACCTGTCCCAGATGGTCCATCCCTCCAAGTCTGCATCAAAGAATGGATCCTTTACCTTGAGCAGCTCTTGTTTCTCTCTGGCTTCATCAGCGGCACGGCCGTGATCTGGGGGCTCCCCCTGTTCTTCCGCCAAAGCTCCTTCTGCTTTAACCAACCACTGAGCTATGGTGTCCAGGGGGGCCGGGAGACTCCGGTCTAACTCAGCTTTGTATTCTTGCAGCTGGGTGTAAACACAGAACATAAAGCCCATTACACTTTTAGCCCATTACTCTTGTAGTCTCCCGCCTTATTCGGGACCAAGTTGCTCTTTAACGCTAAACTGCAGATATTGTTAGAAGAGAGTCAGACTTAAGAGATTTCTGTGTACAACTGATGTAATAGATTAGGAATTAAGCATTTGTTAGAAGTTTTCTTCTTAGTGTTTTTTCTGTTTTTTAAAGAAAGTTTGGAATCTAGTGAATTCATGAGAAGCAAGCAGAACCTTTTGATTGAGGGATTCCCAGGCTTCCCTCAGAGCCTGCTGCTGCTCGCTCAGCTTTGGGGCTCGTTTCATGGAGGTCAGTAAGGGCATGATGGGCCGGCGCTGCTCATTGAAAGACACCAGGAAGGTCTGGAAAACCTGAAGAAAGCCAGTCTGCATCAGTCACTGTGATCGTATTTTAACCCATGTCAACTACTTCAGAGTAGGAGGTCACTGCATGTCCACAGACTAAACATGGTCAGCTGATTTATCAGATAAACAAACACACAACAGCTCATTAAAAAAAAACTAACCTAATACTAAAACTAAGCCTCCTATCCTGTGCTGCCCCTAAAGAAAATCCAAGTCCCCTCATTAATAAAAAAAACCAAAATGCACTGTTCCTAATCAGGATCAGGATGGACGGATATCCAATGTTTACCCAATTTCTTTCCCTTTAAACTCTAATTTTCTTTAATCCCAAACATAAGCCTGTTTTAATTAATAACTGTGACTTGACTGAGGTAAAATGTGAACACTTTAAGGGGCGTGAATACTTTTTACTGCGGCCTTCAGACTCACGTGGTATCGCTCAGAGTAGCTTTCTCCTTCTGTGGAGTCCCATCCTTCCAACAGCTCATCATAGGCCTGAAGAAGCCAGCAGGTCACTTCCTGCGCCTTTCGATCCGGCGTCGCCTGGAGCCATTAAACAGAAAACAGAAACAGATCAACAAACAATAAAAAAGGGCAAAGCATGATGACACGTTTATAGCAGTACAAGTTAGATGTAGTGAGTGATGAGAACCATTCTGGCTGATTTAGAGCTCTAACTTCTGCAGAGTAACGCACCTAACTTGCACTAACAGGGCAACTAGTTGAATGGATCCTGGTCATTAATATTAACAGAGAACTCTACAGGGCAATGAGGTTCTGTTTACAGACAAAGAATTCACTGAACAGCCCAACTACTGTCCAGCCTCTAAGGTTATTCTTTCAGGTTACTGTTTCCCAGATTCTAGAAACAAAGCTGTGGATCAACAACTGAATAATCAGATTCGGTTGGAAACATCCATAAAGAAAACTTTACCAGGAGATATTAATCTGAAAAACAGAAAAGAAGGGATCTAAGAACTGAGCCTTGGGGAACATCTTTTCTAGGTTTGGAGGACTGCGGCTGGACTTTTTATTGCAAAACAAACTATATTTATAGAGAAGAATTAAAAAGACCTGCAGACTCTGAGGCATCGAGTCAAAGAGACATTTACCAAAGAACCTCATGAAGCAGCAACACTAAACATGAGCATAAAATAGGATTACAGAGACATGTGTTTAATATCTATAAATAATAAAACCAACCTTTAATCCGAACGGTTAGCATCTCTAAAGGTTACTTCACAGGAAACACAAATCTGACCAGTTTTCTGGCTATATTAGCTGGACATTTCAACCCTTTTCACAGCTGTTCTGGATTAACAGTAATTAATTCAGTGAACCTAGTGTTGGGATCAAATGTCAATAACATAACCGGAACGACTCCCCCCCTGAAGGCACACCCATCCAACGGAGTTTAAAAAGCAAGAACTTCCTGTTCAAATTCCTTTTAATGGTAGCCCCATAGCTGCTAATTGCTAGACTAGCTAAACTTTCTGAGAGGTCTGTGCCGGCTGGACCGAGCCAGGCTAACTTTCCTACGATTCAGAAGGAGCTGAACGTACTGTCTTTGTTTTTCTTCCTGCTTTTCAAACCTAGCTGTGTCAGGAATCCAGTTTGTGTGGTCTATTGTTTTGTGTTTGTCTCTCCCTTTATCACCAGGTGGCGCCCTGTCCTCGTTGGCCCTCCTGCACACCTGCGGCTTGTTGGTTAATCACTGGGGAGTATTTGAGCTGTTGACTGCCACTACCTCGTGGCCAGAAGTTTTGACAGTTATGGGTACTCTAGCCAAGCTGAGTTTAGCTGAGTCTAATCTGGGTTTTGTTTCTCTGAGATTAACATTGTTTTTGTCTTTGCCTTTGGCAGGATATCTTCCTGCATACTGGATGTTTGGCCTTCTCCCCCTGGAAGGATAATCTGTGTTCACACTGAGCAGGGGAGAAACCTCCACATGTGCTGTTCAAGTTCTGTCCGCTCTCCAACGAGTCCCCTCTTCACTAGGTCAACCCACACTGACTGGATTCAAAGCGAGAGAAGACCCCCCCAACTTCCGGTTCACCAGCCCTCTGAGTACCAGATCCAACCCCTCAACCCTTACCACAATAAACCTGTTAAAAATGTGCCATGCTGTCTGAGTGGTTCTCTTGCATTTTGGGTCAGATCACTTAAAAGCATCATGACAAGTTGAACGCAGTGTTTCCTGAAACCGTGTGTAGTATCAGGCTATTGGCAGATAGGAACCTCTGTGCTATATTGTGTTTGTTGGAGTGAGAAAAAATTAGTACCTGCTAAGATGGAGATGTCTCCCACGTTCTTCTGTGTGTTATCGAGATGTTTTTAAAGATACATATTGGAGAGCCAGTGATGGGAGTAACGGTGTTACTAACGCTGCTGAGTTTTCTAAAAGACGTCCCCTCCACTGCTCTCCTTTACCGAGTCACAACCATATCCAATCCCTAACAGGTTTACTGGTAGAGGCTCAGATTCTTTAACCACTCTGACTGCCCTACATGCTGCATTCACATCAGTCATAGTTTAGCTGTGGCTGAAAGTGTCTTGGAAGTGCATGGAGATAGATGGAAATCACTAACTGCACGTGCCTCATGTGTCCGTGTTTGATTTCAACAGACCCTAAGCTCCATAATAAACACAGTAAATGCTGGTTGTTCACACTAAGAAGAAAAGGACATTTTAAATCCTATGGCAAACAATTTTCCTGTGGTCATCAGATTTATCCATATACTTTTTGCACAGAACTCTTCTTAGATGTTAATCTTTTACTGTCATTACATCCACCTGGACGCCCGCGGGTGGTTTGATATATTTCGTTAACAACGGTAAAATATTTACCAATAGAAACATGTTAGACATCGTTAGAAAGCTTAGATTCGCCACAATTCGTCCACCAGGTTCATTTTATGGACACAGCGAGCACCAAAGCACAATTAACACAGATATAGCAGCATGGTAATACAAAGCAGCCACAACTACATCCCTTTCAAGGCATCCAGAAGCCGTATTATAAATCAAATCTTTAATTGTTTATACTCCATTGGTCCATAAGGATCCACAGATAAAAGTAATCAAGCATAATAAAAATATTCTATGATGAGAATATCGCCACATAAAGTCAGTTTTTTACCATCAGAAAAGCTCAATCCTTATAGCTAATGCAACCGTCTTGCTGATTACCATAGGTGACATAGATATATCATGTCAATGTTGGGTATGTTTGTTTTCCTCACCTTCCAGCCTACAAAACAAAATTACCGCCCATCATCGCCACATTTGGAGAGGTTTGGAGACACTGATCACTCTAAAAGTTAAAGTCCCATATTTCTAGAACTGTTATACCTAAAAGTCAGAAATTTTCTGCAGTTGTTGACATAATGCAGAATTAATGTAAAACAATGACACATGCCTTTTCTCAAGCATGTTTCTTCTACTGCTATTCAAAATAGACTTATTATTTTTCAGAAGGAATAAAACCAACTTTGAGTCATGTTTCAACTGATGCAGTTTAGGCTGTGTTTTAGTCACACAGTTTAGATTTAAATTTTCTAGAACTAGAAGGCTAGCTTCCAAATTATGCATCTCACATGTTATTTGGACAATTCCTTAGTTATTTTGTTTTTCCATGTGGGTCTGCAAAAAGGCGAGGAATACTTAACAGGTGGAGGTCTAGTGTATTTTCATATGCCTGTACTCTATTTCCAGCTAAACAGACATGCAGGACATTGGTTTGTTTTGGTTTATTTGTGGATAATAATCAGTTTATATTAAGGTCTCCTTAGTTCTTTCCACTGAAGGTGCCAGAGACAATCTCGTGAGTGTTATGGTTTCTATTTAAGGGGGGGGGGGGTAAATCAGGTTTCATGGTGCGTGTTTTTTACAGTATGTCAGTGTATGATGTGTGCCCTCCTAATGAAACAGCATGATAGCTTCATGACAACTATAAAGGTTTTTGAGAAATCTTTTGTTGTTTCAGGGCTTTAAAAAAATACTTTTGATAGAGGAAGACGTTCTTTGAGAATCTTCCAAACCTAAGTAATGAAATATCTCACTTATTAATAAGAAACGAAATAATGAAAGGGAAAAGGTCCAAGTTTAAATTAGAAATGGTTAACTTGCAGAGGGTAAAGGATTGCCTGAAAGAGTGCAAAGATAAACCACCGGGTGTTGATGAACTGGATGTCAGACTTCTCAAATTGGTTGCTGATGAAATCGCTCCTGTAATTACTCACATTATTAACTTAAGTTTTATGTCTTCAGTGTGTCCACAAGCCTGGAAAACAGCCAAAATAATCCCATTACAGAAAAATAAGAAACTGCCCTTTTCCAGCTCAAATAGTCGTCCGATAAGTCTACTACCTGTGTTAGAAAAAATAACAGAGACCATAGTATATGAACAAATTAATAATTATCTGTCGATTAATAACATAATTTGTCACTCTCAACATGCTTATAGAAAGGCTCATTCTACAGCAACAGCACTAATTAGTATGTCTGATGACTGGCTTAGGAGTTTTGAAATAAAAGATATGGTGGGAGTTGTGTTTCTAGATTTTTCAGCTGCTTTTGATTTAATTGACCACCATCTACTATTAGAAAAACTTTCCTGCTATGGTTTTGAACAATCTGCACTTACTTGGTTTTACAGTTATTTAACTAACCGGTCGCAAACGGTATATTTTAATGGTGCATTTTCTGAAAAACAAACTGTAACATGTGGTGTGCCTCAAGGGAGCTGCCTGGGTCCTTTATTATTTTCAATATTTACTAATGACTTACCATACATACTCAAAAAAACTAAAATAATTATGTATGCAGATGATTCCACTATATATACATCAGCAAGAACAAATAATGAATTAGAAATTATTATGAATAACGAACTAGTGGGAGTGGATAAATGGGTGAAAGCAAATAAGCTGGTATTGAATACAGCAAAAACTAACAGCATGATTGTGAGGTCAAATTACAACGTAAACAGTAATCATATATTGAATATTAATATCAATAACGTCTCGATAAGGAATGTGCATGAGTCCAAGCTTCTGGGAGTGACGGTGGATAACACGTTATTATGGAGAAAACATATTAATAACATGATTGCAAAGATGGGTAGAGGAATCACAGTCATAAGAAGACATGCAACCTTTATGTCCCCACATATTCTTAAAATGATAATCCAATCATTGATTTTTTCTCAAATGGATTACTGCCCAGTCGTTTGGTCAAATGCCCCTGGGGAGATGCTAAATAAACTACAACGTGTACAAAATAGAGCTGCCCGAATAATATTGAAGTGTGATTTAAGGACAAATATCATAACAATGCATAAAAAGTTAAACTGGTTGTTGGTTAAAGACAGACTTTCATACTCATTGACTGTTATGATTAGAAACATATCTGTATTAAAAACATCTTATATGTTATTTACAAACCTTGCTTTTAGTTCAGAGAATCACGAATACAGGACTAGGCATGCGACTGAAGGAAACTTTAGTTTGCCTAAAGTAAAGTCAAATGCCTTAAAAAGAACTGTTATGTATAGAGGTATGAAAGCATGGAATTTACTGCCAAATTACATTAAACTGATAACTGATTTAAGGAAATTTAAAAAATCATTGAAAGAACATTTATTAAATATAGAGGTAAAACACGATTAGGACTGTCTTCTTCACTTGCTGTGCTTTGTAGTTTGTTTTGATTAGTTTGGATTGTTTCTGTTTATGTATATGGGTATGTATATGTATGTGTATATGTGTGTATGTATATATGTATATGTATAGATTATGGGAGATGTTGTTTTAATGTCCACATAATTTTATTTAATTTGTAATTTTTTTTATTTCATGTTTTGTTGTTGGACCCCAGGAAGAATAGCTGTAGCTTGCTACAGCTAATGGGGATCCTAAATAAACTAAACTAAACTAAACTTCCAAGCAGCTGATCTAAAATATAAACTAAATCATCTAAAAAGGTTCACTCCAAAAAGTGAAGGTAGTTCCCAGCCAATCAGATCGCTTCTGCTAAATCTCCTGATTGGTTTCAGTCAGACATGTTCAGCTGCATGATTGAGAAACAGAAGAAAGGATGAACGGTGTAGAGGACAGAGGAGGCGGGGCCAGTTTGGCGTACCTGCCGAAGAGGTGAAGCAGAAATAGCAGGAGTGTAGTGAACAGGCAGGCTGACAGGTGAAGGGCTTTTAGGAGGAGTCAAGATCTGTGTCTAAGGAGGAAGGAGAAGAAGAAAAGAGGTGAAAGGAGGACATTTTAAAGAACATCTCAAAGGGAGACCCGGGTTTAGTCCAGCGGGATGCAGATAAGAGAAGCAGATAGACACTGACCTGCATCTCCTCCTCTTGGGCCGGCACGTCTCTGGAGTACTGCAGGAACTGAGCCACGTAGGTCATGATGGACTTCTCATCTGGATCTCTGACATCTACATCTGGATCAAGATCACAGAGCTCCATAATCAGCCTCACTGCTCCACCAACCCCACGATCAACACCATAATTGCTCCAGAGGCATGAGGAGGTAATGCTGTTAGGAACAAATCTGTGGAGGGGAGGGCTAATTCCTTTAAAAAATCCCCAGTGTGTCTGTGGTCATAAATCAGCAGGCGGATCAGAGAAAACAAATGAGGAATTCATGTAAGCAGAGAGTCAGCAGACGTCTTACGCGTCATCCAACTCTCCCTCAGGACGTCCCGGTTAGAAACGCTGTGGAACAGCCACTGGTTTAGCAGCACTGAGATCATTAAAAATATCACCTAAACCAGTTTCACAGCCTGGCAGCTCAAACATGTAAAACCCTCCAACGATTTGGTGACGAGGCTAATAGCTGTCTGTAGAAAACAACTAATAGATCAGATGTTAGGCCCTGCATATCCATGCAGGAGTTAGGTCTATTCATGTACCACTGTACAGAGGGTGGTGATTAGGGTGATGGTAAGGAGGCCGTCCAACCTCAAAGACTCCACTACAGAAATATCAAAATGCTTTCATGATTAGAACAGTTTGATTTTACTACATAACAATTATAATAACACACTGATATGTACCATGGAGGTCATACCAGTTTGGACCAGTCATTATGAAGACAAAATGCAGGAATAAAAGTGAATTATTTTGCAGCTTTTACCGTTCTTATAAACAAAACATTATTGTCTTCAAGTCATCATCATGACTCTGAGAGCTGGCCTAATTGCTAATTTCATTCACCTGCCTAACGGCCTGGTTTCCAATTATCATTCATGTAACGCTCCTGCTCCTGCTTCCTTATACACAGCTCAGTCCCAGCTATCGGGGCCAGATTATTGAGTTTGTGATTACTGAGGTTGGGGATTATTGCTGAGGTTGGAAAATTACTGCTGATTCCATAGTTCATGTTCTCGTTCTGGGGACAGTGATGAGAAAGACTTTTTTAACATTTCATAATGGTCCTGATTTCCTGATCCTGATCTGCCACGGAGTGTGCCCTGTTCCTGTTTTTGGCTCAGTGGAGAGAAGGTTTTTAGGGTAACGTAGGGTTCCTGATATCCTGCCTTGTTCTGCCTCTGAGCCACTGAGCCTGCCTGTTCCCATTTGAATGGTCTGCCTGAACTGTTTGCTCCCACCTGGAACCCCGGACCAATTTCCAGTGGTGGGCTGTCTAAAGCCACTGCAGATCTACAGCTGCTTCGTTTTTCTGTAATTTAATAAACGCCTTTGAATTATCCCACTGTCTATTGGGTCCTTCTATCCCGCCTCTAACACTTTAAGGATCTTTGAACTTAAAACTTAACAACTTAAAATTAAAACAACACACTTGTCTTTTCTACACGTAGGCAGGACCATGTGTTGATTCCAATTCCTTTTCAGTGTTTTTTGACCCTGTCTTTATCCTAACCCTGAAAATAACCCTAACCATAACTAGTGCATAGCTTACCATACACTTAAGGTTGGTGATCTTTACATCTAAACCTAATTTCATAGCTTTAGTTTAGTCCTCCTTTGAGGACCATCTAAATCATAACATTGTGGGATTAAAACCTTAACCTAAGGTCAGCAGAGTTAGATCAGCTTAATTAACCTCGGATGAAACAGATTTCCGGTGCCTACTTCTGTCATGGTTCAGTTTTGGCCTGGCTATCACCTCCTGTTATTTTCCAGCACCTCCTCCTCTCATACAGCTCACCTCACTCACTCAACAATTAGTCACACCTGTTCAGCACCAGTTAGTCAATACCCACTCCACCTGCCAGCTTTTCTACAAAAACCTCCCTCAGTTAGCTCTTCCCCGCTTGTTCGTATTCAGTCACTATTAACCCAGCACCTTGTTAGTCAGGTTCTGTGCTTCTGTTGCTGCGCTGCTGGATTTTTTGCCATCTGCCTAGTGAACTCTCTCATCTGCACCTGGGGATTTACAGCAGCTCAGCGTCTTCTAGAATACTCTCTGTGGTCCTCTGGATTTATGCAGACTCTGCTTCACCAAGAACTCTCTCTGTTGTTCTGTGGATTACTGCAGCCTATGTCTCTCCAAGAACTCTTGCTGTTTCCCTGTGGATTACTGCAGCTGATGCTCACTCTGTGCTAATCTCGAACCACTGCAGCCATGCATTCTATGGACTCTCTACCTACTGCTTTCCTGGTTGCTTCCGCAGCACCACGTCCAAGGAAAACTCCCTCTAGCTGCTCCTTCGGTTCAACAACAGCCCTGCATCTCCAAGTACTCTCTCCGGTTCTCCAGGTTCCATCTACACCTCCAGTTCTAGTCCGGTACAGCCTCTGGTTACCTTCATCCACAACTCATTATTTTCAATAAACCTTCAAGACTAGCTCCATGTGTGTGGTGTGCATTCTGGGTTCATCAAAGAAAAATCCTGACAACTTCTAGCTTTCATAGTCCCTGCCCCTTGCTTTAGCTGCTGGAGGAATAAAAAGGTCCATCAGTGGGGTGGGACTGGACACATGCTTGGTACCAGAACACCAAGCATTGGCTAGATGTCTCTCCACTTCAGCAAAGACACACCTGGACCGTTTCTCATTATGCGTTCTTGAGCGTTCTCATGTACTTGTGTACTTGTGATACGTCATCAGCCTCAGCCCGGGCACCGTTCCAATTGCCAAGAACGCCAGACCGAGAACGCACCAAATCCCCAGATGTTGTTCTCGCCCCGCCCTCTTTATCGAGTATGCATCAGGCAGCAGCAGCTTTCAATGAAGCGTTCCATTGAAAGTAAAATGTTCTCTTAATAAAAATACTTTTTAAGATAAGTTGAGGAGAGAATATTATTATTATTATTATTATTATTATTATAAAGCGTCACTATATGGTCCATTTAGCGATTTAATGCTCTAGAAGAGCCTAGCGTGTGGTGACGTCAAGAGTACGCTTCTGTTCTAATTGACCCATATCTATGCTGCATGCTTGCGTTCTCGCCAAGACCGGACTTGACAAGAACGCGAGTCAGTACTCACGTTCTCATGAATGGAGAAACGGCCCTGGTCTAAGGATAACACTAGAAGCTGTTTTAGCTTCAGAACGACAACATGTTGTGTCAGAGTAAGCAATACCCACATGGACATAAAAAACTGAAGATCAGAGTGGCTTAAGCTGCGATAGGATCACTTCAGTGGCACAGCTGATCCATATTCCTCTCAGATAAGAAAAATCGCTCTGATCATTAGTTCATGAGGATGTCATGGTTTCTACTGACAGTTAATGCATTTCAACAATTTCATGAGAAAGTCTAACTGTAGGTACTTACCATCGGGGTCCAAGAGTCTAGGAATCTTTAGCTCCATCTCTGCCATGTGGAAGGCCTCCTCCAGGTTCTGCTTGTTGGTCCTGGTTCTGGCTTTGGACAGATTGACCAGGTTGGGTCTGAGAGCATTCAGGATGGCGAGAAACAAGACGCCGCTCCTCCAGCTTGCCTTGAAGTCCTTTATGCTCAGTGAGCAGCCAGCTCTAAAGAAAAAAAGAAAAAATTTTAAGGTCGGTGGAGTTCTTCGTCCACTCTAAACCTGGACCGGTTTACTTTAAAACAAAAAACATTCAAACAAGGATTCATAGCAGAACTAAGGAGAAGGTCAGAATTATTACAGTAACAGCCAGCGGTCCCGTTTCAAACTAGTTCAGCTGCTTCAGATTTTTGGTCAACATGGCGAGGAAGATCACCCTCCACACATTCACTGATAAACAACCATCGTCTTACCTGTGGCACTGCTCCCGCACCCAGAGCAGCAGAGCTTTCTTTGCAGAAACCCTAAAGCGACTGTGTAGAGGAGAGCCTTTAGCAGGAACAGGGCTGCTGCTGGCCGAGCGGCTGGAGAGCGTGGAGCGAGTGTCCAAACTGGCCAAAGACTCCATGGACGACTGGCGGGAATCAAAGGAGAGGCAGCTGGCCAGCTCCTCGATCTGGGAAAACAAAAACAGTTCAGAAAACCCAGAGAACATTCAAAGGCTTGCCCACCAGCTCCTACTTTGCTGTAACACACAGGAAAAAAGGTGTAATAGAGTGAAGAAGTAAACCTACATGATACTGAAGGATGATGGTCCATATGAGGCCCAGAATGATGGAGGGTTTACCTTCAATGATGTCAGGAATGTTTATGTTGACCAGTTTGACCTGAAGACACAGGCAGAGCATCTTTATTTTGTATGTCTGTAAAACTACTCTACACAGATTCAGCTTTTTCTGTGGAAATTGACAGCATCATGAAGAAATGTTGGACCTTTTTTCACTCTGGTGTTAAAAACATCCATCAAGACCAAAGTCATGGACATAGTTTAAGTTGCAGTAAACTGGTATCAATGCAGATTCCAGGTAATCTAGCACTGAAGTTCAACAGATAAAACTTTTACTTCTTTAAAAATACAATAAACCCAAAGGGTAATGAGATATTGCCGTAACTTATTGGCTTTTTGTTCAACCACTCGTAGATGTTGATAGTTCTAAGCAGGGATTATCTTCGGTAGAGGTCTGTCTTTGATTGGATCTGGAGAAGCCTGATGAAGTGGATGCTCAATGTTGTGCTTCATCTTCTTCCTTCTCTGTGAAATCATCTCTAGAGGAGATCCTAGAACAGACCCAGCCTTTATCAGCTGCTTGAGCTTCTTTCAGTCATTAGCTCTTATGATGATGGAGGAAGAGATCAGACTCTCCACAGCAGCGTGATAGAAGATCTGCTGCATCTGAACGACCTAAGCTTCCTCTAGAAGTCCAGTCTGCTCTGTCCCTTCTTGGAGACCTCTTCCCAGTTTGTTGTCCAGGTGAACACCAAGGGATTTCTACGCCTCCACCACCTCCACTTCTTCTCCCAGGATGTTAACAGGATTCAACTTATTCCTGTTTCTTCTGAAATCTCCAATCATCTCCTTGTTTTGTAGACCTTCAGGATCAGATGATTGTTTCCACACCATGCCATGCCACCATGTCCCAATGACTGCAGAGTCATCCCTGTATTTCTGCAGATGACAGGACTCTGTCTGGTCCTGGAAGTCAGAGGTGAACAGAGGAAAAAGGAATGGAGAGAGTACCGTCCCCTGTGGTGCTCCTGTCCTGCTGGATCAGACAGCTGAGCCTTCAGTCTAACAACCTGTGGTCTGTTTGTCAGGTAGTCGTTGATCCAGGGGATTGTTGATGCCTCCACCTGAGTCTGCTGGAGTTTCTATCAAAGTCAGTCAGGCTAAATGTGGAGAAATCAAAGACCATGATCCTCGCAGTGCTGTCTGCCATGTCTAAATGACAGTGGGTTTGTTGAAGCAGGTTGATGATGATATCATCAACTCCATCTCCATGGCGATAAGCAAACAGCAGGGGGTCCTGATAACTGCTGGTTTGCTTGCTGAGGTGAACCAACAGAAGTCTCTCTAGGACCTTCAGGATGTGGTTGTCAGGGCAGCAGGTCTGTAGACACTGAGGACTGCTGGCTGAGTCTTCTTTGGTCCTGGAACAAGGCAGGAGGTCTTCCACATCAATGGAACTGTCTCCAGGGTCAGACTAAGGAGGGAGATAATGGTGGAGGATGTAGGGGTCCTGATCCTTATGGTTAGCCTCTGTTATCCACTGAGAGAGGAGGGACTTAAACGCAGAGCTGAAATCAGCAAACTGCTCTCTGATGTTTGAGGTTGGGGGTTTCAATGTGAAGGCAGTAGAGCATCGCTGGTCATGGTAGGGATCTAGCAGCTTCATTGGTCATTGGCTGGTCAGCCGCATCAAACAGCAATAAATCAGAGATTAAACACTAAATCTGGACCATTGACGTGCAGGGAACCATGTTCTAATATTTCATCCTGTGTTTAAAAGAAGGCCGTACATGACGACAGGTTGATTTCAGCCATTAGACCTTCTGGCAACAATCTAATGGGTCTATGAAGCTTCTATAAGGTGGAGCCATTGTTCCCAAAAACGGGAATCTCTGGTCACTGCCGGATTAATCTGGAGATTCACCATGATGACACAGATTAGCACCTAGATCAGCATTTCTACTCTACATCTGAGTTAAATGACTTGGGAATCGTTACTTTTTCTGTTTTCAGCAAAATGTGCATTTTACATGTCCTCTCAGTGACACCAGTAAAGTTTGTATTCTTGAAACTTAAATGAGTTTAATACGTTACCGATTTTTTCTTCAGAAAGGAAAGTGCTTTCTCAATGTTGCTCCTGCTCTGAAACATCCCTCGTCCTTTGTCCCGATTCTGAAAAACAAACCCACCGAGTCAACAGGTGGCTTAGAGCGAAGTCTGGCTTTGAGGCGGTGGAGCTGCGGTGGTACTCACGATGCGCTGACCGCTCATCACCTCCAGTAGATCCAGCAGCTTAGAGCCATCACGGAAATCATGGAACAGGTCTCTAATCTTAGATGGCGGCCTCCGCTGTCACAACGCAAACAAACATGTTTTAGACATTACATTAAGTGAAGTTGCTGCTGTTTTATTGCTCAAACTGATCCCATCTGGAAACCTAATGGGTTCTTGAAGCGAGGAAGAGCAGATCAGGAATCAATCAGATCATTATCCTCTGGTAAAAAAAAAAGTGGTGGTTATCAGAGAGACCACATTAAACTAAATTAAATAATCTGACAGTCAGGGGACTGGAAATCCATACAACATGATTCTCCAACAGGATTCAGAACTAACGGAAAAAAAGGGACGACCTGTACAAACATCAGCATGGCTGTAAACAGGTGCTGAGAAAATAATGCAAATAAAAAGATTAACTTCACTCGAAGGGAGCAGTGGTGGTTCTAATCCTTTGTGCTTTTAGGACGCAGGCTTCTTACTGAAGGAGCCTCCAGTTTTCAGAGATGCCGTGTTTATTTCAGTTCTACTGATGTGTTGCAGCCTTTGGGAACCTCAGACTCAGGTAAGGATCTACTTCCTCAGATAGACTGATGGCCTCAGCTGGCTATACCAATCACTAGCTTAGCTTAAATGGTCAGTCTTTATTTCCTGTCTGGTTCAGCAGCATCAAGAGTAAATAATAGGTAGTTAATCTGGACAGTCAGAAATGGGACCTAAATCAGGAGCTGCACATCCAGTCAGGAATGATAAATAAAGAATAACCCTGTAGAATGAAACTGGATTAATCAGCAGTTCTTGGAAGAAGCCTCCAGTGAATGAAGCGGATGATTTCTTCCTTATGACGTCTGACAGCATCAAGTTATCAAACCAGAAACAGCCTTGGTTTTATATCTGCAATCAGATGTGCTTTGGAACATTCAGACGGTGATTACGATGGTCGTTCTGCAGCCTTTGCAGCCTCTGTTTTAAGGAGACATTATGCAACATTTCCTGCTTGGAAATGAAAACAACCTGATGCACGTCTTTCTAAGCTCAACAGAAGATACTGAAAACGTCACTTCGAGGCCAGTCGGGCCTTCTGGGGCCCCCAGGAGAGGCGCGCAGGTGGTTGAAGCTGGAAATGAAGCACAGCTTATGTTCGCGATCAGGAGGAGCTTCCTACTCCTTCGGACAGTCATTAGATCATCTGCCTGGTCTGCAGGGAGGTGCTGGGAGCTATTTGGTTCCATCAGTAATCAGAACCTGGGTTCTGGACTCAGAACCAAATCATGTGGGAATGGGTTTGCAGAGGTGGATTAAAGCATGAAATGAAACCAGCAGCACAACCATGTTAGAGCGAAGGAGGGAGGTCCCTTCTGTCGCTGTCAGTCTGCCTCCTGTGAACTTTGACCCTGACTGCTATATTTATCCCCCACACGTTACCATGACCGCCACTCCACTGCCCTTCACTGCTTCACTCATGGCTGCTAAAAATAGACAGAGCGGAGAGGCGACAGCTGATAATCAGAAATCATAACAAGGACGTCCCCGGTTTTAAACCGACAACTTTCACCTTCCCTTCTTAATAAAAATACAAGAACAGTTAAAATCTAAACAAAAGAACAAAAGTGATCAGAAAGTTGAAGAACTGAGATCATTTTCAAGGTGACCTTCAAACCCTCAGCTGTGAGCCCAATGTAAGCTCTATTTGCACTCTATGTGAGCTGTATCTGAGCTCTATGTGTGCTCTATTTGTGCTCTATGTGAGCTCTATGTGAGTTCTATGTGAGCTCTATGGGAGCTCTATGTGAGCTCTATGTGAGTTATATGTGAGCTCTATGGGAGCTCTATATGAGCTCTAGGGTAAGCTCTGAGTGAGCTCTATCTGAGCTCTATGTGAGCTCTAAGTGAGCTCTATGTGAGCTCAATGTGAGCTCTATTTTTGCTCTATGTGAGCTCTATTTTTGCTCTGTGTGAGCTGTATTTGTGCTCTATGTCAGCTCTATGTGAGCTCTACGTGAATTCTATGTGAGTTCTAAGTGAATTCTATGTAAGCTCAATGTGAGCTCTATGTGAGTTGTATCTGAGCTCTATGTGAGCTGTATCTGAGCTCTATGTGAGCTCAATGTGAGCTCTATTTGAGCTCTATTTTTGCTCTTTGTGAGCTGTATTTGTGCTCTATGTGAGCTTTACGTGAATTCTATGTGAGCTCTAAGTGAACTCTATGTTAGCTCAATGTGGGCTCTATGTGAGTTGTATCTGAGCTCTATGTAAGGCTCTTTGTGACTTCTATCTGAGCTCTATATGAGCTCTATGTGAGCTCTACGTGAGTTCTATGTGAGCTCTATCTGAGCTCTATGTAAGGCTCTGTGTGACTTCTATGTGAGCTCTATTTGAGCTCTTTGTGAGTTCTATATGAGCTCTATGTGGACCCTATGTGTGTTCTATGTGAGCTCTGTTTGTGCTGAATGTGAGCTCTATGTGGGTTCTATGTGAGCTCAATGTGAGCTTTACAAGAGTTCTATGTGAGCTCTATCTGAGCTCTTTGTGAGTTTTATGTGAGCTCTATGTGAGCTCTTTGTGAGTTTTATGTGGGCTCTATGTTAGCTCTAAGTGAGCTCTATGTAAGCTCAATGTGAGCTCTATGTGAGCTCAAAGTGTGCTCCGTGGGAGCTCTATGTGAGCTGTATCTGAGCTCTATGTGAGCTCTATATTTACTCTATGTGAGCTCTTTGTGAGCTCTACGGGAGCTCTATCACACTGATAACACTGAATCTCAGTATCTATCAAGGTCAAAAGTAAACGTTTAAATTGAAAGGAGCAAATATTTTCTGTGACATGTTGAAACACGTCATTGGTTAATTTCAGGCTGAGTGAGATCTACTTTAGATCATCTCTCTGGGTGCTCTTGCGTAAAATCTACCCATTGATGTTTCTTTGATGCTTGGTGGTTCTGGTAACCAGATGCAGCCGTTTACTGGTTTATAAGTGGAACCAATGTTCAGGCTGCAGCCTCACCTTTGCCAGCTGAGCATTGATCCAGTTGGTGAAGGTTCTCTTCTGGATCTGCTCCTGTTCCACTGTTAAAAAAAGAAAAGAAAAACAGCTATAACTTTCTCTCCTGGTCACAGATACTCTGCAGAGTTCAAATGACCACTGCCCCTGATAAGGATTCATTATATTTTCATATATAATCATTAGGAAAGAATTTCCAGCCTGTGAAAACTTGTCTTGTCAAATGTAAATTGGAGTAAAAAGCAAACATAAAGCTTAGTGTCATCATTCCATGACAGAAAATGTTGTGATGTCATCACAACAAATGAAGACTGTTGAATTGACAGAAATATTTTAGTTCATGTCTACAGCAACATGATGTAAAGGTGAAATACTATAGTTAGATAGTTAGTTACATATTATTTTATTTTAAAACTGGTTTAGCTATAAGAAATAAGTGTGTTTATTTTATAGGACTAGCATGAAATTCATTTTTAACGGAAAAGAAAAAAATTGACTGAATATCATAAAAACGTTTGATTATAACAAAGGTTCAAGTTTATGCTGAACTTAAATTGTTTCATGTGTTCTAAACCCAAATAATTTTTATTACACTTAATGCACTAAACATTCATCAATTCAGAGTTTAAAGAGTTTAAAATTTAACAGCGTGCAGTTTCTCTTTCTCTGTCTGCTACCTAAGATGTTAAGATCAAAATAATTACAAACAGCAGATTTTGTTATGTTCAATGGAAACCATATATAAATACATTATTTTACTTTTTCCAATTAATAACCTGGTGTAAAAAGTATCTGCTTTGATGTTCATCTGATAAAAGCATTCATGAAAACAAAGCAGCGGCATATTAAAAAGTGGTGATTTACCCAGAATACACTTGGAGAAAATGTCAGCGATCCACTTAAAAAAGTGCGTGTGGTAAAGTTAAATGTGAACATAAAACCAGAACAGCATTTTATTTCCTATTTTGCACCTAATATATGACTACAGTCATATGTCATACAGTAAATTCACTAAATCTGTGTTTCATACAGGAAGATAAATAGTGGTGAACAGCCTCAGCCTTCGAGTGTTATCTGTGAAAACAAGCTAGGTCACTTTTTTTTATGGTTAAACCAAAGATTCAACCCTGCTTCTCAGGAGACCTCAATGTGTTTTTAATTTAAAGGGAAACAATCAGCTCTTCCACAGAAGAAAAGCAGGAAGCTGATAGATGAGGTCTACTAGAGCGACACCAGCTGGAGGAACAGCAGCTGTAATATCTTTATCAGCTCCGTCTGCCAGACGCTCCGCCGATATTTGGTGGGAACATTTCCTGCTTTTTGAATCTGAAGCAGATAAATCCATCTTTGGTCATTTCCTGATTAAATTAGATTTACCAAACTCAGTAAATTAGTATCTCTTTAATAAGATTAAATTAACCTTTTGTATTTCAAGAAGCCCGCCATGATGTGATGTTAAATGGAAGCAGAAAATGAAAGGCTCAGAAACATCCGTGTGTGTTAATCAGGAACCCAAAGTGCTTTGGCTGCATTCATCCATTCATCCACCGAGCTACGCTGTAGCCACAGCTGCTGCGGGGCACGCTGAAGAAGCCAGGCTGCCAAACACAGGAACCGCCTGTCCTCTGACCACCATCACCAGACAGAGGGGAGAAGTGTCTTCTTCAAGGAGACAATTACAGAGAGGGACCGAGACTGTCCAAGATGGACAGAGACCAACAGATTCACAGAGGTGGACAGAGACAGAGAGGGATGGCGAGAGACGGAGAGAGAGTTGGACAGTGGTGGACTGAGACAGAGACGAACAGAGACAGAAGGAGGTGATCAGAGTAGGTTTGACCCAGTGACCCTGTGGCTACAGAACAAACTCCTCCGTCCTTCACCCCTGGACCCCTGGACTCTCTCCATCATTGCTGTTCTGAACCGTTTAAGCAGCAGAGGAGTCCTGGTGGAGTAGCAGCATCAGAGGAACATTATGCAACCTGGTCTCCATCTCAGCTTTCTGCATGAGTGCCACATATAACAGGCAGACCCAACAATCTCAGAGCAGGACTGATTTGATGTTCTTGGTTCTAGTTATGGATCCAGATTCTATCTGCTGCTTTCTGAAGCTTATCTCTCAATAGGTGACAGTTCTACTCACCCATGATGGAACCGCTCAGCTGAACCTCTTCTGCTGTAAACAGTCAGCAAAGCCTAAAGAAGCTGAAAGCAAACATTGCACCATGTGGGAACATGTTTAACCGTCTGTCAGTAAACACAGCGGCTCCATGTCTGCAGAGCAGCAGCGAACGGAAAGTTGACCTGAAACGTCTTCCTGTTCAACCAGCTAGAAGTCTGGTTCCATTTCTAGCCTGCAGCAGGTGAGCGTACCTGGGCTCCACCTCCTCTGATGCTGACTCACACCTCAGGCTTGTTCAAACATGACCCCAAACCAAGCTAACATCTGGCTGCATCATGGGTGAGTCAGAGATACGAGGCAAACATTCAGAGACTCAGCCCAGTATAACCCCCACTACTGATCTGAATGGGAAGCTGGGAGGCCTGTTAGGTGCATGCTGGAAATTTCACATTGATGACAGGATGTTTTGTGTAGATAAGCCATGTGGAAGCGGACTGCAGGTGGAGGAGAGATGCTGGCATGTCTCTGTGCTTCTGGGTTTGGAGGTTCTGCTCTTAGAACAGCTCATTGTCCTGGTCTTCACCTCTGCAGCAGCTCCACATCACAGATAAAGTCCTCTAAAAATAATAACCTTTAAGTAGGTATTAAACATTTCCCATTAAGCCATATAAAAATGTTCTAACCTATTAGCATTAAAATCAACATATTGTTATTAAACTGTGCAGCTGGAATAGACTGAGTTTGAAACATCTGGTCTATCAGCAAACATCCCAGTAAATGAGGTTAAACTCTGTCGTCCTGAAGGAGACAAACATCTAGGGGTTTGGATCAGGACACATTCTCCAGGAAAGCCCAGTATTACTGTGAACACCAAACCCAGCATGGACTGGAGGAGGAGGAGACTGACCCTGCAGCAGAATCTGGACATTGTCGATGTCCAAGGGGACGAACCCCCTCTCTGACTGACCATCGCTGAGGTAGAGGTCTGACGACATCCTGTCTGGTCAACAGGCTCCTGAAAGCATGCTGCAGCCCTGCAAGGCACAGAGAGAGAGGTAGCATGCAGTTAGCATCAAAGAAGAGAGAAACGGAAAAAACAGGAATCCTGACATCGCAACCCGTTCTGCAGCTTTTCCAACAATGATACAAGTCTTTCACTGCATTTCTTTAACAAACTCTGTTTTGAACCAGAAAGCTATGAGGCTCTTCCAGGACGCGGCCCTCGAACCATTTCATAGAAAAGCATCTCCTCTGCAGCTCCAGAAGCCTTCCTCCCTCTGATCCAAACTGATCAGCCTGTTTCCCTCAGACCCTGCAGACGATTAGAAACCCAAAGTACCTACAGAACATCTGCAGCTCTGCTTTACTTTAGGGCTTGGATACAATTAAATTCTATTCAGTTTATTACTATAGCGCCAATTCACAACACGTCATCTCTCACTTTACAATTCACTAGATCATCCAGTGAGATTGATTCAAAGTTTTCTATCTAAGGAAAACCAGCTGATTGCATCGATTTATTGGCTATTCAGCAATCCCTCACACTAAGCATGCTTGTAGCGACAGTGGAGAGGAAAAACTCCCTTTGAACAGAGAGAAACCTCCAGCAGAACCAGACTCAGTGTGAGCGGCCATCTGCTGAGGCCGACTGGGGTTCAAGGAGACAGAAGCACACATAGAAAAAGAAGCATAGATACAAAAGGCAACTGTCAAGCAGCTCCACAGGCGGCCAGGAAACACACAGCCAGGCAGACGAGCTCCGAGCCAGCTCCCATGTCAGAGGATGAAGAGAGCACATCCAGTTTGTCACAGTCAGAGAAACAGGACTACACTGAAAAACAGGCCAAGCTACAACATCTATAAAAATATCCATGAGCCCCACGCTGTCTGTCATAGAACTAGAACATCAAGAACGCTCAATGTTTAATATATTTCTGATCCTTCAATCAATGATCATTGCTTTGGCCAAAAAGGAAGCTTCATGCTGCCGCTGCATGTAGAGGCAGAACCTTAATCTGACTACAGCAAAGAGATTGTATCACAGACAGGAAGACACTGAGGTCCACGCCTTTTATTTATGTCAAATAGACAACATTAATATCTGCAAAGCATGAAATCACAGTAGTTCATGCAGATGTGGGGATTAGGTCCGTAAAGGGAACATCTGCCTGGAACCTAGTTAGGATTCTGAAGGTTCTGCCTGCTGCTTTGGATGCCCCATAGCCAGAAAGACTACTCCAACACCTTCAGGTCAGAATAGAAAAGTAGTGGTGCCAGGATCCAGTGGGAGACCCCACACATTGGAGGCGGAGGTAGAATGCAGAACCGTCCATAACCTGAGCTTAGATCCGAGAGGAAAGCTCTTTAACACTTGTGGAGTAAAATATGTTGAGATATGAGATAGATGAGATAGCCTCACAGGCTCCAAACGAAGGTTATGAGGGATAAGAATGAGGACTGCTGTTTAGAGAAGATCCATAGATCAATATATTAACCTAACAGCAAATAGCCTTGATGAACTCAAGTTGTTTTTCCTCCAAATGTTCAAGTGTGAGAAGGTGGGTGGGTTGGTTCCACTGAGGGGAGTGTGTGTGTTGGGATTTTTACTGAGGTCTATCTCTCCGTCAGAGGACGTTAAATAAATTGGAACCTTTCTTCTTGCAAGAAATACCTCTGCCTCATCTTCCTAACTCCACACACTAAATTCAGATCCTCCATCATGATGTAGCTGAAGCTCTAAGGGGGCATCAGAGAGTGACTAAATGAATCTGGTCCAGATCCCATTACAGGACGCACTGATTCATTCAGTAACAGAGGTTTCAGTCTATCATAGATAATATTAGTAAAATAAAAGCTGGTGTTGATTAGTAATCCTGTTAACCAGTCTAATGACTCCTACAGGTCTCAGTGGTTTTTATCTACCTCAGATCCAAACACCAAACCGTTTTAGAGGACTCACAGGACCACAATAGCTCAACATGTCAGCCATCCCAGGACTGCCAGCCACAGACTGGTCCCTGTCAGACACATTCAGGGAGTTTAGAAACACACTGCACTGGAAAACCAACGGGGGGGAGGGGATTCCTGCTTCTGTAAACATCCAGAGTAAACATCCAGAGTGTATCCTCTGGTTTACAACCAGGTTCAACCTGAGATCTGGTAACACTGGGCTGAAATGGTTCATTGCAGTGATAAAAATTATTCAATATATCATCTCTCAAGTCCTTAAACTGGGCTCTCTGACATGGCAGCCGGCTCGGAGCTCGTCTGCCCGGCTGTGTGTTTCCTGGATGGGGCCGCCTCTGGAGCTGGTTGACAGTTGCCTTTTGTATCTATGCTTCTTTTTCTATATTTGCTTCTGTCTCATTGCTTCTGTCTCATTGAACCCCGATCGGCCTCAGCAGATAATAAAAGGCAGTTTTTCCTCTCCATTGTCGCTACAAGCTTGCTTAGTGTGAGGGATTGCTGAAGAGTCAATGAGTCGATGCAATCAGCTGGTTTTCCTTAGATAGAAAACTTTGAATCAATCTGAATGGATGATCTGGTGAACTGGAAAATGCCTTGAGATGACATGTGTTTGGAGTTGAAGTCTTTTTTCCTGCCTGTTTCTCAGTCAGCTGGTAAACAACCCTCCCTGAAACCATTAACCTTTAACATGGAGGTGTTCCAATCAGTGCAGAGCCTCACCCTGCATTGGTGAGGAAACGCCCTATCAGCTGCTCTTTGATCAAACCTGCAGGCCGTGCGGCTCAACCTGTCTCTCTGTGCTTTCACTGACACACCTGAGAGAAAAAGACAATAGAACCACTTGACAAGGTCAACAGGTCAAGGTTAACGTGTTTATAAAGCACTTTTCAGAGTGCTTTCCAGGCAAACCAAGCTTTAGATGATGGTTTTACTGCTGTTAGTCTGTGTGGCTGACCAAAGGCGACCAAAGGAGCGTCTAATTTAAGAGTTGAAAAAATATAATTCACAGCTGATTCTGCTTACGAGATATAATCACACCCTGTTCATTAGCTTAACAAGCAGGAAAACTGGATATGCAGGCCTGAAGTCACGGTATGTGGCTGAGTGGAAGGCTGACTTTAAAAGGGAGAGCGGCTTCAGACACTGCGGCACTAACAGCTAAACATCAAAAGAGCATGAGAGGGTTAATGTGCAGCACTTCATCAACAGTCATCTATGAGAGGGTTAATGTGCAGCACATTATTAACAATCATCTATGAGAGGGTTAATGTGCAGCACTTCATCAACAGTCATCTATGAGAGGGTTAATGTGCAGCACTTCATCAACAGTCCTCTATGACAGGGTTAATGTGCAGCACTTCATCAGCAGCCATCTATGACAGGGTTAATGTGCAGCACTTCATCAACAGTCATCTATGAGAGGGTTAATGTGCAGCACTTCATCAACAGTCATCTATGAGAGGGTTAATGTGCAGCACTTCATCAACAGTCCTCTATGACAGGGTTAATGTGCAGCACTTCATCAGCAGCCATCTATGACAGGGTTAATGTGCAGCACTTCATCAGCAACCATCTATGACAGGATTAATGTGCAGCACTTCATCAACAGTCCTCTATGACAGGGTTAATGTGCAGCACTTCATCAACAGTCATCTATGAGAGGGTTAATGTGCAGCACTTCATTAACAGTCATCTATGAGAGGGTTAATGTGCAGCACTTCATCAGCAGCCATCTATGACAGGATTAATGTGCAGCACTTCATCAACAGTCCTCTATGACAGGGTTAATGTGCAGCACTTCATCAACAGTCATCTATGAGAGGGTTAATGTGCAGCACTTCATTAACAGTCATCTATGAGAGGGTTAATGTGCAGCACTTCATCAGCAGTCATCTATGACAGGGTTAATGTGCAGCACTTCATCAACAGTCATCTATGAGAGGGTTAATGTGCAGCACTTCATTAACAGTCATCTATGAGAGGGTTAATGTGCAGCACTTCATCAACAGTCATCTATGACAGGGTTAATGTGCAGCACTTCATCAACAGTCATCTATGACAGGGTTAATGTGCAGCACTTCATCAACAGTCATCTATGAGAGGGTTAATGTGCAGCACTTCATTAACAGTCATCTATGAGAGGGTTAATGTGCAGCACTTCATCAGCAGTCATCTATGACAGGGTTACTGTGCAGCACTTCATTAACAGTCATCTATGAGAGGGTTAATGTGCAGCACTTCATCAGCAGTTATCTATGAGAGGGTTAATGTGCAGCACTTCATCAGCAGCCATCTATGACAGGGTTAATGTGCAGCACTTCATCAGCAGTTATCTATGAGAGGGTTAATGTGCAGCACTTCATCAGCAGTCATCTATGAGAGGGTTAATAAGCAGCAATTCATCAACAGTCATCTATGAGAGGGTTAATGTGCAGCACTTCATTAACAGTCATCTATGAGAGGGTTAATGTGCAGCACTTCATCAGCAGTTATCTATGAGAGGGTTAATGTGCAGCACTTCATCAGCAGCCATCTATGACAGGGTTAATGTGCAGCACTTCATCAGCAGTTATCTATGAGAGGGTTAATGTGCAGCACTTCATCAGCAGTCATCTATGAGAGGGTTAATGTGCAGCACTTCATTAACAGTCATCTATGAGAGGGTTAATGTGCAGCACTTCATCAGCAGTCATCTATGACAGGGTTAATGTGCAGCACTTCATCAGCAGTCATCTATGACAGGATTAATATGCAGCACTTCATCAGCAGTCCTCTATGACAGGGTTAATGTGCAGCACTTCATCAACAGTCATCTATGAGAGGGTTAATGTGCAGCACTTCATTAACAGTCATCTATGAGAGGGTTAATGTGCAGCACTTCATCAACAGTCATCTATGACAGGGTTAATGTGCAGCACTTCATCAACAGTCATCTATGACAGGGTTAATGTGCAGCACTTCATCAACAGTCATCTATGAGAGGGTTAATGTGCAGCACTTCATTAACAGTCATCTATGAAAGGGTTAATGTGCAGCACTTCATCAGCAGTCATCTATGACAGGATTAATGTGCAGCACTTCATCAGCAGTCATCTATGACAGGGTTACTGTGCAGCACTTCATTAACAGTCATCTATGAGAGGGTTAATGTGCAGCACTTCATCAGCAGTTATCTATGAGAGGGTTAATGTGCAGCACTTCATCAGCAGCCATCTATGACAGGGTTAATGTGCAGCACTTCATCAACAGTCATCTATGAGAGGGTTAATAAGCAGCAATTCATCAACAGTCATCTATGAGAGGGTTAATGTGCAGCACTTCATCAACAGTCATCTATAAGAGGGTTAATGTGCAGCAATTCATCAACAGTCATCTATGAGAGGGTTAATAAGCAGCAATTCATTAATAGTCATCTATGAGAGGGTTAATGTGCAGCACTTCATCTACAGTCATCTATGAGAGGGTTAATGTGCAGCACTTCATCAGCAGTCATCTATGAGAGGGTTAATATGCAGCAATTCATCAACAGTCATCTATAAGAGGGTTAATAAGCAGCAATTCATTAATAGTCATCTATGAGAGGGTTAATGTGCAGCACTTCATCTACAGTCATCTATAAGAGGGTTAATGTGCAGCACTTCATCAGCAGTCATCTATGAGAGGGTTAATATGCAGCAATTCATCAACAGTCATCTATGATAGGGTTAATGTGCAGCAATTCATCAACAGTCATCTATGAGAGGGTTAATAAGCAGCAATTCACCAACAGTCATCTATGAGAGGGTTAATGTGCAGCACTTCATCAACAGTCATCTATGAGAGGGTTAATGTGCAGCAATTCATCAACAGTCATCTATAAGAGGGTTAATAAGCAGCAATTCATCAACAGTCATCTATGAGAGGGTTAATAAGCAGCAATTCATTAATAGTCATCTATGAGAGGGTTAATGTGCAGCACTTCATCAGCAGTCATCTATGAGAGGGTTAATATGCAGCAATTCATCAACAGTCATCTATGAGAGGGTTAATAAGCAGCAATTCATTAACAGTCATCTATGAGAGGGTTAATATGCAGCAATTCATTAACAGTCATCTATGAGAGGGTTAATAAGCAGCAATTCATTAACAGTCATCTATGAGAGGGTTAATATGCAGCAATTCATCAACAGTCATCTATGAGAGGGTTAATAAGCAGCAATTCATTAATAGTCATCTATAAGAGGGTTAATGTGCAGCACTTCATCAGCAGTCATCTATGAGAGGGTTAATATGCAGCAATTCATCAACAGTCATCTATGATAGGGTTAATGTGCAGCAATTCATCAACAGTCATCTATGAGAGGGTTAATAAGCAGCAATTCACCAACAGTCATCTATGAGAGGGTTAATGAACAGCACTTCATCAACAGTCATCTATGAGAGGGTTAATGTGCAGCAATTCATCAACAGTCATCTATGAGAGGGTTAATAAGCACCAATTCACCAACAGTCATCTATGAGAGGGTTAATGTGCAGCACTTCATCAACAGTCATCTATGAGAGGGTTAATGTGCAGCAATTCATCAACAGTCATCTATGAGAGGGTTAATGTGCAGCAATTCATCAACAGTCATCTATGAGAGGGTTAATGTGCAGCACTTCATCAGCAGTCATCTATGAGAGGGTTAATAAGTAGCAATTCACCAACAGTCATCTATGAGAGTTTTAATGTGCAGCATTTCATCAACAGTCATCTATAAGAGGGTTAATGTGCAGCAATTCATCAACAGTCATCTATGAGAGGGTTAATAAGCAGCAATTCATTAATAGTCATCTATGAGAGGGTTAATGTGCAGCAATTCATCAACAGTCATCTATGAGAGGGTTAATAAGCAGCAATTCATTAATAGTCATCTATGAGAGGGTTAATGTGCAGCACTTCATCTACAGTCATCTATAAGAGGGTTAATGTGCAGCAATTCATCAACAGTCATCTATGAGAGGGTTAATATGCAGCAATTCATCAACAGTCATCTATGATAGGGTTAATGTGCAGCAATTCATCAACAGTCATCTATGAGAGGGTTAATAAGCAGCAATTCACCAACAGTCATCTATGAGAGGGTTAATGTGCAGCACTTCATCAACAGTCATCTATGAGAGGGTTAATGTGCAGCAATTCATCAACAGTCATCTATGATAGGGTTAATGTGCAGCAATTCATCAACAGTCATCTATGAGAGGGTTAATAAGCAGCAATTCACCAACAGTCATCTATGAGAGGGTTAATGTGCAGCACTTCATCGACAGTCATCTATGAGAGGGTTAATGTGCAGCAATTCACCAACAGTCATCTATGAGAGGGTTAATGTGCAGGTCCAGCAGAAAGATGAAGGAGGGCGTAGAAACCCAGTGATCCAAACACGCAGCCTGGGAATCAGCCACAGAAAAACACCTGACATGACTCAGCATTAAATGGGCCCACAGAACACGGACCAGTTTAATCAGTTCATCCTTACTGGAGACATCATCATTGGTTTGGTTCAGACTGGAAAAGATTCAGCTGCTTCTCTACTGAACCAAAACTGAAAATGTTTGCTGGAGTGATTTAAAGCGTAAAATGAAGCTTTCTGCGGGACTGATTTCTTCTTTCTGAGTTTTATCCCAGTGATTTTCCTTGTTATTCTTAACATCAGTATAAATATACTGAAACACATTTGATACTCAGATTTAGGGGAGTGATAGCCTAGTGGTTAGAGCAGTGCTCTGAGAAAGTTGCAAGTACCCAGTTCAATCCCCACAGACTAACTGTTGAGTTCATCAACAGATTTTCTATGAGAGGAAATAAAGGATCCATCAGGGAATCAAGGCCAGAAGTCCTGGAACCAAAGAGTTAGTCGCTGTGCAGGAAATGCAATCCCTCCAGAGCTGATGGGTCTGCTGGGTTGGTATCAGATGAACATTTATAAATCAAATAATCAATCAAAGCCCAATAAATCTAGATTGAAGTGCTATCCTGCACATGAGGACACGCTGTGACCAACTGCCCAGACAAAGACCAATCTCTACGGTCTCCTTATGGGTTACTACGACAGTCCAGGATCCTTCATTTCCTCTTTCTTTTTTTAAGCTTTGGATCCAAAACACCTCCCTTTAATGCAACAAAGGAGCTCAGGAAATGTTTCCCTTGCCACAATGAAGCATGGTGATGGCAGCATTATGCTGTTGGAGAGGCAGAGACAGATGTGGATCTACAGACTTAGAATGGCTGAATGTTAATCCATTCCAGATGTTTCCACCATGAACCAAGAATATTTCTACACTTTATCCTTAAATCCCTGTGATTGATTTCTGGGTGTTAAAACTTTCAGTAGATATCAGAACCGAGCTTGACTGTCAGAAGTCATAAGACAGAGGATCACCATCATCATCATCATCTAGAGGCTCTGTAACATGAAGTGGGACTAAGTGCTCTCCTCCAGTCAGATAGAGCTGTGGTTAAGAATAGCAGCAGGAACATGAGGAAGTTTTCACGCCACCTCGGTCCAAACGGTCCAGGCCTCCTTCCGGAAGACCAAAGGACATTTGGATAAGACACAAACCTGACAGCTGCCCTGCAGGCTCTAAAAGGTCACTGAGAAACAGGACAGGAAGCTCTGATTGTTTGCCCTGAAAGGACAGACGGTCAGAAAGAAGTACTCACACAGAGAAACAGGCTTTTACAGATGGAAGCCCAGAAAGAGAGGAAGTCCAAAGTGGATCTCTGGTTCTGGCTGGTTGCTGCTGTAGTGGCTGCAGATGAAACCTAAAGCACAGTCTGCCAGATCAGTGGCATGCTGGGTCCTGGATGGGACGGGCCGTCACTGGAGACACCACAGCCATAGCAGAGGACTCGCCAGGGCGCTAAATTTAGAAGGAGTCAGGCTTCAGCTCACAACACCTCTTCCAGTCCAGCAATCCTCCTGTCCAGAGCGCACAAAAAGTGAAGCTTGGCATCTAAAGCCTGAGCTCTGCTCCACCTGGAGAGTCTCTGTGTCCTTCCTGTTTACTCAGAGCAGCTCAGTTTCACCATTTAGTCCTTAAATCACAACCATTCAGTCAAACACTATCTTTGATCCTCATCATTCCACAATGCAGACAAGTTCAGTTTATTATTTAGATCAAAGCTCATGAATCCAGTCAGAGAAGCTACTGTTGACTCTGCAGCCCAGCATGCACGCAGTAACAGTAAGAGGAAAAACTTGCCCTGATGTAGTGTTGATGTCTCAATGCTGCTTTACAGCTGGAGCCATTTGATGATTTATCAAAGTTTATTAGAGGCCTTGGGAGAAAATGTTCTATGCAACAGGCGTGGAAGAGACGTGGAAATGCATTTAGACATCATAAATATATATTCAGTCAAGCTAATACATGTCAAAAGGGCCTAGGTATTTGAAAGTTGGTTCTTACCAGTACAATTATATTTTTGGCAGCCTGAAATAAAATTTTTGCCAGCAAAAATGTATTTTAGGATATCTATATGCACATTTCTGACTAGAAGGGATGTAGTTTTGACTAGGAAGAATCTTATTTTTAAGGTCAACAAATGGAACAATAGAGAGGACAGCGCTTCTAATAACTGTCAAAACGGCCTGCCATAGAGCGTCTTTAGGCCAATTTATGCTTCTGACCCATGCAACCGTCAAATCTGGCTCTGTTGGCGACCACACCCCTGGAGCAGAGGTACTGCGACCATCATTGAACACTTCAAAAAACACCCTGAAAACGCTGCGGAGGGTCGCAGAAGTGTGCAGACAAAAAGCAGCTGTGATTGGTCCTTGGTATGCCTTTCCGGCTGTCTTTGTGGTCATTCTTCATGATTCGGTGCCGCGGTGCGCCATTTTTAAAACTGAGGAACAATGGACACTTACTACGAAAGGTTAATCGAGGAGGTTCGGAAGTACAACCACTTGTACAATGCCTCAGACAAATTATATAAAGATGCCAAGGTCTCTGCCAAAACAAAGTTCTCGTGACCATCCACTGAAGTTCTTGCAAGTTCTGGAATATGCTCCCCCTTCACTTTGGCGGGAAACTGCCGTGTGTCCCTAGAAATTCCACACCGACGGTGCAGAAGCATACCAACAAAACTGGTTCACGACCAGACCCAAGCGACATTTGATGTGTGCGGTTAAGGAAGTCTAATCTGCCCTTTCCTCTCCAATCCAGCTGCACGCGTCAACGCACACACCCCTTTTTATTCACTAATTTAATCTACACCTAAAAACGTGCATACTAATACCCACCATCAGTTTAACCAGTGGAGATTGGAACTATTATCAATGAAACAACTGTTTGTTACCTTTACACTTTAATGTATTTATACAGGAAAAAAAAAACATAGTCGTTATGTTACGATCTATTTATATTAATGCATTCCCTCCCACAATCTGATTATAATGACTGATCCACATCTCTAACACTGAAATGATGCTGACCCAGATCACCTAACGGCCCCGTTGTAAACGCAGTGATCAATTATATCCTTGTGAAAATAGTTTTATGGGTCCTCTATATCCTCAATGACATCCATGTCCTCCGTGTTCTCCATGTCCTTCCCTCCATCTCTGAGTCATTGAGACTTGGACTTTTTTTTTTAGACTTACACTGATTTTATTGACATTTTGTACACATAGAGTGTATACAAAAATAAATTTGGTTCAGTACAGCTCTCAAGACATTTCCATTTTTAAAGTGCAGCAGTGATAAAATGTAAATATAAGCGCTGATGAAGGTTCTAAGTCATCCAGGTCATAGTCATTCCGTAAAAATTCAAAAAATATCCACTGGACTTGGTTTCCAAGATTTGAAGACGTTTCGCCACCTCTTCAGGAAGCATTCTCAATTCAAATGTCTGGATCCGCAGTGAGTTTGAGTCTTATATAGACAAAGCCTTGTCCATATGGATGGAACCAATGACCCATTAATCGGTTACCATTTGCATGTTTCCAACCGATACAAGGCTTTGTCTATATAAGACTCAATCTCACTGCGGATCCAGACATTTGAATTGAGAAAGCTTCCTGGAGAGGTGGCGAAACGTCTTCAAATCTTGGAAACCAAGTCCAGTGGATATTTTTTTGAATTTTTACGGAAGTAAACATAAGCGCTCTTTTTTTCTTTCTTTTTAACCCCTTTTTTGATGGCGGTGGGGAAGAAGCTGTTGCAGAACCTGCTGGTCCTGCATTGAATGCTGTGAAGCCTCTTTCCAGAGGGCAGCAGGGAGAACAGTCCATGGTGGGACGGTGAGGGTTCTTTGATAATGTTACGAGCTCAGGACACGCAGCGCTGGGATGAAATGTCTTTAATAGAGGGAAGAGGAGCCCCCATGATCCTCTCTGCTGTTCTCACCACTCTTCTCACCTTCTTCATCCTCTTCAGCTTTTCATACTACATTCTTCCATTTCTTCTTTTTTAAGTCTTTAACCTTCTCAGCCTCTAGATAAGCATGTTCACCAATCCTGGTTTACCCCCTTCCCGTGTCTAGGAAACCTGCCTTACCTTTGCAGATTACAGTTAGAATCATTCAGCTAATAACCATTAATTGGTTTTACACTCAATTTGAATAATCTATTAATTTACTATAACTTCCATTTCTAGTTTAAAATATTATTAATCTCCGGGTAAAATTGCACAACATCATTGAGTTTTCATTAGTGACAACATATCTTATTGCTTAAAGTATCAGAGGAAGTCAGATTTGTTATCATTACTACTTTTTAAGTATCAGCAACATCAGCTCTTATTGGTTACTGGATTCCATATATGGATAGGACCACATGGGCCCATGGGCCGGTGCCCATAATGCCCATTGGAGAATATTAGCTGGGAGGGGTTATCATCTGGATGGACATGGTATGTTAAAAACAACGGAGATGCTTATTTTTGGATTGGACGTTTATACATTCTTACAGGTGTGGGAATAGTACAGTGATTTTTGTTTTATTAGATGGATAGCGTGAGGATGAGCTGGCAGAGGTGCTGGGAAAATATGAACCTTCTAGGTAACATTAATCAGTTTTCTCTCCTTATGAATCCTAATGATGCCTCCTCTGTCATTGTGCTGCTGTTGTGTTTTATTTCGCAACAGAGGCTGCAGTGGACGGGACTTTAAATGAGTTCAGCAGCTGAGCTTCTCACAGAATATGAATCCTCAGAAGATTATGCAATGACCTGAAGGTCAGATACCTTTAGCTCGTTAGCCGTTACAGCAGATGGTGGGAATTATTATTGACTTTGTCCCAAGCTCTTTAGCAATGATTCCCAAAATAAAGATCATGACCCCATTTGGGGTCCTGATCAACCAGGAGGGGGCCCTCACAACCACCATAGAAATTCATCTTAACAATAATATTTATGCCAACGTGTTTAAAGATCTAAAACATCACTTAGAAATGGAGCAAACCAACTACTTTGGTTATCAGTGCTGTTTGTAATATTATTACACTACTGATTAATTGATTTTGTAGATACATTGATAAAGTAAACCAATTATCTGGGTCAGGAGTCAACTCTAAGTTTAAATTCTGTTCAATTTATTTCTATAGCTCCAATTTATATCATCTCAGGCACTTTATAGATCCAGGTCAACCAGATCATCCAGTCAAATTGGTTCAAAGTTTTCTATCTCAGGAAAACCAATTGATTGCATCGACTCAATGACTCTTCAGCAATCCCTCACACTAAGCATCCTTGTAGAGACAGTAGAGAGGAAAAACTCCATTTGCACAGGATGAACCTCCAGCAGAACCAGAACCAGGCTCTGTGAGTCATAGCTTTCCTGGAAGGGTTTGGGAACCTCTGCTCTATAGTGATGCTAACGCAGTCATTCTGCTACCTACTGTACTATGATGGTTGTTTCTTCAGAGACGGGCGTTCTGCTTATTGATTAGCTTAATCTTGTTGCTAATGTCTTTTTTGTAGTCAGGATTCCTCTTTGACTGGTCTGAAACAACGACCAGCAGAGGGAGTCTGAGTCTGGGTCTATTCTTCTCAGTTGCAGATGAGCTAGAGTTCTCTTGGTTGATCTAATGAGGTGAAGCAGAGGGGGAGGACACATCCTAATCAGATGCCCGAGCCACCTCAACTGGCTCCTCTCGAGGGGGAGAAGCAGCAGCTCTACTCTGAGTCCTCCCCGGATTACTGAGCTCCTCACCCTATCTCTAAGGGAAAGCCAGACACACTACGGAGAAAACTAATTTCAGCCGCTTGTACCCGGGATCTCGTTCTTTCGGGCATGACCCAAAGCTCATGACCATGGATGAGAGTAGGAACGTAGATCGACCGGTAAATCGATAGCTTTACTTTTTGGCTCAGGTCTCTCTTCACTACAACAGACCGGTACTGCGCACGCTTCACAGCAGATGTCGCACCACTTTGTATATCGATCTCCCGCTCCATTTTGCCCTCATTCATGAACAAGACCCCAAGATACTTAAACTCCTCCACTAGGGGCAGTACATCCTCCCCAACCTGGAGAAGGCACTCTATCCTTTTCCGGCTCAAGACCATGGTCTCGGACTTGGAGGCACTGATCGTCATCCCGGCCGCTTCACACTCGGCTGCAAACTGCTCGAGTGAGAGCTGTAGATCACACCCTGATGAAGCCAATAGATCCACATAAAGAGACCTAACAGCCTTTATTATAGGCCTTGTACTACATACTCCCAGAGTACCCCCCACAGGGCCCCACAAGGGACACGGTCGAATGCCTTCTCCAGATCCAGAAAACACATGTAGACTGGTTGGGCAAACTCCAATGCACCCTCCAGGATCCTGCTGCGGG